CACACACACACACACCCCACCATCCGCCGCGTCGGCTACGCAACGGCAACCCCCCTTTTTTCAACATCGACGCCACCATGCAAAATCAATTAATCGTAGTAATGGTCATATCCCTGCTGTTGTTGCTGTTGCTGTTGCTGCTGTGGCCAGCCGCCCGGTGAAGTTCTCATTCTCCGCTCTGTTGGTGCCCGACGTTAGTGAACAGGCATCATGGCAAATGCATGTTGTGCGACGGAGCCTTACCTGCTTCAAAGTCACGCCACCTGCGCATCGTAATCTTGCTGCTATCGAATTCACCCTCGTACTCCAGGCCCGCCTTTTTGGTCTTTTCGCCCGCCGTCTTGCGCGTATCGCCCCAACTGAAGTCGTCAAACTTCCAGAAGGCATATGTCGGGAGCACAAAGTTCCAAACGGGCAGTGACAGCAGATAGACGAACATCCAGGCCACGTAAGACCACCGGTGAGCCGTAACAATAATCAGGACTGCAGGGAGACCGAGAATGAGCGCTAGAAGGACAAGGGGTATCACAGGAGCCGCCGTGTGCTGCACAGCCGCCTTGATGGAAATAGCAACTAGTCGCCGTTAGCAAAAAACAAAAAACCAAAAAAACACGCGATTCAGGGGGTAACAGGCTTACTTAGGTAAAACGTAAAGGCGATGGCGGCGGGTAGAACAAGCGTGCCCATCAGCTCAACGAAGACGACAAACTGCATGCTGAAGCAGAAGGTGCCACACAGATCTCGCACTAGCACAAGCTCCATCAGGTTGTGGATCGTACTATTGATCCATCGTCTACGTTGTGACAGCAAGACCTTGAACTCGTCCGGTACAGTGGTTTTGCACACGGCTTGCGGCACAAAGACTTGCTTGCGCTTGGGAAATGTCTTGAGCATCAGCGTCGACAGATAACGATCCTCACCCAGCAGCAGCAGATTCTTCTTGTGCAACGTATCCACCACGTTTTCAGAGTAGTGCTCGACAACGTCGGGATTAGCGAGAATCGGCACCCAGTAGTTTTGGCCGCCCTTGGGTGCCTTGATGCGGTACATGCAGAAACAACCTGGTAGACAAGTGACACCGCCAAAGACCGACTCGAATGACTTGGCCATATGGTGCGAGATGAAATATCTAACGTGGTCAGTGGCGCAAATGGTAACACATATAAAACAGCACTTACTCAAACACCTGGATCATCGAGACCCACGAGTCGCGCTTATTGGCAATCTTGGTTTCGCCGCAGAGTCCCATGATATCTGGATCTTTGACCATGGCTGAGATCATGTGCGTCAGACTGTCAGGGAACACCTTGGTGTCGGCATCCACCATGAGCACAATCTCGTAGAAGTCGGGAGATATGCCAGTGATTTTCCAGATGCCGTTGAACATTTCAAACTCTAGCTCCGTCATACGCTCGTCAAACATGACCTTTTGCAGGAACGACATGAGGATAATCTGACTGTCTCGCTTGCCACGGTTACCGGGCTTCGACTTCTTGGCCTCGTCGGGGGTACCAGATTTCACAACCAGCATCATCGGAACACGTTGCTGCTTCTCAATGGGGATGCGCGTCGTCTCGCCGTAGTCGTAGAAGCCAGAGTAGATCTTAGCCATGTTGTGTCGCTTGGAACCGCTCGCAACAGCCACGTACGAATACGCCTGGACCTCGTGAGGCAGTACGGCGTGGTCCTTCATCATACCAAGGCAGACTTCTGGTGTCGTCATGTCTTCTCCGTGTCCCTTGATCATACCGTCGCAGATGACAAGAATCAGCTTGTGGCTGTTTGGGTAGTCGGTCGTGGCAATCGAGTCGAGGGTAGTTCGCAGGCCTTCTGGACCCTCGGAGTATGCCGTGACCAGGCAGATGGCGTGAGCCAGTGGAAAGCCAAATGGCTGCCACTCTGGCGGGGGCTGAGGGACTACGGCTTCGTGCGTAAAGCCCGAGGGCCCAGAACCTTCGAGGCTAGAATACTGGTTCGTTTCAGTGTTATTGGAAAAGTATAAATCAGAACCAGACTCGTGGGTGCTTTGTTTTCCATCCGTGGGAAGTGTGTTGTGGCTGGCATTGATTTGCTTGTACATGGTGCCGTTGGATCCCAGCAGGCGAGAGGAGGCGCTTTGGCTCGTCATGGTAGTGGGCGGGGCGCGCATCTTGGTATTCTTATCCACAGAGTAAGGGCTGGTGAACCTGGACGTGGCCGGCAGGAAGCTGCCACGTTTTGCGCTCCGTTCCGAGCCAGAAGCGGGCTCCATGAGTTTTGGCGGGGGGCGGTAGATGTCCTCACTCCAGTCTTCGATCTGCTGCTTTCGCTGCTTGGAGTCGACGGGGCCGAGGGATGTCTTGGAGGCAGCAAACTTCTTACTGATGAACCACTGGAATATCAAGGCAAGAATGAACTTGGCAATGACAACGGCCAGAATGAAGACGAGCGAAACGTAGAGGACGACCTTGGAAGCGATGCAACCAATGCTCTCCGTGTCGATGGAACCGACTTTGATGATTTCACCCAAGCATTGCATGACCTTCTTGTCGTAGTGCGAAGAGTATGCGCGCGTCACATCCACACCACGGACGGCTGGGTTTTGGCGGATCTCCTCGAAGATGGGGGGCGTATTGATTTGAGTCGTGTTGAACCAGTCCAGCAAGCTAAGGTCCAGCACATCGCCGCCCCACACCATGAGGCTCCTTGACGTGTTGCGGATATCGTCCCAGGTGAAGTAGACATCGCCAGAATGGCGCAGACTGTAGAAGGCCCGGCGAGCCGGGTCCGACGTGTGGCACTGGTAGCCGTTGTACTCGAGAAAGGTCGTGTTGGGCTTGCTGGAGCCGTCCTGGTTGAACAGCCGGCATGGGAAATACCAGGCCAAGTCTCCGCTGGGCGTCGAGGGGATGCCCGAATTGGGCTTTTCCGTGATGAGGCCCTTGCAGGCGCCATTGACGTTCTGGAACAGAAAGCTGGCATCCTGGCCGCCGTGCTTCTCGGGCAGGTCGAAGAGGACGTTTGCGTTTTCGGGGATTCCACGGGCGCGGGGGTGTTTGGACTGGGCAAGATCGTAGGCTTGGCCGTGAATGATGAGATATCCATTGCCCACCTCATTGGTGCGGAGGCGAGCATTGCCGCCGGCGGGGCAGACGGTCTCGGTAAAACCAAACGTGATGTATCCGACAAAGGTGCAAATGACCAGGATGATGCTCACGAGACCAACCTTTTCTCGCCAGGCGCGCTGCTGGGCTCTGGCGGGCTTGCCGAAGCACTTGAGCAGGGCGCCGGGGCACCAGAAGGTGATGATGGCACAGTAGACATTCCACAGGCTAGGCGGGCGCAACTTGTCCTGGTCCTTCTGGCGCTGCTTGTGGCGGGCGTCGGCCGTCTTGCTGCGCACCATCTTGCGCTGCACCTGGGGCTCGCCGCCGTCGAGCGGGGCCTCCTTGTCCGTGTAGGGGCCGCCAGAGACATTGCGCAAGTGTGGCGGCTTGACGTCTGTGCTGTCTGAGCTCACCGTCTCGGACTCGAGATTGTCCTCGAGAATGGGGTCGTTGCCGGTGGTCGAGGGCTGGACATGCATGCGCTGGGCGTGCTTGCGATAGTGGTAGTTGGGATGGCTGGGGTCCATTCGCTGGCGCTCCGGCCTGATCAGACTGCGCTTCCTGCCCAGGGCGGGCGCGGCAGCGGTGTTGTGCGGGCCCCGCATAATGGGGTCGCGCTCCATGGCCACGGGGGTGCCGCCGGGCGAGGGCAGCGGCTGGGCGTAGGCGTCGGCATCGGTCTTGGAGGGAGTGCGGTCGTAGGCGCGCGAGCTCTCGAGGTCCGATGTGCGTCGGCGGCGGTGTTGAGAGCTGCGGTGCGAGTGTCGTCGCTCGCGCCGGGGTGACGACGGCTCGGGTCGCTGAGGCATCGACATGAGGTCAGCAGTGCAAACCCAGCTGCTGTCACACAGGCAGGTTGCGGGGCGACCGTCGGGCCCGGAAGAATAAGCGCAGCGGGCTTAGCAAGCTGCCAGCTGCGCGCGGCCGCAGAGTGCGGTGCGGTGCGGTGCGGTGCTGCGATGCGCTGGTGAAGCGATGTCGAGGCGATGTTGAGGCGACGGGCGGTGGGAAGTGCAGGGGTGGCGGTGGGCGGGCAGGCGGGCGGTCGCAGCGGCTCTGGGGCGATGGGCGAGAGGGCCGGGGCGGGTCGAGGCGGGCAGCGAGCGTGTGTGTGTCGAGCGAAGGTGAGGGCGAGGGCGATGGACGATGGGCGACGGACGGCGCAGTACACAAACACACAAACACACAAACAGACGGCAAAAGATGGGGCAAGCGAGCGGCGACGACAGCAACGAGAGAGAAAAGCCGGCGGACCCTGGGCGGATAGTTGTTGCGAGGTCAACAGCCTCCACCAACCTGGCATGGCATTCGGCGACTAGGCGGGCAACGCACCCCTGCTACCACCACCACCACAAGCCTTTGCTGCTGCTGCCCGCGAATCCCATGGCGAGCCGTGTGCTATTTCCAGCCTTGCCTTGCCGTGCCGTGCCGTGCCCTGGCCTGGCCTGCCCACCCCCGGCCGCTGGGGGCGACCAGGGGGGGGGCGAGGCGGTTGTTGTAGTACTTACTGTAGTGCTATAAGCGACGGCGCAGCGCCTGTGTTGTTGCTGAGCGACATGTCGCCATGCCGCCATGCCAGGCCTGTATTGTTCCCCTTGCACTGCGACTACGCCCACACCGGCCGCTATGTCTGCTGGCGGCTGGCTGCTCGTCGGCGCGCCCCTGCAGACCACCACCACCACCACCTCACCTGGAACGCTGGGTGCATTGCTCCCTCGCCGCACCGTCAGTCTGTCCTTTTTTCCCACCATGGCCGTGTGGCCGGCGAAACACGTCTATCGGCGATGGGGTGCAGCGCGACGCAGCCCAGTGCAGCTACCCCAGGGCCATGGTAGCTGCGTATCGCGGAGGGAGGCCGTGTGCATCCGCCTTCACAATACGGGCAGATCTGCACTAGTATCTGTCCCCAGTGTACGTATGATGCCATCCCCAGCGCTGACAGCACAGCGCCCGCGCGTATATGTACACACACACATACGTACATACATAGACACACGCACGCAAACGGACTATCGAACTGGTGGAACGGGCCTTCAGGGCCCTCGTCCGTGTCCCGTGCTGCAGCTCCACCCAAGTATTGGCATGTCCAAAGCAACGACTCGCACTCAGCCGTGGCGTTTGCCACATAGCCGTTCACCACCTGCTAGCTGCTAGCACTGCAAATGACCCAGGGGCTGCTCCACAAGCGCCGTGGCCAGGCACCATACTATGCCCGCACCAACACCACGTGCCGTGCAATATTCGGCGGGTGCATGTGAGCCTGTTGCCGGAAACATGCACACCCAGAGAGAAGAGAGAGAGAAAGAGAGACAAAACAACGACTCGCGATAGCCGGCTCGCTGATGCTCCGCGCCGAGGCAAGACGTCATCCATTCACTCACTCACGTCGTCCACGTTGACGTTGCCTGCCCCTGCCAACAATACTTTCTAGTACTATCGCTATACAGTGCATGCAGCCTTCTCCGCATCCGCTCAGTCGTTATGGCCCGGTGCAGAGTCTAGTCCCCTCACCCCTCACCCCTATCCGATCCAGCATCCATAGTGCTCGTGTTTCATGGTCACACACCACTTCGCTTGCTCAGCAAAGCCGAGCACTGCCGCCTGGGGCTGCCTGTCCTGCACCTGCACCACCACCACCCACTGCCTGTCCAGAAAAGTCGTTCGCCGCCATAACGTGGGGCCTCATAAGTCTTCAAATGGCCGCCATGTGCTTGCCCGCCGATTTTTTCCATTTCCTTTTTCCTCGTGCTCGCGCGCACCAGCTGCCATCGCCCTGCCAAACACGCTCCTGACCTGGACAACTGCACACGCCTTCGCTCTCTTGCTCGCCCGTCCGCCCGCCCGCTCGTCCGCCCTCTCTCTCGCCCTCTCTCTCTCTCTGCCTCCCTCGCCGAGCCGTCTCCAGGGTCGGAGGCTACCGAGCGCGCAGAGTAACCTGGACCCTTGGAAATCACGCTTGCACTTGCGTGTCCACGGGTGAGTCTAACCGCCCCCGGGCCCCCCCGTCCTTGAGATCTTCAGTCCAGGGTACGGCATCCTGTGCTGGCTGCTGCACAAAATCCTCTTGCGTCCTGTCATACCACAGTCGGCACACTGACGGAGACTGGCAGAGAAAAAAAAAAGCCCGGTACACCAATAGACACGGCCCCTTGCTGCGTGCAGCGGCTGCGCGGATGCTGGCACTTTGAGGGGGCCGCTTAAGGAAACCACTTTAGACCCCCGCCGCTACACCGAGTCAGGGCATAGAGGCGGACTTAAGACTGTCTCCAGGCATCTCACGAAGAGGGCCTAGACGGCACAATTTCGAAGCCATGCACGAGACCACTGTGTCGACGCCGCCGCCATTGAGACCTCTGCCTTCTGTTCCCCTCGACCAGGAGCCCTACGCCGCCACATATAATTCCCACCATCGCAAGCCCGCGCCACCCGCCGCCGCCGCGCGACTCCCTTCCATACCCTCGCTCAACTTTGACAGCCATGATGAGACAATAACCGGAGGCCGTGATTCCAGACAGTCAGGCTCCTCCCTGGCTCAGAGTTCTGACGGCCATTCAAGAACTCCGTCAAGAGACGCCTCAGAGTCGGGCGACGCCCGCTATTCCCTAGGCCCAATCCCACCCACCCAAGACACGCCCTTCCGACAGGTGCACACCAACGACGGCTCGTACGGGAATCGATACTCTCACACCGCCGCCATGGAAGTTGCCACCGCACAGGATGAGCTCGGTCATGTGTACACGCCCCGAGAGCAGTACCAGTCTGGCCGCCTCCCAGACCACCCGACCCCGCCTCCCGCCACACATTCATCCCGGGAAACGGCGCAATCGCCTCACTCTGGCTCGCAGCATTCCTCAAACAGCAATAGCATACGCCATCTGCGTGTCCACAGTTACGGTCAAGAAGGCCCGTTGCAAGTTCCGCGCACCACGGTCCCCAGGCCTAGCTCCGCATATACTCTAGGCTCCGAGCTCAACGGACGAAACCGTCAAGAGTCCAATGGTTCCCCGAACCACTATGCCCGCCAGTTCTCAGGAACCCGCCGCTCACCAGACGTGCGACCGGAATCTTCGTACATTGACTTGACCAATCTTCCATACAACCAGCAGATTGCGCCCGTGGCCAACTTTGGCAATACGGGCCTGCGAGGCGTTGTGGGGCAGAATGCTTCGCTGCTCGACGAGAAGAAGACGCTGGAAATGTACCGGGCCAACGTCAAGAAAACCCAAGACAGTGCAGTGCAATACGAGTTTGCCTTGTTCATGATCCAGGTTGCGCGCGAGGTCATGGCGACAGAGGGCGCCAGCAACGACCACGGCATGTCCTCGATCGATCTGCTTAAGGAAGCGCGGCAAATCCTCCAAAAACTCGCCGACCGCAGCTATCCGTTTGCGCAATACTATCTTGCAGATGGATATGCGTCAGGCCTGTTTAACAAGGACAAGCCCGACCATGATCGGGCCTTCCCCTTGTTCGTGGCTGCCAGTAAGCACGGGCACGCTGAGTCTGGCTTCCGTACGGCTCTCTGCTACGAGTTTGGGTGGGGTTGTCGTAAAGACTACGCCAAGGCTGTGCAGTTCTACCGTGCCGCTGCATCGAAAAATCACCCTGGGGCCGCGACGCGTCTTGGCAAGGCTTGTTTGACGGGCGATATGGGGCTTCAGAACAAGTATCGGGAGGGTGTCAAGTGGCTCAAGCGAGCCTCGGAGTCGGCTGACTTTCAGTACAACGTGGCTCCTTACGAGCTGGGCTTACTGCACGAGACTGGCTACGGCGACGACATCTTCAAGGACGAAGTCTATGCGGTGCAGTTATTCACGCAAGCAGCAGAGCTCGGCCACCCACTGGCTGCTCTGAAGCTCGGAGAGGCCTATGAGCACGGCCTGTTGCGATGCCCCAAGGATGCTGCACTCTCGGTACACTACTACAACTGCGCCGCGCAAGCCGAAATTCCCGAGGCCATGATGAACCTCTGCGCCTGGTGTCTGGTTGGTGCCGAGCCGGTCCTGGAGAAGGACGAGAACGAGGCGTACGAATGGGCAAAGAAGGCTGCCGGGCATGGTAAGTGCAATCGAGTCATGCACATGTCGAGACTGCTGGCTAACAGAAGCAGGTCTTCCAAAAGCAGAATATGCGTGTGGATACTTTACCGAAATGGGCATTGGCTGTCGACGAGACCCTCTGGAAGCCAATGTCTGGTATGTCAAAGCTGCCGATTCCGGAGACGAAAGAGCCAAGCAGCGCCTCGCAATCATCCAAGCTGCAGCATCTGGGCAACCTCCGCCTCAAGTTCGGCCGCAACCGCAGCGGCAGAGTTCCGGAAACTCGAATGACAAGAGCAAACTCCGCAAAGAGAAGGGCGGGAAAGAATCCAAGGACAAGGATGAAAACTGTGTGGTTATGTAACGAGGCAGCAAGTGCTTCGCTGGTGCGTTGGTCACCGTGTTTCTATACCCGATTTGCATGTGTGTGTGTGTGTGTGTTTTTTCTGCATAGGCTGAGGTGTTACGACATCATCAAAACATTGTCCAAGGTTTTTAATAGGCGGCTGGGGGATCTAGGGTGTCTGGTGCATTTGTTGCGTATTGCATTTTGGATCTGAGCGGCAAAATACCCTACCAGTCTTGGCGGGAGCATGTTTGGTAGTGTTTAAAAGACAGCATGCCCGGAGCACATGGTGTTGCATAGAGATTGAAGACCAAATTCAAAAAAAGGTTATTGTCTGTTCAACGCGGGTGCTACCGGCTTTTGGGCCTGCACATGGCATGCGCCCTCGTGACGGTGCGCCAACAAGGCCGATTGGCCAATGGCTGGGGCCTTGTCTTACGTAATGTTGAACCACCACAGCGTCCGCCCTCGACGCCTCGACCGCGTCAATGCCCCATTCCCGCGGTACTCGACGCGCGCCGCCCATGCGCATGGCCCAGTTACAGCCCGTGGGGTTTGCGCCTGCGAGATGGACGTGCATGTGCATGCGACGAGCATGAGGCGTTGACGATAAGACTGATGGCATCGTCTTGGCATGCGTCGCCTGGTGGAGTCGCTTGTTGTCGCTTTCCCCAGCCCGTGGCTAGCCGCTAATACCGAAAGCATACCATGCAGGTTCGCGGCTCCACATGTCTGCGTCGGACTACATTCGTAGGGCGTGGCTTGACTGACCGACTGGCATTGATTCCGACGGGGTTGGATTTAAACGCAATGCTCCCATGACATTTCGTCCGCACTCTGCACTTGCCCTCGATACCAGAAGCCGCAAGTGGAAGCCATACACACAATGTCACCGCCCTCTGCAGTCGAGGTATCAGCCACTTCGGACACATCCGGCGTTACCATTCCCAATCCTCTCACGGCGCCTGTGCACAGCAACGAGATTCCTGCCAGGAGGAAGAAGACCAGTGCCGCACAGTGGGGTGTAGCAGCGCCATCCGACACTGCAAACTTTAGACTGCGGTCGCACGAGCACAAACCAAAGGCCAAGTCATGGCGCCGTATGTTTGGTCTGAGCTGGACGTTGCGTGCCTGCTGGCTAACTGGGACCCAGACATCTTGACCCACGAGGCCACTGTTCGCAAGGGCAACTCTCTCAAAGAGGCAGCCAAGTATCTCGGTACACCGGGCATTATTTCTCTCGGAGGCGGACTGCCATCCAGCGAGTACTTTCCCTTTGAAGAGCTCTCCGTCAAGGTGCCTAGGGTTGGCCACTTTTCCGAGGCCGAAACCAGAGAGTCCGGCGTGACGGTTACGGCAGGGAAACACGACCTCGCCGAGAACAAATCCATCTTTGACATTGCTACCGCCTTCAACTACGGCCAGGGCTCGGGCGCAGCACAGCTCCTGCGCTTCATGACGGAGCACACGGAACTGGTGCACGACCCGCCATATGAGGACTGGAGGTGCACCATGACGGTGGGAAGCACATCTGCCACTGACATGGTGCTGCGGATGCTCACACGGCCCGGCGACGTGATCCTCTCCGAGGAGTACACATTCTCAGCTTTTGTCGAAACCGCCCGGCCAATGGGTGTGCGCGTGTGCGGCGTGCCGGTTGACAGCGAAGGACTCCTGCCCGCCGCCATGGACACACTGCTTTCCAACTGGGACGCTGCCGCTCGCGGCGCCCGCAAACCGCATCTCCTCTACACGGTGCCCACAGGACACAACCCCACGGGCGCAACGTCGAGCGCCGAGCGCCGCAGACAACTGTACCAGGTGTGCCAGAAACACGACGTGCACATCATCGAAGACGAGCCGTACTACTTTCTCCAAATGCAGCCCTACACAGGCCCCAATGCGCCCGCCGTGCCGCCCCCGTCGTCGCACGCAGAGTTCCTGCAGTCGCTCGTGCCCAGCTACCTGTCCATGGACACGGACGGCCGCGTCATCCGCATGGACTCGTTCTCCAAGGTGATAGCGCCTGGCTCGCGGACAGGCTGGATCACGGCGCCCGCAGACGTCGTCGAGCGCTACTCCAAGCACGCCGACGTGTCGACGCAGAACCCGGCTGGTATGGCGCAGCTGATTCTGTTCAAGCTGCTCGACGAGCACTGGGGCCACGCCGGCTACCTCGACTGGCTGCTGCACATGCGCATGCAGTACACGCAGCGCCGCGACTTGATCCTCGCTGCGTGTGCAAAGTACCTCCCGCGCGACGTCATGTCGTGGAAGCCGCCCATGGCCGGCATGTTCCACTGGATGCAGATTGATTTCCGCAAGCACCCTGCGTATCCGGAGAAGACGATTGAGAGCATCGAGGAGAGCATCTTTCTGCGCGTCATCAGCCATGGTGCCTTGGTCATGCGCGGCAGCTGGTTCTACGCCGATGCCGACGAGGAGCACAACACCCTGTTTTTTAGAGCGACGTATGCGGCGGCTCCCGGGGAGAAGATTGAAGAGGGCATTAGGCGGCTGGGCGAAGCGGTGAGAGAGGAGTTTGGACTGGGCGAGTATGCAAAGGAAAGCTAGGTAGGAGGAGGGGCTTTGCACACTTTTTTTTGGTGTAGTAGCCCAAGATGAGAAAGACGTCTGTTCAGATTTCATGCTACTGCCCCCCAGCCTTGACAGTCCTGAAGCCTTTGACTGATCATCGCCGTTTGGTATTCTTACATGTAATCGATACATCGAAATTCCGCGTCGTGTGTAGAACACCCTCCTCTCCTTTGTGCCCGTCCAACGCCCTGATGTCCCCGCTCCGTTCATAGTAAACGGACTTTGATCCTGGATGGAAGCAAGCACCTCATTCATTTACTCTTGCTGTTTCCTCATTCTACTGCCAGGGGCGCTGATCTAGTTGATAAAGTTGACGCAGAAAAAGTGCAGCAGTAAGCTTCCAAAGACAAAGTCGGCAAAGGCACGCTCATGCGAGATGCTCTCGAAATGCTGTTTGTTCTCCTGGTTCGTCTGGATGCGCAGCGAGGCCGTGAGCACGAATTGACCGACTGTTGCGCTGAAGCCTGAGAGGAAGGCGTTGAAGGGCTGGAAACACATAATCTATTAGCATACATTTCTCTCACCATATTTCTTTTCCACCATCTGTCTCCTCGCAGCAATTGGAAGGTGTCAAAGACAATGACATGAACCTCTCCTCTCTCAGCAGCGCGAGATGAGCTGGAAGAGGTGGTGGGGAGGGGGGGGAACAGCGAGAGACGTACAAAGTTGCCAACTAGAACCACATAGGCGAATTGCAGCGCGCCGACCGCCATCAGAAACACGAGAAACACATCCAGCAGCTTTGTGCGCTGCGGCGTCTTGGAAACGTATTTATCCCATACGCCCTGCACAATGGCCGGGGCACTCGTGTTGCTGCTGCTGCTGCTGCTTGCCTTGGCAGCTCGTGAAGGCGTCGACGACCGAGCGCTTGAGTCGGCGGAACGTTGTTTCGGCGCCATATTGGGGGATGCGGGAATTCTGTTTGGGATACAAGGAGCGTGGGGGCGGCGCGGAGACGAGGGGCGTTGGGTGTTTCTGGTGGTGGTGGTGGTGGTGGATGTGTGAGCTTGAGGCCAGATGTTCGTGGTTGGTCCAAGCTGCGGTGAAGGGCGGCGGGATTACGACGGGAGAGAGAGAGAGAGAGAGAGAGAGAGAGCATGGGTCACCCCTGTTCGGCGCAAAGAGCGTCGGAGCTCGGATGTCCCGCTGAAGGCTTTCCCCCGCAAACCCGCATCATCCATCGTTTATCTTGCGCCGCAGGCTACCTGTTCTTTCGCCGCCGTTCCGTTGCTTTCCGTTTTCCTGCGCCGTGAAAAAACTTATCTGTAGTTCTGGTGGTATACGTAGCTGAACTCTTTCAAACTCGGCCTCGAATACAAAACAACAATGGTAAGCATCATACTCAACAGGCTTCGTGCACGAGTCAGGAGCCCACCCGGACGATAGCTGCTGATTAGACGTGTAGAGCTCCATCGGAAACATTGCTCTCGTCCTCGGTGCCCTCACCGCTGGAGGCGGCATCACCGGATACGTGAGGACGGGATCCGTGCCATCCATTGCTGCTGGTTGCACCGTCGGCTTACTGGTACGTTGTTCAGCCTTTACTGCACTACCTATCGTATCCTGCTTTCAATCCGGCGTCTAATATTCCATAGTACATTCTTGGTGGCTACCGTGTCAACAGCCGCGCTGCATACGGTGTCGAGCTGGCGCTTCTCGCCTCGGTCATCCTGGCTGGTAGCTCTATCCCCCGTGCCATCAAGTCTGGAAAGCCGCTGCCTATTGGATTGAGCATTCTGGCTACGTTTGGTCTGTGGACTTTTGGTAATGCCTTCATGAACAAGCGCGCTTAGCTGGTGAAGAGTTGGGCGAGATGCACTCAACCGAGGTTGGGAGGTGTATATATGCAGCATAGAGGCTCATCGGACTGCGAAGTTCATCAATGCTACGTGGGTTTCTGCTCCAACATTACCGATTTCACATGCATGTGAAGTTCGATGTCTACTTGAGAATGTTTTTATGGATCCAGTTTTCCATATCCGGGCTTCTGCGATGCACTGCCAGTTGAAGTGGTCATGCACAAGGCTTGAATGCACTATCGGGTTAATGATGGATCTTCCTGCATCGGATGCCAACAACCCGACATTCGTATCCTCCGAGTCACTCCGGACCATCACGGACGATAACCTTTAAATATATTTAAGCTCAGGAATACAGACACTCAAGACCAAGGATAACGTCGTCTTGATCTATTCAAGCTCAGGAATAGACTCGGAGCAATCCCGTATCTCAATCTCCACGTTCCCCACAACCATATTTACCAGGGGATTCGGGCTATACCCACGGCAAAATGCAACATCACCACACAACCTTCTCGCTCGTACCAAGGAAACCTCCCCGCCAATTGATTAGCCCAGCCCCGCCTCGCGTGCCAACTGCCGTCTCCCACCCAGCACGTGGAAGTGCTTGGCACCATTCGGTAGCACCACAGGAGCAAATCGCGACCATTGCACGCATAGATCCGGAGCACGGCACGGATGCCGCTCATCAAAATTGATGGCATCTGGACATGGACTAAGCAAGAAGTATACTATGACTGATCGACAGCTACCAATGAATCCAGGTATTCTATGTCTACACTCAGGCTGAAGCGTATCGAGGATGCTCAAAGGCCTCAGTTCACCAGCTTCGTGTGCCCCAGTTCGTCACAGATGCTACATTCCAGCTCGAGCATTGGCTGATGGGAGTAGGGGGGTTTCCGGGCCATGTCCAGAATGCTCATCTATCGTATACAAGACGAATGAGCATAAATTGCAGATGGCTGTTAATCATGGTACACCGGGATCATCATATCTCCTGCTTTGCCACGAGAATGCTGGAAACTGGACACATAAAGAGTTGGGAGGGACTGAACTAGCTACAGCATAGTAACGCAACGCAACGCAACGTAACGTAGATAGACTACACGGCAAAACCCACACAGTATGCGGTACACCCATATCCTCGGCAGTGCCGCCGCACTCGCTGGGTACAGTGAGTTTACAGTCCTCCCTCCAGTCAACACCTCCTTACTAACGACCGCGCCATGAAAAGCCCAGGCTCAACAAGGTGAGGCACAATCTACCATTATCTACGACGCCGAGACCAAGATCCGGTACTCGGCGTACACGGAGCCGCAGACGGGAATGACATTTGGCGTTGCACTTCCAGCCAACGCGACGGATCCGTACGATGCCATTGTCCGGATTACGGCGCCCGTGGCTCACACGTGGGTTGGCTTCTCGTGGGGCGGCACCATGGTGTGGAATCCGCTGAGCGTTGCGTGGCCAAACGGGCCGTCTGGGACGATTTCCGCGCGCTTCGCTTTGTACGTTGGAATGCTGTACTTATACGTGTTTTGTTTTTGTGGAAGCTTGGCTGATCAATGGACAGTGGTATTGGTTTGCCGCTTGCATACAATGGAGCGGAACATACGTATCTCAAGGGGACCAGGGCACATTCTACACATTGGACGGTAAATGCCCTGTGTAAAGGGTGTACTGGATGGCAGAACAGCGAGGATACACGCACGTCTCTGAACGGCACCGGGACCACCGAGTTTGCCTGGGCATATGGAGTCTCAGCTGTGGAAGACGCCGCGCGCAACGACTCTGCCTTCAACGTGCACGAAGCCTGGGGCAAATGGATCCACAACCTCGACGCAGCACGGATTTCAGATTTCGATTCTCTGGTTCAAGCAAACTTGCTGACACCGGCTCTGCCCAGTCCTTCTGCTGACCCAACCACAGTTGTGACAAGCGTCGTGGCATCTGCGTCTGCAAAGCCAGCTGCCACGGCCGCCATTCCTACGTCGTGCCCCGGCGCCGGCAGCCCTGCATTCCAGGGCTCCTTGGCCCCCGGATGGAAGGCCACCAAGATTGCGGGCGGCATGACGAGTCCCCGCAGCATCCAGTTCGACACGGCAGGCAACATGCTCGTGGTGCAGTCCGGCAAGGGGATATCGTATCACCAGATGGGCGCTGATGGCTGCGTTACGTCTACAAAGATGCTGATATCGCAGAACAATCTCAACCACGGCATTGCCTTGAGCCCCGACGGCAAGACGCTGTACGCAAGTTCCATGACGCAGGCCTACGCGTGGCCATACGATGCAGCGGCCGGTACGCTCGGGACCCGAACGACGGTCGTGACGGGCATGTACAATGGCGGCTCGCATCTCACACGCACGCTTGCCATTGCGCCGCAGAACCCAAATCTGCTCGTCGTGTCCCATGGGTCGAATTCGAATATCGATCAAGCCACATCGGACCCCAAGACGGGGCGTGCCATTATCAAGGTGTTTGATATGTCAAAGGTGCCCAGCGGAGGCTACAACTACGTATCTGCGGGCTACAATGCTGGATATGGGCAGCGCAACGAGGTTGGCATTTGCTTCGACCGCAACAACATGTGAGTGTTTATCACGCAAAGACTGGATGCTTGCAGCAGTAGGCTGATATGGTGAACAGGCTCTGGGGCGTAGAAAACAGCGGCGACCAGTTCACGCGCAACGGAAAAGACATTCATAATGATAATCCCGGCGAAAAGGTCCACTACATGGGCGATGTGACCAAGCCCAACGACAACTGGTACGGCTACCCGTACTGCTTCACCGTGTGGAAGACAAGCGACTTTACCGACAAAGTCTTCAAAGTGGGCGATTGGTTCACGCAGAGCCCTTCGAGCAGCATGAACGACGATACGTGCGTGCAGCGGGCCACGGCTCCAAAGATGACGCTGCAGCCGCACTCTGCGCCCATTGACTGCAAGTTTGATGCCGACAGCACCACAATGTACATTACATACCATGGAAGCTGGAATCGGTCGCCCGTCACGGGGTTCAAGCTGGTGGCGGTCAAGTTCAAGCTGGGGACTGATGGTAACTACACGCCGGTCGAGCCGCTGACTAGCACCACGGCGGCACAGGATATCTTTTACAACCCGGCTGTAGAGAAGTGTCAGGGCAATGGGCCGGGATACAGCTCGGGGTGCTTTAGGCCTGCGGGATTGGCATGGGATGCTCAGGGCCGCTTGTTCATGACGTCGGATACTTCGAGCAATGGTGAGATTTGGATTTTGGGTCAATCGTAGGCGGAAGGCTGGTTTGGGTTGGTCGGAAGCTGTATTTTTACATCTGACTGATATGCCAGTGCTTTCATTTCTATGCTTGTCTGGCCCATTTTCTCATAGTATGGCTCTATGTTGTATGCAGCGTCATCTGCCCGTTGGAACTCAGAATCGCGCTCCTGTCCGTGTGGCCATTCCGAAAATCAGCAAAAAGACAACCAGAGCTTCAGTTTATTCCACAGAGGCATAGCGTGGTGGTAACGTCGGTCCGATGCTTTTAGGTTTGATTCATCGTGGGGCCTGGAGTGGCGAGGTCGACATGGTAGCTATAGCTTGTAGATTTTTCACCTTTGATCAACACAGGCATGTGAGGTCATCGATGGATTTAAAGTGCATATGCAGCCGCTAGGCGCACTATCACTATTGCTATCGTGGGCGCGGTAGACATGTGGTAGGGATATTGACTGAGCTCGGTCATTTGACAGGGCCAACAATTATAAATTGTGGTGCACTCTGCAATCGAGACCGGTGTGCAGGATCTGTAATGGAATCATGGGAAACAGGGTCCAAGAAAAAAATGCATCAGCGCAGGTGGCTGATGGAGAAGCGCCCTGGAACTAGGTGGGTAGCAAGACCCTGTGACGTGGGTAATAGGAGCTTTATGGAAGATAGCAGATGTGGTGGGTGCTCCTTTGCCGCTAGGTTGTGCGCCCAACTGAGACAAAGTCCACTCAGATTTGTGCCAGATGCAGCGCTTGGCTTGCCTGCCCAGGTCATCTTCTGCAAAATACCATGTGCCGATTGAGGCGCTCGTGGGGGGAGAAGGGCGGGTATCGGCAAGTCGTGGCTGATTGCATGCTGGAATGCGATCTCCAGGGCCAAAGTGTGCCTGGCAGAGGCTGCTCCAGGCCATGCGATCGTCGATGTCGGTTATTCGTGTGGCTGATTGCAGTGTCGGTGACGCAGCGAGTAGCCAGGTGAACCGGTTTTCTGGAATGCACGGCTGGTGGAGGACGAGTGTGAGTACCTTGGGAGGCGGCTGAGAGTGTCGATGGGTATCCGGCAAAATGCCATGGTCTGGCGAAAGTGCATGCACATGGGCAGCAGGGCACTAGGGCCGGTTTCACCCGGCGCGATGAGCGGACATGGAAGCGGATATACGACGGACATGCACATGTCCTCTGGCCGACTGATCGGAGGCCGGCCAAACACTAGTTGGAGTAGTCATCAAGGCAACCAGCGGATGTGAGAGCATGACTGATGGCCTGGGGTTGCTGGAGGCGCTCACTACGCCGGGGGCAGCGGACACGGCCATGGGCGCGCAGGGCACGAGAGAGCTCTGAGCTGGTCGAAGAGTTTACCAAGCAATGCTTGTCAGTGCGTGTAGCCGCAAGCAGCGAGCAGCGAGGACGGATTGGGCCATAGGGGAGATGTGTCAGCACATGGTCGTGCGGACGTGTGCGGAAGACGGCGGGGGGGTGCAGTCGACTGTTCTCGACGCCATGCCAATGCAGCGTTTTCGTCGCCCGAGACAGCCCCTGTCGGGGGCCCCCAGTTGCATTGCGCGCAAATTTTTTTTGTCATGCTCGGGCAACGCTTTGCTCCGTGACTTTGGCGGAGGGCGAGCGGTTGTGGTTGTGGTGGTGGTGGTGGTGGCAGTGGTAGGAAGGCGGCAATGGGCCATTACTGGCTACGTCACGCTTGCGCACAGGCGGCGTTGGTGCTGTTCGGATCGGGACTAAGCCTTTGCCGCGCTAGGGGGAGAAACCTGGTCGCGCCCGCGGGCGGTCACGTCATAGCCAATTCACCCTTTCGTCGCTCGCGGCATCCGCTATACGCCGCCGTGGCCGCCGTACGCCGTCCCCAGCCACTGGCCACTGCCTACTTCAGCTCGCCTCTGCTCCAGCTCCCGCTGGCTCTCCTTCACCTGCTCCTCGTCTCTTCGCCCAAGCCCCCCCAACGCCCTCCTTCGCTGTACCAGCAACCCCTCCCCCGCGTCTGCTGGCCCCACCCTGCGCCTAGGTAGTCTAACCACGCACAACGGGCTCAGTTCGCGCGCCATCCCCCGACAATGAGTTCCCTCAAGAAAGCACTAGAGAAACTCAAGCCAAGCCATGGTGGTGCGGCCTCAGATTCTGAAAAAAGCGGCGTCAAGTCGCCCGCCACGCCCAATGGAAGGGCGCACTCGCCTGCCGCTACTCCGCGCTCATCCGTCACGCTCGGCAACCGTCCCAGCGGTGAATTCAAGCGCAACGAAGCGTCGTCGCCTTCGGGCAGCAGGACCAGCATCGACCAGCAGACCCGGGGCTCTCTTAGCGGCATCCTGCACCGCCGCACCGAGAGCCCAGGCCGCATTGGCTCCAAGATGACCAACAGCACCAACAGCCACCACCGCTCCGCCTCTCTTTCTGCCCACAGTCCCATGCGCGCTGTCAAGGAGAAGCTCCACCTTGGCAACGACTCGAGCGACGATGATGCCCCCCTCAACCGCGACGGCGAGCCCATGTCTCGCGGGCAGCTGCGCAAGCACGAGAAGCAGGCGCAGCAAGAGGAGCGCTACAAGCAGAACCTCGAAAAGGAGCACGAGTTGGAGCGCCGGAGGAAGGAGATGGAGCACCAGGCTCTGACCGAGCTCACGCCAGAGCAGAGAGCCAAATACGGCGTCATCCCCCCCAACAGCTACGCGGGCGAGTGGAAACACGAGGCTCGCCACAAGATCCAGGACTTTTCCGCAAAGGACGTTGGCAAGGAGGTCATCTTCCGCGCTCGCATCCACCACCTCCGGAAGATGAGCTCCAAGTTTGTCTTTTTGGTGTTCCGCCAGCAGCTCGCTACAATTCAGGGCGTGCTCTTGGAGCACGCAGACATTTCCAAATACATGCTGTACTGGGCGGAGCACCTAGACGCTGAGACAGTCGTCATCGTCAAGGGTATCCTGCAGGAGCCCAAGGCCAAGCAGGGCGAGGTCCTCGGTGCCACCGTTCATGACGTCGAGGTGTCGGTCCACGCTCTGCACGTGGAAGCCTCCGTCACAGACAACCTGCCATTCAACGTCAACGAGGCCGAGGTGTCTCAGGCCGAGGTCGACGCTGAAGCTGCCAAGCTGGCAGAGGAAGACCGCAAGGAGGGACATACCCGAGTCAAGATTGCAGACCGCACCCGTCTGAACAACCGCGTCATCGACCTGAGAACAACTGCCTCGCAGGGCATCTTCCGCATTCAGTCTGGTATTTGCAGGCTGTTCCGTCAACAACTCGATTCCGAGGGGTTCATCGAAATCCACACCCCCAAGCTGCAAGGCGGCGCAACAGAGTCTGGCGCAAGCGTGTTCAAGATTGACTACTTTGGCCGTGGCGCTTTCCTTGCCCAGAGTCCTCAGTTGGCCAAGCAGATGGCCATCTCTGCGGATTTTGGCAGGGTGTACGAGATTGGCGCTGTGTTCCGTGCCGAGAACAGCAACACCTACCGACACTTGACGGAATACACTGGTCTGGATCTTGAGATGCAGATTGACGAGCACTACCACGAGGTCCTTCGTGTGCTGGATCGCACGTTCAAGGCCATATTCAAGGGCATCTACGAGCAGTACCGCCCTGAGATTGAGATTATCAAGAAGCACTTCCCTCACGAGGATTTGGTCTGGCTTGATGAGACCCCCATCATTCCATTCGCCGAGGGTATCCGCATGCTGAATGAATCCGGATGGAGAGATGACGACGGAAACGAGCTTGACGAGAACGAGGACATGGGAACCAGGGACGAAGTCCAGCTTGGTCGTGTCATCAAGCAGAAGCTGGGAACCGACTACTACATCTTGGATAAGTTCCCAGCAAACGCCCGACCCTTTTATGCCATGAACGATCCAAACAACCCCAATCTCACCAACTCGTTTGACATCTTCTGTCGAGGCCAGGAGATTCTCAGTGGTGGTCAACGTATCCACGACGCCAACATGTTGCTGGACAAGATGCGCAAGCTCAAGATTGACCCCAGCTCCATGGAAGAATACATCCAGGCCTTCCAGTGGGGTACACCTCCCCACGGTGGTGGCGGCATCGGTCTTGAGCGTATTCTCATGTTGATGATGGGTCTCGGAAACATTCGCCATGCGTCCATGTTCCCTCGTGATCCAAAGAGCTTGCCCGAGAAGCCGGTCATCAAACAACTGCGTCACCCTGAAGCCAGCACCATGCACCCGCCATGGGAAGGACAAGACCGCGCTGTGGCCAAGATAGACTTCCAGCCTGTTGAGAAGCTCATCGCCAATTACGGGGATGCCACAAACACGTCGTGGTTGGAGCCCCGCACTGAAATCTGGCGGGACGACACAACTGGTGCGGCTGTTGGTTTTGTGCCTCAAGATGGCTTCGCCATCACTGTTGGTGATCCTCTGTGCCACGAGTCGCAGTATCTGAAGACCATTGCTGGTTATCTCAAGTATATCAAGAAGGAGCGCAACCTCAAGCCGCTCTGGCTGCTTGTGGGATCGGCCGTCGAGGATGTCCTGGCGACAAAGTTCAACTGGCGCACATTCTCCGTTACTGGAGAGCAACGTGTAGACCCTGCACACAACCCCGCCGACAAAGACTCGGATGTGCAGCGCAAGATCCGTCACGCTGAGAAGGAGGGCGTCAAGATTACTGACTATGCCATCGGGTCGCCACCCCCGCCAGATGTCAAGCAAAAGGTTGACGCTCGTGTGGAGGACTGGCTGAAGAACCGCAAGGGCAAACAGGTCCATTTGACCAACATTCACCCGTGGCAGGACGAGGAGCATCGCCAGTACCACGTCGCGGCCACACCAGATGGCACCATTGTTGCCTTTGTAGCCATGGCTCAACTGTCGCCAGACCATGGCTGGCAAGTCAAGTACTCGCTTGACTTCCCTGGCGCACCCGGTGGCTCAATCGAGCAGATCGTCACCCATGCTCTCAAGCAGGTTGCAGCAAGCGGCGCTACAAGCGTCACCTTTGGTGGTGGTGCCAGCGCCAAGTTCACTCCTGGGCACAACGTCAAGGGCACGCGTGTCAAGGTTCTTAGCCGTGCCTACCACGCAATTGCAACGGAGCTCAAGCTCACCAACAAGACGGAGTTTCGCGAGAAACTGGGTGCGACGGACGACCCAAGTTACATCTGCTATCCGCCTCACGGGCTGGGCCCCATGGCGGTCAAGGCTATTCTGAACTTCTTCTCGGACGACGAAGAAAACAACTAAGTATACATTCTCTTGGAGGATACACAGGCTATAGGAACGAGTCATGAATGGATGATTCGAGGGCATGATACCACAAGGCGTTTTGCTGACATTGGAGTGGATGGAAGACCTGTCTGACTCAGTTGAAGACCATTTGTAGTGGGATGACATTGTGTATAGACAGTGTTGGTTTCTTAATGTAATACCCTTTTGAGACATGCTGACGGCCCACGCGTGCGGTGACTCTGCTGAGCTTACCTGACGTGCATACCCACCGGTTCCGCACACGAGCTTATTTTATTTGCGTCAATTCCCATGCACCAAGCATTGCACGGAAGACAAGTCGGTAGCCTTGCATGTTGTCGCTTGGCGTGGGGACATTTTTATACTCCACACTGCTAGCATCGCCCTTCCAACTCCTCCACAGCTACGCAAAAATCTCGGGCAGGATTAAGCGCGATCGGCTGCAGGCTGACTTGGCGTCCGCTCCCGATAAGGAGGAATGTAGACGCGGAGAATGTTCGGCGCACTAGGGAAGGGCGGGGTCACAACACCCAGCATACGAGCCGCTCGGAGTGTCAACAAGGCTACGTGAGCAGAATATGGGGGATGCCTGATTGGCTACCACTGAAAGCTAGATCAATCGTCATGGCATGTCTGACGTTTGTTCGTTGTGCGCAGATCTCGGAAACCATCTCGCGACAAGCTTCGCGCCAATGTTCCCCATGGAGAGGAAAAAAAAAGCGGGAAAAGACATACGGGTTGAAGAGACGGGTACAAGGGTGGCATGGTCTACGTGTTGACTATAAAATAAGAGCATCAGGACATGCTCATTAAACTGTTGTAAGCTGCGATTCAAAAGGGCCGAGCTCGGTGCTATTGAGAAGTGGCTCCATCAGACAACGAGTACTTAGATACCTGTTTTCTCTGCCTCTCTCAGATCTCCACGCTCGCCCATCATGCTTCTCACATCGCTTCTCCTCACTCCCTATACGATCCTTCTTCTACCGGTTCTTTTCTATCTGCTCCCCTACCTTCGGAACTGGCAGATTCGCGACATTCCCGCACCTTTCCCTGCTGCCTGGACCAACCTGTGGCTTCTGTACCAAGCCCGCCGGGGAAGACGTTTCCTTGCTGTCCATGAAGCACACAAGAAGCTTGGAAAGCTTGTTCGTCTACAGCCACACCATGTCAGCATCGCGGATGCCGACGCCATCACACAAGTCTACGGCCACGGTAATGGATTTTTGAAGAGTGAGTACTATGACGCCTTTGTATCGATTAGGAGGGGCCTGTTCAACACGCGAGATCGCGCCGAACACACAAGAAAGAGGAAGACGGTGGCCCACACCTTTTCTGCAAAGAGTGTTCTCCAATTCGAACAGTACATCCACCACAACCTAGCTATGCTGCAGAAGCAATGGGACACTCGTGCCGACAGCGTCAAGGGGGGGTGGTATCAGATGGATGCGTTGAACTGGTTCAACTACCTCGCCTTCGACGTCATTGGTGACTTGGCCTTTGGAGCCCCCTTTGGCATGCTGGAAAAAGGCCGGGATGAAGCAGAGGTCAGCATAGGAGGAAAAATCACCTATGCACCGGCTATTGAGGTGTTGAATCGAAGGGGAGAAGTCAGCGGGTACGTTGGATACTTGTTTTCAACTTCGTAAACTAACAGCGTACAGAACCATTGGATGTTTCCCTGCCATCAAGCCCTATGCCAAATATTTCCCGGACCCCTTCTTCAGCCAAGGTATGAAAGCCATTGAGAATCTTGCAGGTATGGCAATTGCCCGTGTAAATGCCCGTCTGGAGAAACCATCCGACCGTGTGGACCTACTCGCCCGACTCATGGAGGGCCGCGATGAAAGTGGCAACAAACTAGGTCGTGAAGAGCTCACCGCAGAGGCCTTGACCCAATTGATTGCTGGTTCGGACACTACTTCAAACACCTCGTGCGCACTCCTCTACCACTGTTTGACACACCCCGAAGTCATCACAAAGCTGCAGCAAGAACTAGATGCCGCGCTACCAGACCCGGACGCCGTTCCTACCTACGCCCAAGTCAAGGACCTGCCATACTTGGATGCTGTTATCAAAGAGACAATGCGCATCCACAGCACATCTTCTCTGGGTCTCCCACGCCTCGTCCCCCCTGGTCCTGGTGCCACCATCCTAGGCCGTCACTACCCCGCAGGCACCGCTCTCTCTGTACCGGCATACACCATCCATCACTCGACCGAGATCTGGGGCCCAGACGCAGATACTTTCCGTCCTGAGCGCTGGGAGAAGCTTACGGAGAGGCAAAAGAGCGCATTCATTCCATTTAGCTACGGTCCCAGGGCATGTGTAGGAAGAAACGTAGCCGAGATGGAGCTGGCACTGATTGTGTCGACGGTCTTCAGGCGGTATGAGTTTGAGCTGAGACAGGGTGCGATGGACACCCGGGAGGGATTCCTCCGGAAGCCAGTCGCCCTGGAAGTTGGTATGCGTAAGAGGAGTTTTGCCTAGGGGCAAGACGTGCCGCATGGATCCGATTAGACGATTTGACAGCCCTGGAATGGCCCTGTAATACTTCAAGAAACCATCAAATGCATGATATGATAGGCATGGATAGCATACATTAAGTGACGTGATAATCTTACCATTATAGGACAGGCAGGGCTCATGTTACCTATTTGGGACATGGTGTTTTTTCTCCTCTGACGTGAGATGAGACGGCGCACGTGATCCGCGATGCACGATACGTACCTGAGCCGCGCGTCATGACTGACGGCCATGTGAATCTTGGCAAGGTCTGCGACACGTGAACTGGTGGTTGGGGCCCAGGCAATTTGCATTCACCATGGCGAGCGTGGTGGAGCCGTGACGTGGGGTTGTGGTGAAGCGCGGAACCTGGCGCGCCAGCCTAGTGTGTGCACGGACCACCCTGGTTGGCGTCCAATGTCGCGATACTCCCGAACAACGCGCATCGCAGACCCGGGCGTCCACCACCACCGCAACACTCGACGCATCCCCCTCCTCCCCCCGCCCGGCCGCACATTCGGGAGCAGGACTGCCTGCGCCGCCTATCATGGCGCCCCTCGAGCTCGCCGACACCGTGGTCGACGCCTCGTCGGGCGACTCTTTCACTCTGCTGAAGCAGCAGCTCGAGTTCGACTTTAGCTTTGCACCGCTCCGGGTCAAGGGCCTTACCACGCTCGACATCCAGCCAGACAAGGCGCAACTGCGGGAAATTACGCTGAATTGCCGACAACTGAGACCGACCAGCATCCGCATCGAGGGAGAAAAGGCCGCCTTTAGCTACTCGAACCTGCACCAGCGCCTGACGCTCTACCCTGGCACCGACCTCGAACAATATCATTTTATCAAACAGCGCATAGCGCGACATGCTTCGGGCGGCGAGGATGAGCTGTACATTGTGGTGCCTGACCGGGTCAAGATTCGGGAAGTGAGGCCTTCAGAGGCCGGCATGACGGACGATGCCCCGGGTACCTTTTACGCGCCACTCAAGCTCGAGATTGAGTACGAACTAGATGATTTCCGGGATGCGCTCCACTTTGTCGGTGTCGAGGATGGAGACTCTCGCTTCCCGCATGCCTACACGCGCAACTCGTCCTTTCCCGGTACTGCGTCCTGCCTGTTTCCGTGCGTAGACGACGGCGAGACGAGGTGCATCTTCGACGTATCCATTCGCTATCCGCGGACGCTAGGCGATGCTCTCAGCAAATCCTCTGCCTCCAATGCGAGCGCCCATGCGCCCGCTGATGGAGTCGAGAAGGCCGACAGTGTCATGCTGGATGTGGACGACGAGCAAGCCGATCTGTCCGAGGAAGAAAAGGCCATGGAAATGCAGGTCATTTGCTCTGGAACGCTAACAGATGACGTGCGTACTTGGTTCGGGTTACTTTGATGCGCAATGCTGACACGTATAGATCCTCGACCCTGCCGACCCTGCACGAAAAACTGCGAGCTTTTCATGCGACACCCCCGTTCTTCCACAGCACATTGGATTCGTTATTGGGCCCTTCGAGCATGTCGACCTCTCCGAATACCGCGATACCCTTGACGACGAACGCTTGGGCGAGAATGCCATCAAGGTCCACGCTTTCTGTTTGCCAGGCAAGGAGAATGAAGTCCGGAATAGCGCCATGATGCTTGCACGAGCCCTGGATTCCTTTACCGAGCGTTTTCAGAGTTATGCCTTTGGTAATTCGTACAAACTCGCATTTGTAGACGATCTTGATTGCGATACGGCGCACACGGCCTCGTTCTCGATCTGCAGTTCGCGTCTGCTGTTTCCGGAGACCGTTTGGGAGCCACTCGAGCACACCACCCGGGTGTTGGTGCATGCGGTAGCCAGCCAGTGGATAGGAGTTGATGTCATTGCCCACCATCTGCAAGACTACTGGATCATCGTCGGTGGCTCATGGTTCATGGCCGAACTCTACCTCAAAGAGCTCTTTGGCCGGAACGACTGGCGGTTCAGGCAAAAGCTGATGGTGGACAAGGTTATTTACATGGACCGAAAACGCCCGTCACTCCAGCAGCTAGGACAGCACATACAGCTCGATCCTCGCGAAGTCGAATTTATGGAACTGAAATCGCTCATGGTCCTTTCCATATTGCACAACCGCCTGGTAAAACAGAGCGGTAAGAATGGTGTTGACCGGTGCCTGTACCGAATGCTGTTCAATGCCCGTCAAGGCAAGTATCCCAATGGCGCCATCACTACGGACGACTTCCTTGATATTTGCGAGAAAGTGGGACACCAGAAGCTCGAGTCCTTCTTTCAGCAATGGATTTTTGGCTCAGGATGCCCTACGTTCCACTGCGTTCCTTCATTCAACAAGAAGAAGCAGGTGGTTCAGCTTACCATCAAGCAGCTCCAGGCCGACTCAACCATTACAACATTTGACAACGGCCTTGCGGCAGATGACTTTATGCGCGAAGCAAAGGAGAAGGCTCGTGGATTGCCATCAGGAACAGGGTATCCTACTTTTGTGGGCCCGATGACAATTCGAATTCATGAGGCTGACGGAACACCTTACGAGCACATCGTCGATATCAACTCCAACAATGTCAAAGTGGAGATTCCATACAATACAAAATACAAGCGCCTCAAGAGGAATCGATTGAACAAAGAGCGTATGGCTGCCGCAGCAGGCCTCGATGCTTCTGGCGAGACGCAAGAAGACGTTACTTTTTACATGTTGGGAGATCTTTTCACCTCGCCGCAAGAACATGAAGAGTGGCGACTGGACGACTGGCCACCGGAAGACGAAGCCAAGCAGGAGGGGGAAGCCTATGAATGGATCCGTATTGACGCCGATTTTGAATGGATATGCCGGACCAATATCGAAGACATGCCGTCCTACATGTACGTTTCGCAACTGCAACAGGACAAGGATGTTGTTGCACAAGCAGAGTCGATACAGTTTCTTGCCAACAAGGAGGGTCATAAGCTGATTTCTACTTTTCTGGTCAAAACGCTCATGGACAATCGATACTTTCATGGCATACGAACAATGGCAGCCATGGTCCTCGCTCAGAGTGCGCTCAAGCGAACCGAGTGGGTTGGACTCTTCCACCTGATGAAGGCTTTTCGTGAGCTCTTCTGTTTGCCGAACTCGCCAATGACTCGATCAAATGACTTTTCTGATCGCAGCATGTATCTGATACAATGCGCTATTCCCAGAGCTATTGCCAAGATCAAGGGCGAAGACGGCAGGTCACCCCTAGAAGCCAAGCGTTTCCTCCTCGACCTGGTGCGATACAACGACAACCGCGGAAACGATTACAGCGATGATCACTACATTGCTACACTGATGCGATGTCTAGCGGAAACTCTCACCAAGACAAACGTCAACTCTGAGCTCAGCCATGAAGAATGGGCCCAAGAACAAGACTTTATGAACAAGGCCATTGGAGAGCTTACCCGCCATCAGAGACTCGATGAATGGATTCCCACGTACCAAAACGTGTACACGACTACTGCGCTGGACTGTGCGTTCAAGCTGGTCACGAGCCGAGTCGTCCCTTTCAAGCCTACGGAATTCATGCAGTATGCGCAACTAGGGAATGCAGACAATGTACGCTTGAAAGCGTGGGAATGTCTCGTTCGCCTGGGCATGTTCCGCAAAGATTCGGTAATGAGGTTCCTGGTTCACGAAATCAAGTCGGATCCCTCGCCATACTTCAGGAAACAAATGCTGCGCATTTTTGGCCTTGCCATTGGCCAGGTTGCCACGGGCGATGTCTGGGCACCAGAGAAGGCTGCTGAGACGGCTGCAGATACGCTCGTGGTTGAGAACGAAGCAAGCAATGCCGAGCGCGCATCAGCTCTTGCCCGTCAGACCCTTGAGGGGGCTCTGAAAGGTTTGAAGAGCGATCTGCAAGGCCACCAGACTTTGCGTTCGGTTCTGGAGGAAGCTCTCAAGTCTACAGCACTGTCTCTCAATGACGTGATTGAGATTTTGGACATTTGCGACATGATCTTTGACGACAAAAAGGTCAACAAGCTACCCGTTAAACTGGCTCTTCCACGTTACTGGAGGATAGAACACATTGGAAAGGCAGTGTTGCGCTTCAAGCAGACCAACAAATTTCGAACCACGCCCAAGCGGCCTGTGGTTGCCAAGGTTCCTGCACCTGTTCTTCCGGTTGCTCCGCCTCTTCCTGTACGAGAGCCAGTACCTCCGATAGCGAAGCCACCTGGACAGCCCAAGCTGTCGCTCAAGATTGGTGGTCTAAAGAAGAGTGCTTCATCCCCTCCATCAGGCATCGACTCTGCCCCGGCGAAATCACGAAGCCAGTCTATTGTATTTTCGCCCAAAATCCATCATTCACCCTCCCCTATTCCTCAGTCGACCAAGCCTTCTCCAGCGCCACAACCACAGCCAGTGCATGTCCCCCCTCCTATCTCCACTCCTGTCCCTGCCCCTGCATCCGCTCCTACCCCTGGTCAACCGGATTCTCGAGCTTCCACACCAGAGATACCATTGATGCAGCAACCAATGAAGAAAGTGGCCGCTCCAGCAGCAACACCCAAAGTAGCAACTCCGGTAGCAGCGCCAACGCCAACGCCAGCCGCGGCTCCAGCACCAACTCCAAAACCAATTACCAAAACGCCAGTGCTTCCGCCAAAAGTTCCCTCATCAGCTTCTGGTTCCAGCTCTGCACACGGAAGGTCAGCACCAACAACCGTCAAAATTCCAAAATCTGTTGCCACGCCTCCTGCCATTTCATCGCCGGTTCCGCTACCTGCTCCCAAACTCAAGATCAAGACGAAGACTGCCAATGGTTCAACCGTGCCATCCAAACCATCGAGTGCTGCTCCATCGCCACGTCCCAGCGCCGTACCTGCGTCTCGACCGACCATTGTTCCGCCATCTCGCCCTGCTGGAGCTCCGCCACATCCAGCCGCACGACCAGTCATCAAGCACAAGAGAAGCAAAATCGTCAAGCTACGGCTTCCACCACGTCTTCTCTCGCGCTTTACAGGCGAGCCCAAGAAGCGTAAGCTGATTGTGAACCACGGTGATGACGGAAGGCCAATCAAGCGACAGAGTCTTGATACGGGTGCGTATGCGAATGGAAATGGCACTGGAAAGAGCGGTTTGGTTCGTGTGGAGCGGGGCGGTGCAGACAAACCGCGCTTGGTGGTCAAGTTGAAGGTTGGACGGGGAAAACTGCCCATGGATCGAAAGTCATGATTTCTTCGCTTATCCGGAGGGGTCGACGAGCGACCATTCTAACATGACGGTATTGATGACTGTTGAGCGCTCTCTCACATACACAGCAAACGAGACGAAAGAAGCAAAGCGACAGAGACATTGAGAGAGAGAGAGAGAGAGAGAGAGAGAGTTGCGTGCATTTCATGGTGTTATAAGGTATAAGGTATCATGGTACCTTGGTTTTTCTTCTTCCTCTTCTTTCTATCTTACCCGGCGACATATACGTCGTATCCTTCCTTCCAGCCCACACACACACACATACACATCCATACAAGCGAAAGCAGGACTGGGACTAGGAAGGCACAAACACCACATCAATTGAAGCAAGCAGACAAGCAAGCAAGCAAGCAAGGATGAATGGGACAGCACACGGGAATGAAATGCGGGGACGGGGGGGGGGAGAAAGGGCTTTTATTAGGACAACCAAAAACAGCATTTAGCGATGGCGTTTTTTTTTTTACTGTTAATTTTCTTACTCTTCTCTTCTTTCTTCTTTCTTCTCTCTCTCTCTCTCTCTCTCTTGTTTTCATTATATATACTTCTTCTTCTTCTTCCTCTTCTTCTTTTGGGGCCAGGGCATGACGAGAGGTTTATTGCAGGGCATTATTAGCTTGCTTGTGTGCATGCATACATACATACATGTATAGACTATGCATGCATGTATCTAAGTAAGTAAGTATGGCTTGCGCGTGTATGCATGGATGGATGGATGGATGGATAGATGAATGGGTACAGTTGCGTGTGTGCGTGTGTATGTGCAAACTAGGGACTAGGGAATTACGTGGATATACCCCCTTCTTTTTTTTTCTTCTTCATCTTCTTCTTTTTCTTCTTCTTCTTCTTTCTTTCTTTCACTCTTCCATTTGGTGTGCGGTATTGCTGGCTGGATGGTGTAGATATTTGGGGTGAGTGCGACGGAGCGAGGAAAGATACGGAGAGAGAAAGTCGAGAGAAGGAAAATGTGTGCGCGAGAGGGAGGGGGAGAGGGAGAGAGAGCAGAATAACCAGAAGAATGATCATGCCCCCATTTTTTGGTGTGTGTGTGTGTGTGTGTGCAAACGTGGTGCGGTGTAAATGTACGTATCTTTGATGAGCTTGTAGGTAAAAGCGACTTTCACAACGCGTGTGGTGTATGTGCGTATCGGTGAGTTGGTTGCTTGTGAATGTGTAGGAAGCTATGACATTGACGACAACCATAGAAGAGGGGGAGGGGGGACTTCACAAATGCAAGAGACAGCAGCACAATATATACAGTGAAAAAAAATTATCTCAAATTTGGAGAAAAAGCTGTTTAGGCCTTTCCTCCCCTCGCTGCCTCGCCCATTTTTGTTGCTTACTCGTTTAACGCTCACACAACTTCGCTTGACATACATATAAACTTGGCAGCAGTACCGGAAAAAAAGCAACAAAATGAAAAAAAAACTCGTGTTGGAATGTAAGGGAAATCTCGTTCGCAGTCATGGACCACGTATCTCATGACATGATATGACATGACGTGGCATTTGGGTACTTGCCTTTGGTGTGACGATAGAAGAAGTCAATCCAGAGGGCAAGTTGCTTTTGAAGACAGGAACGAACAGTCGTTTACCATGGAAGGGGAAAAGAAAAGAAGAAACTTGATGACAGTGGGTATCATGACCTCCAAAGCAATCGCCTGACGGAGCGTACGCCAGAGTGAAACACAGATTCGTTGGGAAGTGGTGGGGGAGACGTAGGTGTCACTTTTGCTTCATGCTTTACAGGGTCTGACACTAGTGATGGCGTTGGGTCCGTATTTGTCAGGCAGTCCTGCATGGTGATGGAATTCGAAACAATGTTTTCCTCCCTCGTCGGGTTCAGAGTCTTGAGATGTTTCGCCTGATGTAGACTAGGCTCTGTGGCTGAACCTGTGGCTGCACGTTTCCTCTCCTTAGTGGATCCCGGCAGACGACCTCTCCGTTTTAGGGCTGGTAACAACAACTTAGTGGCTTAGCGGGATGATCGTGATTTAACCATCTCACCCTTCGTCTCACTCGCCGTTGTTGATGCAGCCTCGAGCTCATTTGCAAATGCTTCATTTGGAGGGACGCCTTTCATTTCAGCATCCTGCCCACGATCTTGGTGGTCCATGACAGAGTCGGTTCCATCATCCTTGATGAGTGCTTTTTCGGAGTCAGGTGTGATGGGGGCAGGATCATTTTCATAGCCATTGTCTTTGGCTGCATGGCTGAACACATGAATGGTTGAATCCTTGTGCTCCGCCACCTGGAATCCATCTTCGGCATTTTCTATAACCTTGCCGCACTTTAGACATGTTATATCAACGTCCCATTGTCGCATCTCCATTTTCTCCTTAGATACATCGTTGCATGTGATGGTAAGACGAGCCTTGCCCGTGTCTGACACGGTCAGGTTGGCGTCAAAGCTAGACTTTGTGGCCGAGTTGTTGCTGTTCGATTTTGCGTGTTTATCGGAGCGGCCGCGCTTGTTTGGCAAGGGGCAGATGGGCTCGGAATCTTCGCGTAGATTTTGGATTGCTTGTTCTTCGAGGCAGTGCGCATGGAGCCATTCAGAGCAATGCGAGCATTGGACCAGAAGCTCGTTGGGATTGATAGGCTGATTGTCGATGCAATACTTGTTGAGTTTCTGTAAGCGATCAGTAAGCAATGCCACATTCAACAGGAGAATTTCTTACACTTAGTGGGTTGCTCTTGGTAATGTCGAAACTTTGCCTGAAGAACAATTCGTCTTCGGGCAGTGGCAGGGAATCCGGATCATCATTCCAATATACCATATCTGCGGCAGACTGGACCGTCAAGGCTTCGATAATGTCCATGTGGTTGCTGACAATGACTTCGTTGACGCCGTGGTGGGGCTGCCGGCCGCCTGGCAGGTCCTCGGGTCGGTAGGCCCAGAATACTCGAAGATATACGTGTGACGAGTCGCCGGCGCGGACCTCGAGCACTTTGGCCAGCCAACCATCCAGCGCATCGGGCGCATTGCATTCGGATTCCTCGGTGTTCTTTACGAAGACGACTTGGCCGACTTGAAACTCTTCGCCGTTGACTAACAGTCTTGTCAGCATGTTCCTGTAGACCAGCAGTGCGGAGCACGAAACAGCTGCTGGCGACGCCTATCAAGACGACGGGGCGACATGCGGAACCAGACGGATACTTACTGGTGAATTTTCGATAGCGGCTCGTGCTTTCCCAGTAGAGTGCGGGCGAAATCTTGACATGGACTTCGCTGAGTTCCGCCTCTGGGAAGATATTGGGCTGGACGACATATGCATCCAAGGGCGCATCCTGGCCAGGGTATTTTGGAGGCTTTCTCTCTACCCCGTTGTTCAGGAGCTTGGCGTCAGCAGCGGTGTGCTTCTTCTGTGCCTTGACGTTTACGGGGCTGATGGTAAAGCCAGAGAAGTCTTCGACGGTAGACCAGTCGACGCGCCGTTTCTTAGCGACATGTTCTTTGGTGGATGCATGGCGTGCGGCAGGCTCGGTGCTTGGTTTGCGTTTGCGGGCCATGGTGAGGGGTGGAGGGGGGGGGGCGCTCTTTGGCCGTGCGAGGCAGGCGACGACTAGGCTTTGGGGCTATTGTGGAACTAGTGCAGGTCGCAGGCAGTGGCGACGCAGGTTGCAGACAGCACTTGGGGGAGCAGAGGTGGCGCAGTGTGGTGTGACGGTTTGGAGACAGTACACCTTGCGGGATGAGGTGAAAGGGAGGATAAAGTTTGGCCGCGATGATAGGAATAGGCCCGCGAGCCGTGGACAGACGCGTTGGTTCCGACGTGGAAGGGTGGACGCGTTGTCGGCAGTCGGGCAATCCCGAGGGCTTGGGCTGCGCTAGGCAGAAAGTGACAGGTCACGTGCAGGGGTGGTTTGCGTCAGGGATCCAGAGTCGCGGCCTGAGGGAGGGCGTGGGCGTGTCACGATGCTGTGCCGGCGCCGGGCAGCTGGCCTTGGGGAGCGCGCATTGCTGGTAGTGGTAGCGGGTGGCTGGATGACGTGAATGCATGCAGGCTTGGGTTACGCGTTCAATGCTGGCGGCAGGCCGTCCGCCCCCCGCGGCGCGGTGCTGTTGGCTGGGCGCGGCCGGGAAGCGTGCCAGCGGGCTGCATGGCGCCATGTGTGAGATGGCGAGCGAGGAGAGAGCGCGACGGTTTTGCCGTCCAGGGCGGGCGTGTGCGTGCGTGTGGGCGTATGTGTGTGCGCGAGGGCGAGGGTGAGCGGCGTGTGTGCGCGACGCCGGTTGCAGGCAGCGTATACCCCAGGTTTCGCGAGCCGCATCTTCGGCGGCTTGTCGTGGCGTGGCACTGGCACTGGCGGCGCAAAAGCAAGTGCAAGGACATGGGCGCACTGCCACAGCATCATCATGACCGCCGCCGAAGACATGGCAGCACCAGCACCAGCACCAGCGCCAGCGCCAGCACCAGCACAGCCAACGGCATGACACCAGCAGCGGTGCCGAGTGGCCGAGCACCACTGGGCAATGGCCCTTGTAGTCTGGCACGGGCTCCTGAGCGCTGCCAATACGGCATTAGGGCAATGCAGTGAGTAAGCGGATGTGTGTGTGTGCTCTCCGGGCCAAGCCCTGCACTGGGGGGGGGGTGCAAAGGGAGGCGGACGCGTATGGAGGCAGCAGGCCATGGGCGGCGGTGGTCCAAGTAGGCATGGGCACAGAGGCACCGCACGCTACACACTGGGACTACAGCCAGAAGAAGCACACGAGGCACAACGGCGGGCGGGCGGGCGGCGGCGGCGGCGGCGGCGACAGAATAAGAATACACACGCCGGGCTTTGCATGGCGCGCTCTGGGGCCATGGCCATGTCCAACTGGCCGATCGCTGAACCCTTCCGCGTCATAGGCATAGCGCATCCCTGCCCTGCGCCTAGAAATTCCTCCACCAGCCTAAGTCGACCGCGCTGCTCCGGTATGCGCACTACATGAAGCGCCCGCCTGCCCTCGCCCACGCCCTCGTGCTCTCGTCTCCCCCGTGGCCCGCCATCTCCTCTCTCCTCCCCCCCCTCGCGCCGTGCCCTGCCCTCCGCATCCCCCCTGTGCTGCCGTCGCTCGTTTCGCCAGCAACCCCCCTCGCCGTCCCTGCTGCTGCTGCTGCTCCTGCTGCTGTGTGTGCCTGCGGGCGACCGTGTCCCTGTGGCTTGCGCGACCGCTTCACTACCGTCGACACACGACGCGCGCCCTGGAACACCTCATAGCCCACACCATAGCCCGCTGCTACAGCAGACACGCCTGCCCGTTGTCGCCGCCATGGGCCGCCCCAAGAGAGGTAAGTCGTGCGCCCCCCATGCCCATGCCCATGCCCTCAGCCGCTCGCTCCTCGAAACATGTTCTCGCTGCCACTGTGTGGAAGCGACGCCATCTCTGCCTCGGACGGTGCGCCCGGCTGACCCCTCGCCAGTCCTCTCCTTCATGTCGCAATGGGGCGGGCTGCCACACACGCTGCACAAAAACCCTCCCTCTGCGGCTCCCTCGCCGGGCTCCGCGTCCCCTGCCGGCCCCCCCTCGCCCTTGCCCAGGCAGCCCGCTGCCTCCAACAGCTTTGCCCACTCGGCCACCGCCCTGGAAGCCTACAACAACGACCGCCCGCCGTCGCGCACCGCCACCCACCGCGAGCGCAGCGACTCCCGCGCCTCGGTCCGCCCCATGTCCATGATCCAGACATACCAGCCGCCCGTCATGGAAGTGAGCCACGACACCCTGCCCGAGCTGCAGCGCATCTTCATGTTCCTCAACAGCCATTCCAACAAGCTGTACCAGGAGGGCTATTTCCTCAAGTTCCACGACACCGACTCGCGTACGTCGCCCCTCCCCCGATGACTGCTGGCCCTTGTGATACTGACCCTATGCAGGCGGCCGTCCGGCCGCAGATCGCCGCTGGCAAGAGTACTTTGTCCAGCTCGTGGGCACCATTCTCTCGCTGTGGGATGCGAGTGCCCTCGACCAGGCTGGCGGCGAGGGCGAGGTGATACCGACCTTTATCAACCTCACAGACGCCGCAATCCACATGGTAACTTTTGCTCCCGCCTGGACGCATGGCATGGCTAACCCGCACCCCCCCAGATTCCCTCCATGACGCTCAAAGACGGCAAGAAGCTCGACAACATCCTCAGCGTGTCGACAGCCGCCAGCAACAAGTTCCTTTTCCACTTCGATTCATACCACGCCCTCACACAATGGACCGCCGGCATCCGCCTGGCCATGTTCGAGCACACGACGCTCTCCGAGGCATATACTGGCGCATTGATTGCAGGCAAGGGCAAGGCACTGAACAACATCCGCGTCATACTCGACCGCCAGTGCGCAAAGTACGAAGACTGGGTCCGCGTTCGATTCGGAGCAGGCACTCCGTGGCGCCGATGCTGGTGCGTCGTTTCTCCGCCAGACGAGAAGGAGTATGTCAGACTACAAAAAGTGCAAAAAAAGGCCGGCGCCTACGAGCGACCACCAGTCCTCCGAGGCGACATCAAATTCTACGAAACCAAAAAGGTCACCAAGCGCACAAAGGCCATCGCCACGGTCAAAGACGCCTACTCCTGCTACGCCATTTACCCCCAGTCAAAACCCCTCATTGACCAGTCCACGCTCGTCAAGATTGAGGGCAAGATCACCGTGCACTCGAATCCAGAGAGTACGACCGAAGGCTTTGTTTTTGTTCTGCCAGAAACACGACCCGCCATTTCCGGTTTTGAGATTATGCTCCAGTTTCTCTTCCCTGTGTTCGATACCTTTTCCCTATACGGCCGGCCCAAGAAGCTGATTGCAGATGTTCTGGACACGCGAGGATTAATGTTTGCTATGCCGTCCGATCGGCGCTACGGATATCTGGAAATGTGGGACGTGGTGGGCCTGATCAACACAGAGGGCAGTGACAAGTGGTCAGAGCGCCAGTGGAGAAAACAGTTGAAGGACCTGACATCGACCCGTATGATGAACTCGGGCTCGGATTCAGATTCTGGCTACAGGCGAGCTAGCCGCAGGAACACTGTGAGCCGAGCAGGCTTCCCCCGTCGTGGCCTACGTTTTGAAGATCAAGGCTCCGTCCGCTCCAGCCCGTCTACGCGCCAGTCATCTCCTACAAGGAGGATACCGGAAGACCTCCAAGTGCAAGCGCCCCGTCGTATTGGAACTGCACCAGCCGTGAGTCCGTTTGGTACACCACGCCATCAGCGCTCCGTATCCGAGCAACCCAATGGTCAACTCCAAACGACACCGCCAAAATTCGTCCCTATTGAGGCATCGTTGCCAGACGAGCGTGCGCCAACGCCGCCTGAGCATCGTGTCTTTCACGAGCCTTACCAGAATGGCGCCGTGCAGCCTTACGACAGTTCTGACTACGATGAAAGCCCTATAAGGGAGCCAGAAAACTTGCCGCCGCCTCCTGCAGACTTGGCTGCCCCGCCTCAGGGTATCGTCGATCTCCCACCAACCCAGGAGCATGCCGCCAACCAGAAGCCGCCCATTCGCCCAAACATCCCCACCATGAAGCCAAACCCAGCCGTCGACTCTGCCACACTTCAGCAGATGGCTGACGCTGTACAGCCCGGCGTAGCCAACGCCGCCCTTGCTAGCCCTTCTTGGAGAGGCCATGAAACCATACAGAGTAGGCGAAGCGGCGACTACGGTGAGCCAGCACCAGCCATGACGCTTGATGTCACTTCAAGGCCACCGCCATCAAACCAAAACTCTGGCAATCGTCTGTCCACGATTCCTGCGTCCCCTTACGTTGAGCATTCAGAATTTGTCGACTCCCCAAATGGCTACCATCCCATTGCCCCGCCTGTTCCAGAGCATAGTGAGTTACCACAGGAATCGCAAAGCCAGGAGCTCCCCTTCCGCCCCCAGCCTGGGAATGGCAGCATTCCGCGTAAGCCAGTGCCAGGTCCGTCTCCCCTCGCCTCGCAAGAGGATGATACCCTCTCAACCTCTAGCTCAAGACTCGACAGTTTACGAAACGATATAATCGACCCTGATGCACTCGACACTCTCGATCGCCATCCAAGCTCCTCAAGCAGCCGTTACGACGATGACGGAATATCTACATCTACCCCAGACTATGCCAGTGTTACTGAAGAGGAACCTACGCCACGCCAGCTTCCCCAAAGGCGCGAGGATCGACCCCGGAGTGGGGTGTTGACAGTGGTTGGAGACCCGAGCGTAAAGGTTCCTACGGATGCTCAAATCGGATATCAGTCTGTGTTGGACCCAGCCAAACCTGCCGCAGAGCCAGTGAAACCACCTACCGAGGACGAGATGCCAAGCATCGACTTTGGACCGACCTATGCTTTGGACTTTAATGAAAAGCGCCCAAGTACGAGCGGAACCATGACACAGATGCTGCACGACAGTGGAGCTTCACAGCCAAGGGAAAATCCTGCAACAACTCTCGGGGAGCAAAAAAGGCATTCCTACATGGCTGCTCCTAGTCCTCCTTACGCGTCTGGACACATGCGTAGTATCTCTGATTCTACACAGATCCATGAGCCCCGACAGGTGCCTTGGCAGCCAGCTGCACCCCAGAACCATCACTCAGATAAACTGAGACTGGATCCTGAAGACTGGGTATTGCACCGTGCGTCTCAGCAACAGCCTATAATGCATGGGCACTCGAGAAGTGTATCGCGTACGCCTCCACCCTTTGGTCGCACACACTCGGGGGATTGGAGCCAAGTGCAGCGATCTCTTCAAGAATCCCCAGGCCATGTACGCCCGCCAAGTCGCCCGTTGAGTTTTGCTGCCGATACACTGCTGGTTGATAAACGACCCACAACATTGTCGGCCCGCGAACAAGAACAGGTGGCGCGAATGACAAATACGCCACTTCTTGATCTGACACAGACCCCCAAGAAGTTGCAAAAGGAGCCTGCCACGGGTCTAACAGGCTTCATTGACAATCGCGAAAAGGAAAGGGCCGCCTCCAAGGTCAATCGCCAGAGCTATTCGTCGTCTATGCAAGCCGAAATCGACAGGCGGACGCTGGCGGCCCAGCAGCGCCAAATCATGGAGGTTCAGCAACGTCAACAGATGGAAGCTCAGCAGCGCCAACAGATGATAGTACAACAACAATTGCTGCAGCAACAGAAACAATTGGCCTTGGCGAAAAGTAGCTATACCCCAAGCATGATGGGAACACCAAGCGGCATGGGTGCTGCAAGTGTTATGGGCGCTCCTAGTGTTATGGGCGCTCCAAGCGTCATGGGCGCCCCGAGTGTTATGGGTGCTCCTAGCATGGTGGGCACTGCCAGTGTCATGGGCATGCCCACAGGTCCAGGGACGCCGTCTAGCGTAGCTGGTATGGGGTACTCTACACCAAACCAGATGCATCCCATGTATCAGCAACAGCAATACTTTCCACAACAGCCATCCACTCCATACATGCAGGTTCCTGGTGCTTGGGGTACACCACCAGGCCAAATGTCGCAAGGCCAGTACTTTCCGCAACAGTCATCGCCAGGCTATAGCAATATGGGTCAGCAGCAACAGCAAACACCACCAACACAGGCCTACGGTGCAAGTTTCGACCAAGCCCAACAGGCGGCAAAGCTTGCATACCAACAACAACAGCAGGGTCATTACCGACGATAAGCCTCTTCCAAAATGGCATAATGAAAGCATAAGTAGTAGTCAAGATATTTCCCCGAATTGGTTGTAATCTGTAAAAGATTACGATTTTGGATAGCAGCATCAGCATCAGCATCAGCATTCACCTTGTCATCATCTCGTTTTGTATATACCTAACATTCCTTTTTTTCCTTCCCTTCCCTTTCCTGTTTTGCAGCTTTCCTTTATAGTCCGTCTCCAACCCATCCGATGCCATATCGGTTTACTGGACTTGATTTGCATCTGGGAGGAGTTGAATTTCGTTTTTTTTTCGTCTGTCTCTCTTGCTTGCGTTGGTTTTTTTTTGGAAAATCAAAGATTCTTGCATAGTAGCCAACGTGGTTGCACCGGAATGGAGTTTATGAGATTTTTCTTTTTCCTCTCTCTCTCTCTCTCTCTTACATAGATTGCCGGTTAGCCTTGGACGTTCCTTTCTTTTTTTTCTTTTGCTCGCTTTTAGTCGCGTGTGCTGTTCTTTCTTTCATTCTTTTTTCTTACATATCCTCTTTTCTTTTTCATTTGTTTAAACACTGCATCACTTTTCTTTTTCTTTTTCTTTTCCCTTTTTTTTCCTTTTTGGACTTGGAAGATTGGCCTCTCTTTATCATAGAGCGGGGAGGGGTGGGGAAAAAAACCACCACATAACATATTCTTCACTCTACACAGCATTAAATAATTCATAATATCAAGACTTGAAAAAAAAATTGGAAAGAGAAAAAAAATAATTGGATTGACAAGATTAAGCGATTCTCAACAGAAAAAAAAAATAAGAAGAAGAAGAAGAAGAAGACTACTACATGCACACATACATGAATGCATGCATGCATACACAGAAATAGAGAGTCTCTTCACCGGCGAGGAAAGAACAAAAGATAAATCACCTCGGTTCAAGTGCAAGGACCCAAAAAAAAAGTGCGGGGCAGATGATGATATTCCTTCTTTCCACTACATACAAAGACGGTAACAAGCTACCCCTCCATGAATACAAGCTTTGCATACCCGGTAAACCCCTCTTTTTTCTTCTTCTTCATATTGCATTTGCTGGCTCCACTTGTCACGCGGTCCCTGCTTCATCCGAATACCATCACCGGTAGTGGTAGTGGCGACAATAACACAGGCTAACCACGACCGACAACGGGGCCGTGAGCGATAACGGGGGGCTCCGTGTAGTAGTTCTTTACATCTTCCATGATTTCCTTGATGGTCGAGTCCTGAGCGGCGTTGCCGAAGCCCTCGGGCGTCTCGAACTCGAGCACCGAAATGCAGATGTAGGGGCTGTCGGCATTGGGCTCCGTCACAGACCACGACTTGAAGCCGTGTTTTGTCCAGTGCTTCTTGCACAGCTCCATGTGCGACGTGAGGTAGTAGTCCTTGTTGAACGTCGAGCCGTCCTTGCGCGGGTACATGACAAATACAGTGCCGACGGCCATGGTGGTGGTGTGTGTATAGAAAGGGGAAATATAGTAGTATTGAAAGGTAGGTCTGGAACTGGTCCTTGACGAGGATATCGTTTATCCTTGTACGAGTTTGCTGTGAGACTGGGAATTGTGCAGTGGTGGTGATGTCGTAGTATATCGACTGAGGGTTCCGGTGTGTAGTTTATATACACTTCCGGTGGCCCTCGGTTTGCGTAGTGTAACCCCACCTTGGGATCGTCTTCTCTCGGCCCCTAGTCCTTGCTTTGGCGTGTTGACTAGAGGCTGCTCCCTAGTCTCTGTCTTGATTGGGCTAGGGCCGACCGATGCTGCTTACGTCTGCATACATATGGGCACCCGACTAACCGCGTCTGCTTTCAAGCTTCCACGACTTGCTGCTGCCGGATACTCTCGGGTGGATACTCTCGGGTGGGTATCGCACTGTGAGAAGCAATTTGTGCAGCTGGTTGACGAACGACTATGCTGATCTTGGTATGGCTTCCGAGTAAATCGCAAGGGTACCCGTAAGAGGCTTTTGACCGGTGTAAAAGCATAACACCTGGAGGCGCTGCTCTAGCCTCCCGTACGACTGTCCTTTATGAGACTTTCCTTGACTACGACAGTGTTCTGGGTCCCCGGCTTCGCGTTCGGCTCTGGATAGCAGATATTTGGCATCGACACGTCGTTTCGCAGTCCAGCTATCCTGACGTCGCCCCAAACTCGTGCTGCGGGTGGGCCTGTGGCTTTCGCCCACACGTATGCCATCTTTTCCATGCCCCTCAGCCTGATTCCAACAACCGTGTGTATTTCTGTCACTATCTTGTTGCGAGGACGATGTGACTGCGTTAATGGCTCAGCGTCTTGTGTGTGCAGTGGCTTGAGCGCGATGCTTATTCGCTGAGCGACTGTGACTTCTTTGATGACAAGGCCAGTTCCCGAGTTTGGATACCGCCGTGGAAGTATCGAGTTTGTGACAACACCATCCTCTTCATGCGTGCAATCCGTCAGTTTGAACCGAAGGCCTGGGTCGAGGCCTATCTTTGCGTCTGGAAGCTGGCCGCCGTCGATAGTGCACGAGTTGCCGGACTCGAAAAAGAGTTGTAGCGTCGGGAAGAAGGTATTCATCGCCCAGTAAACAACCTCTGCGTATCGTCAACTTGGCTTATCTTCACATCGGCTCTGGCTGTACGTACTCTCATTGACCAGATACATAGCTGGTACCGTCCCTCCGAACTCGACTGTGTGTATCATGTTGACGATGCGCGGTACAAATGCGCCTTGTCTTTGTGTATCCACAGTTGTTGCCTCTGACCCTCGTATCTCGTCGTCGTACTTCAGGACCTCGCTGAGCTGCTCCTGGGATTGCAATTGCGGTCTAAATGCGCGCCGCTCCATCTCTCGGTGTAGATCTTCCAATGAGCAGGTAAAGTAGTCCATGCGACAGAGCTGGTGCCTGTGTTGTGGATGCCGTATAACCCGGGAACGCGAGATGCCTGGTTTGTGTGTGTGGGTTGTAACGAGTGATTTGATTATACTTGATTGAACGGAGAGAAATAAAAGGGCTGGATATGTTCAGATGTTTCGGTGAAGGAATGCATGTCGGCGCTGAGGCCAGTCTGCGTTTGCACGCAGTGCATACAATGACTTCACTACAACCGGAAAGAGGGTTCAAGTGGACCACAACAAGAAGGTGCGCCCAAACTATTGGCCATATCCACAACGTCGCAGCTCCTTTTCAGACCTGACATTCAGCAATCCACGTAGGTTCCATGGTGAAAGCACGTGTGGACAGGGGTTAATATTCACCAAGGTGTTTATGAGCTTGTGCAGTTGCTGTTTAATCTACATGTGCAGGGTCAATACATGCGGTAATCAGATTCTCGCATCCTACATTTACGATAACATCTCAAGCAAATGGATATGCGAGTTAACTGCAGTTTTAGCTATTCATTTGTTGATTTGTTCTATAAGTGATTTTGACATGCTGACGCAGCAGATTTCACGACACAATAGAGTACACAATGGAAGATACAGCGAGGTTGTTTACCGTGACCCTATACCAAATACGTAGGCAGTAATATATAGTAGCCTCAGATTTAGTTGCATATTCAACAGGAGTTAAGGGGTTTTCACACAAGAAGAAATGATGAACTTAGCACTATTTGTCTGGTATCTATCAAGGTGGGGTAAATCGTTGTTTTAATCTAGCCGCCTATTTATTCGATAAACGCAAGGGTATTTAAATATTGTGATGGCGTAAGAACGTCACATCTACAAGTTGTATCACTCCAGCGCCGTTATAAGCTGTAGGAATGGTTATAGGTAGCTGTTGTTGTATATCAGAGAACCAGGCTGACTTCAGCCTTGTAGGCAATACTTGTTTTCAAGCGCGTAGAATAAGTCTGAGTATCAGAGCTTCTACTTCAAGTAAGGCTCAAATGTGTGCAGCCTAATCAGGCATAGAATGCTCCAGTGTGTGCCTGTGTCACCCGACTAGTGCCTCTTGGCGGATGCACTTATAGACCCCAGCGCTTCTGTATCACCTTCTCTGAGTTACTCCGGGCCCAGAGACGTTCAGTCCTATCGAACTGGAACTAAGAGTCGCTATGAGGAGCGCTGAAAGGCCGCTCGGCTTCCTTGATCTCTCAGCAGGTAACTAATCGAGAAGGACGACAGTACTGTGCTATTTACTGACGCAAGCAAGAGCTCCGAAACCGCATCTACAACTTCACTACCGAAACACCAAATGCAAAATTGTGCCTTTGCTCGTGGAAACGTTCGCGCCAGCCTCCCCCAAGTCGTATGCGGACCGCGTGTGGAAAATCTTTGCCCTCGCGCAGACTAGTAGGCAGATCCGGGCTGAGTTTGGTCCACTCTGGATGCGAAATACTGCTATCCGGTTTGGATCATTCTGGGATTTAAAGCAGTTCATCTACATCTTCATGCCGAATCGTGCAGACCGCAAACATCTACTCAAGATGTTTGAAATTACATGGGAGCATCGTATCGAGGACCACAGGAAACTGCACATCACACCGCTGCTTCGCGTACGCTCATTCTGCCCGCAGTTTTATTTAGCTTTGTGCCCTACAAACTGACACCGGCATATGAAACCCTCCCCGATGAGGACGATTACAGCGTTGTGAGGCCAGGGATGGGCGATGAAGAATACAATCGGGAGCAATTCTTCCACGACCAGATGGACTATATGAATGTCGTATCCGAACTTTCACAGACCGCCAACGAGGCCTGGTTAAACAATTTACGGGAGAGAAAGATGTCAGTTTTTCTCTCCATCGATATAGTCGGATGAGTGACAATCTGCATCTTTTACAAAGAGAAAATACCCGTGGACATCAACAGCCATCGTCCTGCCCAAGAGCTTCTCACCAGGTGGGGGACATTGGATCATAAAATTGTATCTAAAGTGAATTTGGTAACCCAATATGAAGAAATACGGCAATCAGGGGACATCAAATTCAATGTGAAGACATTAAATGGGCAAAAAGTACATTTTTCAAACCTGACACTGCGTTCCTAACTTAAACATGTATACTTGGACTGTCCTACGATCCAACCTCTTCCTTCACGACAGAATGGCTTCTCACAAGTCATCAATTGTTGCAGCAGCACCTGCTAAAGCCCAGGTAACAAGACTCCATGACGTGGAAACCGCCACGATTCTGGCACCACCATTCGCATTTCTTGGCCCAGTCCAAGCGGCAGCTGGAGCGTGCGCCGGGGCAGGCCTGGTTCCGATTAGCTTTTATCAAAGAGAAAGAGGTCATGGTATGTAGGGGACTTACACGAGGGAGAAGACCAGCACGCTCGGCTTCTGCTTCGCGGGCTTCAAGAGTAGACAGAGCGGGGGTGCCTACGACGGCGGTGGTGAGGGCAGCAATGACGGCGATGACAATGGTGGACTTCATGATGAAACGAACTGAAGTGAGAAGATGTTGCTGGTGTTAAGATGTTCAATTGCTCTGCTGATTTCTGAGCTGCTCAACTGACTATTCTACACTCCCTTCTTTTATATCCAACCGGCCATCTTTCCGCCCCCATGGCCATACCCATCTCAACGTGCTGAATGCGATGAATGCGAGAAAACACCACGCCGTATACATGGCCTCATCTCCATTTTCTCGTATCCAGCAATTTATCTGGGGCAAGGCTTACACGCAAGCTGAAGCTGTGTCCAGCGAGTTATGGATAGAAACCGCTATTTTCGTAGACTTGGCGCTTTGGGCCCCAAAAAAGCGAACACAAGCTTGCTTCTAGTACGGACTTGGCGCGCACAACACCCTGTGTGTGACGTGGATCAGCCTTGTAAGCCAATTACTGTAATGTAGCACCGTAGCAATTCGCTTCTCTGGCTAAGTAAGGGAAAAGCCACAGCGTATTGGGCGTTGTGCAATCCACCCCCTGAAACAGAGTACCGTCACGAGAGAAGAGGCAAATCCATATATAGAGCACTCGGACTGGAGTAGTACAACAAAGACTGAGCACATGGAATCCTACAGACACCAACTCCGCTCGTCGGAGTGTCAAAGAAAGAAAAAAACACGCCATTGCCATCGCCGACGTAAATCCAAACAAAGTAACTGCCCTGCGGCTGAGACAAGGGCCTTGAATACGTAACATACACACATGTAGAACGAGGCTACTGCGCCCCCACCCCCAGCAAATCTCCATCTCCATCTCCATCTCCACGACCCCGCCTCCGCTATGTAAGGCCCACCGCAGGGCTCGGGGGGGAGGACGAGGGGGAGAGAGAGAGGGAGGGGGGCCAAACACCCACCCACCCACACCCGCATCCATACACCCACAATGAGGTAACCGACTCGCCGCTATCAAAAAGACCACAAGCCCAGCCCACTTGGCCAAGCCAAGCCCTATCTGACCCTTCGTCCCCCGCACGCTTACCGGTCCACGCCCATTTAGCAATGCGAATACGAGCACGAAACCCCCATGTAGGCCCAGACCTCCTTCGCACCTAAGTAGCACACACACACACACACTATCTCTCTCACCCTCTCTCAACGCGCGGGAAATAAAATAAAAAAATCCGTTATCTTAAGTTTGGGGGGCCCGAAGAAAAAGGAAAAACACCCCGGAAGAAAAAGTAAACAACAAGTATGTTTAGTGGTGGTGGTAGTATGTAGCAAAGTGGTTCCTTGTGGTGGGGAGGGGGGGGGAGGCGGGAGACCGGAATGACGTCCAGCGGTTCTGAGTGGATGGCGTCGCGCGCGCGCGGCATGTTAGTGTACCTGTGTTTTCCATCTATTGGGGGAGGAGGCGAGGGGATAGATTTGCCGCTTTGAGAATGGGATGTCGATATTTGGTTGGGGCTAGATCGGGGTGTTTTTTTTTTCGTTCGGTTACTTAATTTGCGGGTTGGAGCAGTGGTCATGGTCATGGTTATGGTCATGGTTGGAAATTGGAAATGGTCGGGAAGATAGGGAGGATGGGTTTTGGGTGCTGGAAATCACACAGAGGAAGAGGTGGAGAGAGGGAATGTCTGTGTGTGTGTGTGTGTGTGTGGTACAAAAAAGGAAAAAGGAGTAAGTAATCCCCTTTCAACCAGACTTAGCAGCACAGCCACACAAATGCTGTCACTGTAGTGGTAGTTCGAATGGACCCCAAAAGCAAACCAACCCAAGGATTTTCCAGAAGTAGCAAAATGTAGGAACGCAGGAATAAACAAAATACAAGAAAAAAAGAATACCGTTCCTGAATGTTAACATCACGTGCTCTGTAACGCCTCACACGGGAATAGAACAAAAGAATCTGCCTTCCTCGATACTAAATCAAAGAAAGAAAAAAAAACCACGTGTAAATACTATTTTAGCCGCCTGAAAATAGAACCGCAGGTCCCTAGGAACTATAATTCACAGCCTTCGATTAGGAGAGAAGAATATAGCGCTAGAAGAAAAAAACGCTCTTTGAGGATATATGTACATAGGTACTTGGCCTTGTAATGTACACGGGCTGTAAGTAAAGAGAACGAGTGTTGGACACGTACACACACACACACACACACAAACAAAAAGAGAAAAGAGAAAATATAGGGGAAAAGCGCATGGGCTGCCGTGGTATTCTCGCTCCGCCAAAAAAAAACAATATAGCAAACAGCCTCCGCTCAAATGCGCGAAATTAAAAAAAACAAACAATAACGACAATAATAATATTAACAAGGAAAAAAAAAGGGAGAGGGGAAAAAGGGAAAGACACCTATGTATATCAAACATAAAGAAAAAACGCATCTAACCCCCCCCCATCACTACTTAGTACACCGCCACCCACACGCAAAAAAACGCCAATTGAAAAGACGTATTCCGGATAAAAGGAAAAGAAACAGACAGACAGACAGACAGACAGACAGACAGACAGACAGACAGACAGACAGACAGACAGACAGGACCGCAGATGCAGGAATGGGCCCCCAAAAAAAAGACATTAACAAATACTTCAAGGGATGGCTAGCTAAGTAATCAACACTCGACAATAGGTGGCGGCACGCGGGGTAGCATGACTTCTGGCCCCTCGCACGTGACGACTTGCGACTGGGCGGCCTCCATGTGCGGGCCGAGGGTCCAGGCATACAGGACCTCTACTTTTGTATCGACATGGACGTCTATGGAGCGCATGCACTTCCAGGGATCTGCATCGAGAGCCGTGTTGCCGCGCTTTTCGTCTGCATCTAGACTCGCGGCTCGTGTGGGCTCAGCAAGAGTAATGGCGTCAGGAGGAGGGGTCTCGCTGTAGGTCGGTGGTGGTGGCAGCGCCGCGTGGTTGGTTACCGAGTCTTTTCTTGCTGCGTTCCGGGATGCTGTGTCGGCGGAAAGACGGCAGGGCGGGAGGGGAGGCAGAGGAGTGAATTCTTCTCCGCAGCTGTTATGCTTTACGCCGCCACCGGCGCTGGATAGCTCGCCATAGTACTGCTGCGAGCCGTATCCAAATCGCTTCTTCTTCCGGTTATTATCGCCCTCCTCTTGGGTGCCGTATAGCGTCGAGGTTTCGCGGAGACAGCGCATGTTTTCGCGCAGCAGCGGCCAGATGCCGGGGAAGTTTGCGACGTAGACGGCGACCGAGGCTTCGCGCGTGTACCACAGCATGTAGCGGTACGAGTAAATGTCGGAGAGGTTGTATACTTTTGTTAGGATGGCGGCGAGGATCTGTGAGGAGCGAGCGAAGAAACAAAGGTTAGTATCTGGCACACGATCAAGGGGAGGGGACACTGAGGTGGGAGAGAGACAAAAGGAACAGGGGATGCGAGCATACGACAAAGGTTCCCATGCTAAATAGTACGACTAACCCGATTTTCTGCTTGGGCGGCAGCGACAGCGACATGATGACTGGGATGGGGATCGCAATGAGGAGCAGGTCGCTACTGATGTTGAAGATGGACTGCACAATGGCATATGTCTGCAGTGTCGCGCACTGTTCGTTGGGCGGAGGCATGGCCCAGTATCCTGCGAAGGGCCGACACGTGGTGAAGAAGGTGATTTGAACAGCCACCCAGCCCATGGCGACCCATGCGGCGGCGGCCTGGATCCATTTCATAACTGATGTCTCAGTGAGCACACGGGCAAACATGAAGAGCATACAGGCTTTGAGCAGCCAGATGACGTTGAGCATACACTGCAGGAATGTTAGTCTCCAAATGCCTCCATGTATGTGGCATGTGATTTGGACATACCTGCTCAGACACAAGCACCACCTTGGACCCCTTGATGCGCGCATCAATCTCCTCCTGGGTGAAGTCGTCCATGTGTCCGGGTGGAAACAAGTTGCTGCCACCGCCAGTAGCTATGGCGTTGAGAGATATCATCAGGCCAGTGTAGAAGCCCGGCACCAGCGTCATCATGAGCCAGTCATCTGCGGCAAAGCGCGTGAGGCTACGAACCTGGCGCCAACGGGCAAAGCTTGACGATGCAACAGATTAGCGTGGGTACGTAACAAGATCAAAATAGAACCTTTGGACTAACGTTCGCAAGACAATGAAGGCAATGCCGATGCTAAACAGAATCCACGACTGTACCGCTAGTCGGTGTGCAAAGTCGGCCATGCTGACAGTTTTGTCTGGGCCCGGTTTGCAAGGAGTCGGAGGTCCGTCAAGGGCTTCACTGGTCGTTTACTATGGTTAATACGGCGGTATAGGCCCGATTGATGCCCTTGTGTGTGTTGAATCATGCATCGACTGGATGCTCTCAGAGAAAAGAGGTTGTAGTGGCTGGTTTGCCGTGTAGCATCAAACGGCGGCGATTCAAGCAGAAAGCTTGGGGGGGGGGGTCGTGTCGTTGCGTGAGGACTAAGGAAATGGATAGACAGTAGATATCTTGCTGGCCGTCCCCACGAGCCAGGCGATAAGGCCGGGTTTAGTACATTGGACCACGAGCCGCATGCTTTTGGCATGGCTCGTACGAGGAAGGGCAGCTAGCCAAACACTAATCCGTGCCTATGGGTTTTGCTCAAGCAGTCGGTACTGTGCAGGGCTGGGACGCGATGATCGGCACCAAGCCTGATGCCACGAGCAGCAGAGATCAGGCTCATGCGTCAGGGAGGGGGCCTGGAACCCCGACTAATGATTCGTGGAGGAGGCGACTCCCATTGGTGAAGGCTGGGGGAACGAGTATGGCCGGGCCTGAGGTGGAGCACGGGAGGCAACGGAGGCGACGGCGGGCGCGGGATGTGGGTTCGCCATGGGCGGGTGCGCCCACGCGACGGATGCATGACATGGTTCCTGGACAAGATAAGTAGCAGATAGGGGAGGGGAAGAGAGTCAGGGCGCTTTGCAATACCGTTGCGATTCCGAATCCGATAGATGCCGTGGCTCTCTCTCTCTCTCTCTCTCTTAACGCCCCCCACGGCCTTGCAGTGGGCTTGCTACTGCACTGCCTGACTCGATCTGCACGCGGGAGCGCCAAGACTGGCGATGGGAGAAGGGCCAAGACCATGACCTTTGAGCTGGGTACGGCTTGACAGGACAGGACAGGACAGGAGTGGCCTAATCTCACCCAGCTCCCAAGGGGCCAGGGCCCTGGAGCCAGAAAGGGCCGGTCGGGAACGGGCTGAAAGCTTGCGGCGTAGGGAGGCAAAGCATGACCTCAGCATCGAGCGGACCTGGCTCCATGGCGATGCAGCAGCCGGCGGACGGCCAGGCTGGACGGCCAAGGTACACGACTTGACGCAAAAGGCGTTGGTCAAGATAAGAAGAAGAAGAGAAAAAAAAGCAACACCAGAACGCTGTCGCATGTCATTCGCCAACTGAGACACTGGCAGCGCATACGTCCCGAAGAATTGGGCGGCTGCTCCCAGCCTAGGCGCCACAAGGTTTCGAGTCAGGTCTTCAAGAACCACGTTAGCCTGCGTATCCTCACTGGCGCCGAAAGTCTATTTGACAGTGCCTCAGCTTGCACTTGGCTCCGCCTGTCTCGGCCAAATCTTACTGCCACCGTGTGCGTATACCAAAGCATATGAGGCGCTCAACACGCAAAAACTAGGTTCTATTGATTACAACGAATGTAAGTATCTGGAAATAAATGCACATGTCCCCACCAAGATGAAGCACCCTCCCCTCACAAACTCCCCTTTGCGGAGACGCCGGAACAAGACCGTATGCGATCTACACGCTGCCATGCAAGCCTTTGCAAGGAAGAGAGTCAAGGGACCGACATTGCCTCCCCGTATCAAATGCAGAAGAGATCCCCGCTAAGCAACACACGCTAAGCCCACATAAAGACGGCTCGACACACGCACAAAAGGCACACCAGTGCTCAGAGACATGCTAGAGCTAGAGCGCCCAGCTGCCTCTCCGCACAGCAGTGCCACTGCTAGGGCCCGTGACATCATCCTCGGCCATGTTGGGGTGCTGTCTCGCCCACTCCTGGATGTAGATGCGCAACGCCCGCCAACGCATGCACGTCTCCTCCGTAATCTCAGAGTCCTTGAGATTGCCGTCTTTCCCAAGTCGTATGTACCCGCGCGACGAGGCAAGGTGGTCATCCTGCCTCAGTTCAGAAATGGGAATGCCCGAGATCTTGGAGAGCTCCTCGTCAAACGGACGCGCCATCGACGGGTAGCCCAGCGAGAGGTAGTTGTACACCTGCGTAACAAAGTCGTCGCCAAACTCTTCTTCAATCGTCTGCTCCACAGCGAGCTTTTCATCGATGCCTGCAAAGTCGGACGACGCAAACGTGGCGCCTGAGCTAGACGCCGGGGGCGTGGGGGGCAGCAGACTCGCAGTGGGCGTGGGATAGGGCGATATGGGATTTGGCTTCTCGTTGTGGGGCGTCAGGAGACCACTCGGCCCGCGTGGAGACTTGTCTCCACCATTGACGCACATTCCACCCCACAGACCATGAGTGCTCGACGCTCGACTGTTGGCATTAGACCACAATGATGGTGTTGTGCTGGTTTGCCTTCCATTTCCCACGCCGCACCACAGACTCTCTCCCTTTTCCGAAGCGGCCTTGGACTGCTCCGAGAGATAGCACATGGCTGTCTTGACGGCATCGCACCCTTGCGTGGGGTCGAACCGAGATGGCTCGGGTGATGCGCAGCGTGGAAATTTGATATCCTGCCCAAGCATCGGAGGTCGGGCTTCTCTGCGCTGACGCTCCAGTTCAGGGTCTTTGCGTTCGTTTGCAAGCTTCTTGGCCGTGGCAGCATCGAGAAAGCCGGCTGGGTTGCCAAACGGACTAAACGCAGGCTTTGCGTTTTGTGCAGGCGCCGACTTGTCCTTTTCAGTCCCTTGTTTTTCATGGAATTTCCGCATATCCTCCAACTCCCAGTTGATTTGTGAGTATGATGCCTCTGGCTGCTGTTTCGCCTCTGTCATGGATGGCTCAGACTCGTCCGTGTCGTGGTCTACATAGTGAGTCACAGGCTCGTGGTCCTCGCTGTTGGGGAATGCGGCCAGTGCCTGTTCTTGAAGTTGCTTCTCGGCAGTCTTTGCAGCCAGCTGGAGCAGATATCCGGCAGAAGTGCCGTCCACACTTTCTCGTCGCCGCGTGGCCTCCTTGTACATGAAGGAGTGGTCGGAGCTGTAAGGAAGTGACTCGATGGGCGACGATGGCACTGATGCCTCGGACTCGGAGGACTCGATGGGGTCCAAGTCTGGTACACGGAACGAGTGCTGTGAAGAGCTAAAGTACGATCGCCGTCTGCCCAGCGGTGAAGCGTTGCGTTGAATCTCCAAGAACAGGGGATTCTGTGAAATATCGTAACTTGGCGTATTGACTGGCGGCGTGGGTGGTATGCCAAGGATTCGTGCCTTTCGGGCACTGATGAATGAATCTGGTGTCGCTTCCGTCTTGTCGCGTGGCAGCAGTGCGGGCTCGTCGTCGCCGGCCTTGCGGTGTCTCTGGGCAGTCTCGATGAGCTGGGGCCTGTATCTCTTGATGGGCAGCTTCTTTGAGGCTGTTTCCATGGGATTGGCCTTGAATTTATCCGTGGGGGATGTTTGCGCTTCCCAGTCCTTGGCAAATCTGTGACGACTGCTTCTTGTTGTGGTTTCTATTGGCTCGGGAGCAAAGCGGCGGTTCGACCTGGCCGTGGTTTCGAGAGGTTCGGGTTTGAATCTGCGGTTCGCCTTGGAGCTTGTGCTCGTCGTCTCAATGGGCTCCGGTGCGAATCTCCGGATGGATTTGGAGCTCGTGGTTGTTGTTTCAAAGGGCTCGGGCAAAAACCTGCGCGTGGCTTTTGAACTCGACTTTGTCGTCTCAATAGGCTCAGGCGCAAATCTTCGGGGCTTTTTCCCCTCGGCCTGCTCTTGCCGGTGCTTGTCCTTGGACGACGAAACTGTCGTCTCAATGGGCTGGGGCGCAAACCTTGGGGGCTTATCCCCCTCAGCATGCTCTTGCTTATATCTATCCTTGGAGGACGAAACTGTCGTCTCAATAGGCTCGGGCTTGAAGCGCCGGGGGGGAGCTGCAGAAGCCATTTTCTTAGTATGACACCACCCTTGACAAGTGTCTCGTTACTTTGCTGTGTTGGAAATGGTCTATGTCACTGATGGTGTTGAACCGCCAATAGCAGGGCGCTGTGGCCGTCGGGATGGACTAGCAGCAACAAATGGCAGTCTGTCTGCGTTGCGGATGCGCACGCGAGCGGGGAAGCTGGTCGGAAGATTTCGGAGGCATGCAATTAGGTATGAGGATTGCAATGCGTGCCGGCTTAGTGAGAAGCGCAAATCTAGGGCAAACGGAAGGGCATGCAGATTGGCTGATGGCGAGGGCGACAGGTGTCGACTGATGTGGTAGATGGGATGATGTGGTGTTTGGTATTGGCTGGGATGGTGTGTGTAGTACGACACTCGGCCCGCTGGTATAGTAGAGTTCAAGGGTGCGTGTGGAGGCTTGGGGAGCGTCAGTCGCGTGCGCCGTGGGATGGATGGCGGTGCACTCACCGTAGGCCGTATCTCAATTCCCACACGGCCAGGGGTTTGTCAAAGTGCGGAAAGCGTCTGAAGGAGAGGATGGCGGGCAACATGTGAAAAGGCGCAATGCCGAGCAGGCGGACTAACGGCGACTGGCGGCGGCGGCGGCGGTGGGTAGTAGTAGTGGTGGTGGTGCGGGTGATGATGGTGTTGGTGCAGGATGACGTATGGGGACAAGACTGAGTCGCGATGACAGACAGCCCCTGGAGCGCCCGCGGGGGGGTGGGTGGGTTGTAGATGTTGGTCGAGAGCGGCGAGAGGAGCGGCGAGGAGTGGGGGGGGAGGGAAGGGATACGGTATATGAAGCAGCCGTGGTGCAGTAGTGCTAAACCCTGGCCAGACGAGGAGACGCGGCGAAGCGACGAGATGCGGTTTGCTGTCGGGTGCAGAAGAGCGCTTCGATCAAATCTCGCCCGCTGCGCCTCGTCTTTTCCCGCCCGACTGCTGTCAATAAGATTGGGATATCAATGCGCGGTGCAGAGTGGAGCGCCCATGTCGCAGCGGCACCACTCGCAACCGTCGCCCAAAACAAATATAGATGGCGCTGGCAGGCGGTCAGGTCGTGGCAACCCGACAAGAGCAGGCGGACAGGCAGACGGGCAGACAGTGTGGCACGTCGGCCCAACAGGCCCAGAGGCCGTGGACTGGACCGCATGTCACGGCACCGGGGCGGCGTCTAGCACTCCATGGCGTGCAGGCGGAGGGAGGCAGTGTGGGTCTTGGGATGGCGGCCAGGCAAGGCGATGCGATGGGCAGCTCGCAGACGCGACTGAAGCGGCCATGGAGCGGCGACGGTTGAGCTGGGGGATCGACGGTGGACAGCCTGGTGGTGGGTGAGAAGGATGGCGGCCCCAAGCATGCGCCCAGAGCAGCCTGTCTTGCTACATACTGCTACCGCTCCTCCTCCTCCTCCTCCTCCCGCTCGCACGCCCACGCCAACATCGCCCGCTCGCCCGCTCGCCATGCAGGCACGCGGCCAGGGATATGCCGCGCCAAGCCACGACCGCACATTTGCCCGCCTGGACGATTCCCAATTCTGCTGCCATAATCATGGCGTCTTGCTGATGCCCACTTTGCTCGCCTGTCTGGCCTCATCGGAACACGTCTCGCCATGCACGACGCAGACGCACGGCGCGTTCCCTGTCTGCTGTGCACACACACGCTGGCTGTCCGAGAAAATGCCTCTATTCTGCTATTCTATGCTGCCACAACTATGGGCGCATCCGCGGCCGCCCACGCCACGGTGCAATGGCTGCGTCTGCAGCTGCTGCTGATGCTGCAACGGCGGTACGCGACAGTGCGCCCAATGGCGTAGCGCGAACATGCGGGTGAAGTCGGAACCGCGCACGCCCTTCACACCCTCTGCCCTGTACACCCATCTATGTATCCATCCATCCATCCATCCATCCATCCATCCATCCATCCATCCATCCATCCATCCATCCATCCACCCACCCCCATCCTCCATCAACCCATCATCCACTTGACCGCACCTCGTCTCCTGCACCTGCCCACGCGCCCTCGTCTGCTGCGCATCGCTATATAGTAGACTGGCAATCAATTTCTGACGATTCAATATACAAGCAAAACTAGCCCACCCGGGCGCAACCGCTTAGGCGACACGGACTCGTAATTCCCGAAACAAGCAAATGCCTCGCGTGCTCCCCAGCAATACCACCGTCGCCAAACTACCAAACACCACTCACCATCTAGCACGCTCCGAATCGAGGCGGTGAGACGCTCCTGTGTGCAGGTGCATACTCGCGTGCCAGCTGCTCCATCATGTACGCCAGCCGACACCGATCCGGCACAACCAGGTGCGATGCCGGATCCCCTCTGCAGTGCTCAAACTGCGGGCTGAGACGCAGCGGCGTTTGCAAAAAGTGGTAGCTGATTGGCAGAGGAGACGCGACTCGCATGCTACTGATCCAATACACGACTCCTGGATTAGGCGACGAGCTGCGAGCGCTGCCGCTTCTGGAAATTGCCGGGCTGTGCTCCCCAGGCGACGGTGGCTCGACAACCATACTCGCACACATGTCGTCAGATTCCCGGGTCCATGGCAACTGCACATCCCCCTCGTTCCACCCGGCTGCATCCACCTCTGACATGGACGCCTGAGAGCCACTTGCATCCTCAGCCTCTTCACCACCTCCGTCTTGCGCCTCTGCATACGAGTCCATGCTCTCTTCTTCTTCTTCTTCTTCTTCTTCTTCTTCTTCTTCTTCTTCTTCTTCTTCTTCTTCTTCTTCGCCTTCATCGCCGATGGCCGTCTCTTCGTCACTCTCGGCCCCACCACCCTCGTCCTCCTGGGCCTTTTCGCATCCATATCCACAATCGTATCCGCAGTTCCTCGCATTAAACTGCGGTGGTCTATCCGGAGAAAGTGTGTTCATGTTTGATTGGTTGGGCCCATCATTGCCATCCTCGCGGTGATCCATTGTGAAATCGGCAATCCAAGAAGCTTGGGACAAGAAGAAACAACAGTCAGGCTGTATGCAATGACACTATCAAGGTGATACACTCAAGGTGATATACCTACACGACGCAATTGTTTGAAACGCTAAAGATGTACACACTAATAATACAGATGGAGGCCCTTCCAAACCTACGTTGCAGGAAGAAACTGCAAACCCACAAGTGTTGCGGATGCAGCTTCTTTAAGTCTTGGGAGCACAGGAGCATCATTGGTCGTTAGCCATCAGCCACTTACCACCACCCAGCAACCTCGTGAATCGCCTCCGCACAAACAACACATTCATTTCCCCTCTCCGCCAAGCACTAGCTGGACGTCTTTCCCCTCTTTCATCAGAATCAGCACCAGCCAATGTCACGAAACAGGGCCAATATATCTCCTCTTCACGCCCCTTGCTAATAACACACAGTCCATTCACAACTCTGCTTCTCCGCCCACAGCGACGCTCCCTGCCTAAATAGTCCATATCCTTTGTCATTCTACCCTCGCCATGGATGCCTACACTGGCAACGATGTGTGTACCGAGAGTAACCGACACATCAGGCCAACCATCTCCTCGTGGCACCACTGACGATATGTTTCGTCGCCGCCTCCAAAATAAAGCATTCTCGTCGATTGGGGAACCTGCGACATGGCGTGCACTACTACTCCATTCAGCTCACCGCCGCCACATGTCTTGTACGCTTTCAGCAAGCAACCACACAGAGCGGGGTAAGACGGTCTCATCGGTGACTACATTCGTCAAGCTTTGCGCCCCTCAGCCAGCCCAGCCAGCCAAACACAACTAAACACAACCAAACACAATGAGACTCGTGCGCGGTACACATTGGCTGACTGGATTTGACCAAAACGTCGACGCATGATCCTGGATGGCTGCGTTGTGCCAAAAAAAATATCCCGGTGTTACGACAGCCATGGCGCCGCACGTGTTGGACATGTGCTCGAGTTTGCATGTGACAATATCTTTTCCATTTTTCCGACCTACCTAGATTCACTTCATGTGCCAGCATCTGACCAAGAAAAATGAACATGAGATTGATGATTTAATATTTGTCTTTGTTTTCTCTCAAGTCTATCCATGCCTCTACTACATATCCCTTGTTTTCTTGGATATAGTTCTTTGCTCTCTCTCTCTCTCTCAGTCTAAGAGAGTGCGTGTATTCCCTCTATCGCCCGAGTGCACGTGGAATGTCATCTTCTCACCATAAAGAAAAAAAAACCCCTCTCAACAATCTTCTTCACACAAACAGGCAAGATACCAGTGTTATCCCAGTCGTGAACATGCTGATAATGTTCCAATCCGTTCCGTTCCTAAGATTCCCTACCAACACGTTATTTGTTATGCCAGAGCAACGTCCGCAGCGAATCCCACTCGTCTGATTGCACATAACTGCATTTTACGGTTAGCCAAAAGCACCAGATCAGCAATACATGCCCGGTACGAGGACAAGCACAGGAAATACGCACATGTAACTCATACTGCTCCGGAGACTGCTCTGCATACTCTCAGGATGCCACCTGAAGATATACATTACCATGGCCCAGCTCAGACTGGCGAATGCCGGCCACCCGTTCCTTGACAGCGTTCGACTCAACTGGCCGTTGCCAAACAGCTGCCAGCCATCGACCTGGGCGTGATGGTGATGATGATGCGTCTTGTGATGGGCATTTGCCGCGAGGCGAGGCTGCACGGCGAGTTTTGCCAGGGCCAGGCACACGCGCGCCGCCACGTAGATGACGATTTGCTGCGACACCGAGTTGTGGATTGTGCGGCCAAACACCGTGTAGCCGCCGAGCAGGCCCGCGAGAAACGAGTCGAATTGGCGCTCCTTGCCATTCGGCGATGTGTGGCGCAGGAACAGCATCGTGGATTTGTACACGAGGGCAAACAAGCTCAGGTTGCGCGCGTGCTGCCGCGTCGCCTTGTACACGAGCGAGCATTTTGACCGTAGACTAGACAAGGGAATCGTATCAGTTTTTTTTCCGTGCGTTTGAGCAGACATATCTGGAGAGAGAGGTAGGTATGTATCGATTTTGAGAGGGGAGCATTTACCTTCCCGATCTAAAGAGGAAAATCATCCTGTTTGCGACTCTCGTATTAGCCCATGGATAACCTTCTCAACGGATATCCATCCTGCGGCCGGAAAACAACTTACACCAGCGCGTGCGGAAAGCGCACTTTGCATCCGTATACCACGCCATTCCTGACGCCTTTCACCAGTGTGAGGATATCGTGGTACTTTGGATCCAGGACGATGCGCTCCAGGGCAGTCTGTTTACACGAGCGCTTGTCAGCATCAGGCGCCAGAATGCGGGTGTATGTAGGGACCGCGCCGGGCACGACTTGTGTGGATACGCAGGGTACGGCGTGTGGATGCGCGAGTTTCGCAGCCATGAGTAACGTACTTCGAGGGCTTGCAGACGGTCCATGTCGGCGTGCTATGTGGGGTATCGACTTGAAAAGGAATGTGCGAATAGGGACTGGAAGTATAAGGGTACGGTTTGTCCGGTGGTTGCGCCAAAATACGTCGGGCGGCAGATCCCCAGCCGACTGTGCGAACGAGCCTCGGTCCAGCCAAACGCGCAGCTTGCGATGACGTCGAGTGCGCTTTGTTGTCTTGCGGCGTCGCTGCGATGCTCAGGGGAGGCGCGGAAAAAAGGAGAGAGAGAGAGGGATGCTCCGGAGAGAAGTCGGTCACGCGGCGGGCATGCAAAGTAGTTGTAGACGGGTAACGTGCCCTGAAGGCAAAGGCGTCGCAATGGCGGGTGACGCTGGCGGTTGGTATCCTCGGCTTCGCGTCAGATTCCCGGCCTGGCTTGCCTTTCCCCACAGATTGGAGGGCCGTTTGGCGCTAGGCCGCGATTGGAAGGGCGCAGGGGTAGTGGCCTCGCTGCTGACATGTGAAGGCGTGCAGGTAGGGCATTTGGCATGTGCTCTTTATGCATGGCTGCAAGAGGATCCAAACAACAAAGTCTATCAGCTGAAACTACGACTATCATGGTATCTATATGCCCGCACCTTCATGCTATGCTTTTGTTCTTCCAAACGCCGTCACCTTGTACCACTGCTCCTTAAATCCTCGCCATGGCTACGCTGAAATCCAGCAGAATGCTGCCGCTACTCAGACCCCCGACTGGGCCAGCGCTTCTTGAGCTCCTCGTATACCGTAAAGATGAATGCAGAGCTCGGAATCGACCTTGCAACGGTGATTCCGCATCCACGGTACATGCCCTTGATGCCGTATTGCTTCCAGACCGCTTTGCCCACGGCAGTAAAGGTCGACCTTCCGCCAGTGAGCTGCTTGACGTCCTCTGTCTGCATCCTCGACTTGATTGTGTCGGCAGGAAAGAACATGAAGTTGTATGCGCCGCCAGCAACAGAACCAGAAGCCATGCGCTGCCATACGAGAAGGTCCTCGTCTTTGTCTGATGCGTTGGATTTCTTGAACAATATCTTCATGCCCTCGTAACCGCCAAACCAGGCTGCTCCGCCTCCTGTTTCGCGGATCAAGGTTCCAAATTGGCCGTGCCAGTAGCCCCTAAGGCCCTGGTGCCGATAGATGGAGGCAATGACCCCTCGGATGGTTGGTGCGGCGCCTATGCTACCAGGCGTTTCCAGAGGAACCTGCATTTTGCACTTGACGAGTTCAATAGGAGTGAGGAATAGCGAGGTAATGGCTCCAGCAATCATGCCGCTGCAAAGCATGCCCGAGTAAGGCAGGTCTCGCTCAGGGTGTCTCATTAATTCGGGGTATATGCCCGAGGCTTTGAGAGCATCTCCTGCTATGCGGTACTGGGCTGGGTTAGTGACGAATACAAAGCCTACCAAAGCGACAACTTACACTAAAGAACAGGGTGCTGTTTTCTATGGCAGCTCCTACTAGAGGCGCACTGATGCCTCTGTATATGCCCAGAAATCCATCCTGCCGTAAGGACTTTTTGAAGCAGTCCAGTGGTCCGGTGTATCGGAGAGGCACAGTGTCTGGCTGTGACTGCAGACGGACCTTGACGGTATCAAAGGGGTACTCGATGTACTTGCCCACGACTCCAGCCGCTGAGCCACATAGGATATCCTTCAGGGCTTCTTCTCCACCCCCGCCAGCATGTGCTGCTGCAGGGCCCGGTACGTCTTCCATGAGAACTGGGGTGGGCAGCTCGACTCTTCCGCCCACCACCGCCACAGGACTCTTGTGTGCCTCCATCAATCACTGGTATATACGGTTTGGTCGGGGTTGTATGGCTCTGGGTCAAGTATGCTGTTAGGAAGCAGAGGGCATGTTGGGTTCCAAGAGTTGTGGGCGGTGAGAGGGCGCGGCGATGACTGTTATGAGGCCGAGCGCATGTCAAGGACAGAATGCGACAGGTCGTTTGCGCAATTGCCTAGGGAGTAGGGTCGGCGAGCGAGGTAACACGAGGAGTGACGGGCGGGAAGAGGCGGTGATGTGTAACTATGGGTGATTGCAATTACACGAGTCTGACGCCCGACGTGGTGCAGACCGAGGAAGACTTTTTCCCTAGCTCCAAAAAATCTTCAGCGTGTCAGACGGAGCATCGTGGAGCGTACAAAGGGCACGGCGGCCAAGTGGCCAAAACATGCCATTGACGCGGTTTTGGGCGTGACGAGAAAAAAAAGGCGCCTCCTGGCTTGCAGAAGCCAAATCCGCCTTCTCGTGGCATTAATCTTATCAGATCTGATGGAGGCTTCATGGCCTGTCGCTACACAGACCACCCCGCTTTCGGTAGGCGCGACCCTGACCCTGCAACCCATGGCGCGCTATCGATATCGGCTAACTTTTCTTGCGCCGTCTGCCTGCGACAACTCTGGCGCAGACCATCATTGATGCTCCGGCCTGCGCAACACGACCACAATGTCTGCCACTGCTACGGTCACAGCCGAGGCGCCGCCCGCGACGGAGACGGTGCCTGTCAAGGGCATGAAGAAGAACGGTATGCGCCTCCAGCAGCAGCAGCAGCAGCAGCAGCGACCCGGCCTATCTAACCACGCATGCAGGCAAGCAATGGCATGACAACAAGGCTCCGTTCCGCCCAAAAGCAAACCAGTCGACGTGGGAGAAGCGCCTGGCGGATAGGAAGGCGCTCGCTGCAGTAAAGGCAAAGGAGAAGGAACTCAAGGACGAGAAGGAGGCTGAGCGAGTGGTAGGCGATGCGGGCCGACGAGTACGCAGTGCCTGGAGCTGACAATGCAATAGCGACGAGTCGAGGCTATCAAGGCAAAGCGCGCAGCCAAGGAAGAACGCGAACGGTTTGCCAAGATGGAGGAGAAGATGCACAAGAGGCGTGTTGAGCGGTTGAAGAGAAAGGAGAAGCGCAACAAGATGCTCAAGTCGTGAGCGCAGGCGACACAGAAAATGCAAAAAGGAAATACTGCTTGGAGGAAGTCGGACACACCAAGCGACGTGAACAATGATACCCTGAGCTCCAGGAAGTAGATAGCAACTACGGCTTAATCCCGCCATGGAGCCGCCCAGGCCATATACTATAACAATTGGAACAGGCAGTGCCATGATGCGCGTCTATGAATGAGAGATTCGCCTCTTGACATGCTTGTGCCTGATGGCGCTGGGACCCCTGCACCGACACGCGACGCTCGGGTAACGCTCACCCAACCCGCCCAACCTCAAGGTCAACGCCCGCATCGCTCACCCACCCTCCACCATGACATGGAGCGATCGCCGTACTTCCATGCAGGCTTGGCCGACCCCACCCGGTACGAGACCCGCGCGATTTCGGACCCGGTAAAGAAGTCGCATTCCCACAAGCACAAGTCGTCGCGACACCACCACGACGGCCGCGATAGCCACCACCGCCATGGCTCCAGTCGACGTCATGCAGCCAAGGAAGCCGTGCAATCGGCTATCCAGATACAGCCACCCGCCAGTTTCGGAGATCTACTGAGGCAGGCCCGCGGGAGCAGAGACACCAGCCCCAGTCACAGTCGCGGGCACAGCGTAGCCCCAAGACAAACGGATGGAAGTGCGAGTGGAAAGGAGGAAAACGCCCTAGGCATCACCATCCCGCCACGGAGACCACTCCGACAGGCCGATGTGGAGCTGGAAGCAAGAAGGGTCAGAATCAGGCAACGGTCAGTCTGCACCACTGGAGATTCTTCTTGCCATTTCATACAGAAGACCCCCTAACATGCCATTCAGGGATATCCGTACCGCCCTACAGTCTCTTTCCGACCAGTCTCTCAAGACTTCGCGCCGCCTAGATGACACATACTACTCGATCCTTGAGAGGATATCTGTGTTGCGACAGACCATTGGTACACTACATGAGCTGTCAAGCCTCACCCGCGAGCTGCACGAGAACTTTGAGGCGGACACTGCAGAGCTCGTAGACGACGTGAGTGGCCAGGTTGAAGCATTCGATAACTTCAAGACACAGCAACAGCAAGTCAGCAGCCTGGAGGAGCGCATCAAAGCGGGAAAGGAAAAGGCAGATGCTCTGACAGCAAGACTGGAGCAAGCCAAAGAGCATGTCGATGCAAGGGCCAAGTCTGAAGCAGAGTGGCAGGCAAGAAATACGCGTATGGATATCTGAATCGACTTATTGAAGTAAGCTAACATGTTCTAGATTGCATGCGCATATTCTGGATTGCAGTAGGCTTCGTAATCACCCTCTTCTTCGTCTTTGTTCTTTTCCATCCCCACGAACCAGCCCATGATGGTGCTGAACAATTCAAACCCAAATTGGACCCTGCCATTCTGAATGCCGACGTACCTGACATGGCAAAGGAAGCCATCACAAGGGCAGCAACATCCAGAGTCAGCCCTGTAGTCGACACGGCCAAGACCAGGCATGTTCTGAAGGAGGATGAGCAGCTGCGGTCATTTGATGAGTTATAATACAGTTTGGTTTCATGATACCCTAGTTGATAATAGAGCCAGTGATTATTTTATAGAATCAAGTTTGCAGTAGATCATTATTCAAAGATATAAATCAGACTTTTGATCATAGGTGGAGGGCTTCTACTCTTGACATTAATAATTTGTCTCTACCGACACCCACGCACGGCAGTGCCAAGAAATACCGACAACGTCCGACATCCAGCAACTACACTTGGCACCTACGCCTAGCACTTCCATGCCCATCATTTCCACGCCCGACAGTCACGCCTGTTAATTACCGGCATTTCTGTCAACCACTGTCACTTCTGTTAAGCACTGCCATTCTATCAACTACGCTACTATCAGCCACTGTCAACTCTCGTAAAATACTATTACTTCCCCCACCTTTCAACTTCCAAGCCCTGAATTAACACCTGCTAAGCGATACATTCATGAATTCAACTATACCAACGTATCTTCACTAAATACCGCTACCTACCCCGCTTTAGTCTAGTAACCTCTCTCACTAGTTCAAGAAGCAGACGTTATATATATTGCTATTGAGTACGAGTTTACTAGGGTAGAGCTACCATATAGAAGAGCATTGCTCATCATCTCCAACATGCACAGGACCGAGAGCATGCTCATATACTCAAGAAGAAGAAAAGACAGATCCAATCGACGACAGATGAACTTGAGTAATTCCTGTCGATAGATTCAGCTTTATAGCATAATTCCCTTTTATAAACCCATGTTGAAAACCCCAGTAGCACCTAAAAATCACCTCCAAGTATATCAAAGACTCTTCCCATCCGCAGCCTTGGTATTCAACCTCTTGACATCAACATGATGCAGCATCCGCACATTGACCGCCGTCATGCCCGGAAAGAAATGCTCGAATCGCGATCGAACCATGCACGCTGAGCCGCAGGCGCCACAGAAATAATGGTCCATTTTCTTGGTAGCAAACGAATACGACTTTGGCTAATGTATCAGCAAAGAAAAAAAAACTTCCCCCCAAAATAAAACATGCAAGATGCCTTTTTTTTCCTCACGGAGATCATGGTAAAAGGGAAGGGGAACGGGACTGCCTTACTTACGCAAAACTGCTCGATACGGCCTTTTGAGAAAACTACGCGCTCGTTGGGCACATAGACGAGTAGGTAGCTGTTGCGCGTGCAGATACTGCAGTTACATTCTGTGACGGTGGAGCTGGGGCTATCGAGTGGCGGGGAGATGGTCACGCTGTATGCAAAGGCTCCGCAGTGGCATGACGCGTTGTAAGTTGCAGCAGGGGCATCTGCTGCGGGCGCAGTGGGCATACCGATGGTATCGAGTGTAGCAGCGCCTTTGGACATTTTTTTTCTTTCTTTTTCTCTCTTTTGACTTGTGCTGTGGGTACTTGGACGAAGAGACGAGGCTGTAAAGTACTTGGAGTAAAGGAAGTGACAAATTTCCACACGTCGCCGAGGCTCAAAACTTGGGCTTGCACAGCTACTTATTTACATGGCTTGTCCTCCTCCACCCCCTGCGCTACTGTAATCAGCTTTGACGATAAGTACGGCTTCTTGCCCGTAGCAACGATGCGCCACAAAACTCCAAATGGAACCTGTTGCCAGGCTCCCGTATGCAGATTGTGTTTTGGCATGCAGGGCGTAATGCGTTGTCGCGAATCAAACGTGCGGCATGGCGCCACAGCGGCGCGTAAGTATGCGGGGGAGGGCCAGCGTACTTACAGTAAATCCTCAGCTGACTTGGCGTCGCTCGTCTCGTTCCCCAAGTGAAATCTTCAGCAGTGGAAGCTACTAGGCATAACACATACTACTCAAGACCACCAAGGACATAGGGAGGAGGCATCAAATATCGACGAACAGCCATTTATTCGAATGTATCATTCACATCCATCTACGTATCTTCTATCACGTGGTATGGGGAGGTAGTGCTTTGATACTAAGCTGTGATTCTACAAGGCGTGTACGAGGTATGAGGTTGGGTTGTATTTGTTCAGTATAGAGCTCGAGACTACAAGGCTCAGGGTGTAAGAGGTGCATCCAGGATACGCTTTTGATGAATAGTATGTACATCATACCTTTGATCCGGGTAGAAACCTATAGTGTGATGACTTACCAATCGTGGTCAAAGGCACTAAGTACAGCAAGGTCCTGACGTGATGAGACACCTAATAGAAGAACACTCATACTTATCCTCGGCTAATCTGTGCAGGTGAATGTGATATGAAAAGCCTTTCATCTAGGCCATCGTTCTTGGGAAGCTCAGCACACGGTGCAACAACAAGCAAAGACTTACCTCTTGACATGGCAACTGGGAACAAGACAGGACGACTTCACGAAACCTAAAGGTGATCAGCGTGGAAGTGGGTGCAAATTATCTTGTTACCATACGTAGTCCTACGAAGTGGCCCCGGTGGCAGTCCAGAATCCTTGTAGCGTACCAGAACGCCGCATACTCCGATCTAACCCCTACTGTGATGTACATGATAAGCAATGTGAGCCCAACCACAAGGACACTGACCCATGACTGCTCAAACCAGAAACCTTGTCCCAAACTGATAGAGGTAAATGCAACGCAACGCCGAAGTGGTGGCCCCAGGCGCAAAGATCAAAGGAAGTACTGTGAATCTTACGTTAGATGAAGATGTCCAGTTCATGTCTCTTAACCTGGTCCTCCTCAAACGCCGGGTACGCCGGAACCATGGCATCGGCGCTCTGAACGTATGCGTCGTTGTAGATGCGCCAATAAGGCTGGCGGACCTTGCGGGCGGGGTGGAAAAGACCGGCCCATACGTAATTCATGACAAGAGGAGTGCCGATTGCGTTGCGAACACCCTCAATAGCTTCGATGATCCTGTCAATGACGTGAGGACTAGTCTCGAAAAGGTTCGGCCACAGAAGGTTCAGTAAGTGGATCATGGCATCTTCGCAGTCGAGACCGACACAACCCAAAGCGACATGCTTGACTACAGAGGCGGCAGTCTGACGGTGCACTTGGTCTCGATCGATGAGAGCATCTTCCAAGAGTGGTGTGATGGCATAGACATAATCTTTGGCCATTTCACCAATGTACTCGAACATAAAGGAGAGCGACTTGAGAACACCATTCTGTACGTTGAGTTCAGGCACACGGTATTCGTTCATGAGCGCTGGGAGGACAGTGAATGGCGCACAAGTCTCTGCGACGATACCAATGGCGACGGCCGTACAGACACGAGACTGGCGCTCCTGGACTCGAAGGTTGCCGAGAAGAGTGGCCAGCACATCCTGAGGACCAATGGCCTTGGCAATGTAGCCAAACGTGTTGTTGGCAGCACGACGGATACCCTTCTTGTGGGCCTTGAGCATGTCCAAAAGCTCGAAACAGATTCTCATCCATTCACGGGGGTTCACGTAGTTTGCACCTCGGTCCGCGATACGGCCAACCAGATCAATCGTGTTTTCCTGTACCTTTTCGTGCCGATTACGAAGAATGGGTGTGAGGCGGGGCAAGAGATCCTTGATGGGCGGTTGCATGGCATGGAGACCAACAACTGTGACGATGGCACGAAGAGCACCGAGGATGGAACCAAGCACCTCAGGGTATTCCTCACCAAGGTATTCGTACAATGCCTGCGCAAGCTTGATGAGCTGGGGATCCTCGTCACACTTTTGCATTACAAAAGTAATCCGGGAGATGAGGTCTGCGGCTTGCTGGCGGACAGTGGCAGACTTGTTGTTGAGCCTAGCCAGGACCGTCGCAACAATCTGAGGAAGATAGGTCTTGGTACGCTCGCCGAGCGCATTGACAACCGTGGCAAAACCGTCAATGACAATGGGATCCTCGATAGTCTGATCCTGGAAAGCGACAAGCACACCATCAATAAGCTGCTCCTCCAGACGCTGGTCGACATCATGTGCGCCCAGCGTGCTAATCACCTTGTCGATGGTTTCGACAGTCATCTTACGGTATGCTTCGTTCTCGTCCTTCATGTTGTTAACAATACGGCCTACAATCTCCGAAACACCGGCCTTTTGCGCCAGGTCGACTGTCGTGTCCACTACTTGTCGGTAGTTGCGCTTGTCGAGAGCCATGCGTCGTACCCAAAAGTGCTTGAAGAACTCGGGCAAGACGTTGTCCTTGAGGTAGACTGGAGTGACACCGGCCGTGTTTGAGCACTGGGAAACGACCTTGAGGACGACCTTTTTCATTTCCTCGTCGGGCGATTGGAACTCGCGGATGACAATCTCCATGATCTGGCTGGTGTAGTAGTTGGAGTACTCCTCGTCCATGAGCGGAATGACATAACCCACAGCCTTCAAGAAAGACGCAAGAGCCTTGCCGCGCTGGCGACGGGCTCCAGTCCAGAGAGGGTTGAGGATATCGTCAAAAGATTCGATACCATAGGGGCTGGCAGCTTCCGCAAGAGCGGCAAGGGAGAGAGCTGTGACCATGCGGACCTTTGGCTGCTCATCGTTGAGGTTCTCGCCAATACACTCGACGAGTCCCTTTAGATGAGGCAGAATCGCACAACCCATGAGGATGGGTATCTGCTGAATAATCTTTACGCCAGTGTGACGTGCGTGCCATGACTTCTTGGATCGGCAAACGGCTCGAAGGAAGGGCAGTAGGGCGGGAATACCGAGGGCGGATGCGACGACGGCAAAGGCTCGAGCGGTCGTGTTTCGGACGTATTCGTCTTGGTGGTCCAGGTCCGGACGCATCGTACTGATCATGTGGGCCAGACCAGCAGCCTTGGCGAGGTTGGAAATGATTTCTCGACCTTCGACACGAGCATAGTAGTCTTGGTCGATAAGGAGCGGCTCGATGACGACCAGGATCTTGTGGACGTAGGGTCGAACGAGGTCGTCGAGCTTGTACAGGACACGGTCAATGACTTTGACCAGCAAATGCCGCTCCTGGTCTTCGAGGGTGCGCTCCATCAAAAGTGGCAAAATCTGGTTGAACAGAGCCCCAGCACCAAACTGCCTGGCGTTGTCCGTAAGCTGCCGAAGCGCAGTCTTTCGCATCGGCGGTGTTCCATTCTTGACTTTGAGTAGCAATCGCATAATCTTGCGCTCCTTGAGTTCCTCCACGGTCATTTCGTTCTCGTCGGCGCCGTCCGTGAGCTTTCCAAAGTACTTCATGTCCTCGTTCTTGAAGAATTGCAAATCTCCGACACCAGGGATTTCCGTCGGCAGCTGCTTGCCCATGGCAGCCAAGCTGTTGTCTGCTTCCGGAATCAAGAAGCCCTGGTATCCAGTCGGGAGAGCGGGCATGCCAACTGGTCGTCGGACGGGCTCATAGCCTGGCGGTGGCTCGAGGATCTTGTAGCCCTCGGCCTCGCCCGGGAGCATCATATCGAGTTGCTCATCGGACAGCGGGGCGTTGCGGCTCGAGATGTCGGTACCAAAGGCAAAAGTCTGAGAGACGGGATGAGCACCGCTGGCAGCGGGGGCGGGCGTTGCAGTGCTTGCAGGGGCCACAGCAGTGGTGTCCCAACGTGATCGGGCTGGCGCAGCAGCTTCCTTTGTGTCTTCTGGCGCCGGTGACCATCGCGAGCGCTTCTTGGGCTCTGCCCCTTCTTCTTCTTCTTCTTCTTCTTCCTTGCCATCTTGCTTGGCCGCAGGGGCCTCGTCGTCTGCAACCTCATCCCACCGTCTCCTTTTGCGGGTCTTTTTCATAGGCGGGGTTTTGTCGCCGTCGACGGCGGCAGGGGCATCATCGTCTTTGAGTGTGGGCTTGTGATCGAGAACCTCGTTGCCTCCAGACCGTTCCTTGTCCTCGATCAATTTCTGCACACGCGCCTCCTCGCGTTCAAACTCGCGTTGCTTCATGACATCCTTGTACGACTGGCCGGCTTCATCGCCATCTTTGGCAAAGGGGTCGGCGCGCGCGGGGGAGAGGGCGCGATCGAACCGTCTTCGCTGGTAATCGGTCTCGCGCGACGCAATCTGGGCCTGCTTCTCGCGGCTGTCGAGGATGTCTGCCTCGCCCGCGTCGCCGTGCGCAAACTCGTTCATCATCTCCTTGGAGGCTGTGTATTGGCCAACCAGGCTCCGGCCGTTGAGCTGCACGTCGTCCATGTCGTCATCCTGATCACCGACAGCGATGGAGCTGACATAGTCGCCGTTGTTTCCGCCATACAGCTCCTTGTCAAAGGCCTCTGTGAGCGACTGCTTGTTGTTGGAGGTGTCCCCACTGGCGCCATTGGCCCTTGGGTTTCCTGCGCGCGGCCCGGCCATTTTTGCTGCAGGTTGCGTGACGTCGAGGCGTGGTTGGGGTTGATTGAGGGGATGGCAACACGGTAACGTGAGCTTCTCTCAAGTTTCGAGACGCCGTGCCTAGCGCGGGCCTGTTTGGGCCTAGCGCGTGGCTTAGTCATGCGCGTGGAAGCAGCTCGGTGTCGCAGGCTCAGGCCATGTCACGTGTCGGCAGCCCAGACCCGCCATGTCTTGTTGCAGGCGCCCAACAAGCAGCGGTGGAAATGCTACATGGTTGCTCGTCTCACACTGATGCAGCCAGCTTGACGCGTACGGGTGCGTTGTGCTAGTCTCACGGCGTACCAGTGCCGTTGTTCTTATTCGCATTATGTTGACACATGGGACCGCAGGCGGGCGTGGTGCCATTGGCGGAAGCGCAGCATAATGGAGTCTGAATGCATGCTAGGAGCCGTGTCTTTTTTGGTCGCGCTGCTAGCCCGATTCTGCAGTGACAGTAGCGTCTGTGGCCCAGAAAGGCCGAGCGGAAATGTTGGCTTACCACAGGCCCGTGTACAGTACGGCAAAGTTTGGGCGCGTCCGGAGCCGACGCGTTGCTTATTTGATCGTCTGTCTGACATGGACACGGGAGGTGCATGGGAGACAGAGAGCTTGTTCGTGGTGTATACATGTACAGTACACGACATGGCCTGGGCAGCCGTCTGTTGCATGTGGCTCGGTCGCAGAGGCGGGTGGCGGCGGCCCCCTATGTACGCGCATGCACGCCACGCGTAGAGTTTGTAGCGACGGCACCTGTTGTTGTGGATTGCATTGTGTGTGTATTTGTTTTGGCACCACGGCTCCCTGGCCGCCTGCGCAGCTAGGGCCGAGCTCGTCGTCATACGATTAGGTGGCTTGCTGATCGCCCTGGTGCTCGAGATGCCCACACCCACCACCCACCTCGTCCCCAGCCATCGTGCTCACACGGCCCACACCCACACCCACACCCACACCCACGAGCATGCCCCAGCATGCCCCAGCATGCCCAAACACGGCAACGCAAGCATCGCGTGGACCGTCCGCGTCCAGGGCCGTCGAAACCTACTGCCCGTCCCTCCACGCAGCCACTCGCACTGGCTGCTAAAAATACCGTCTCGCGCTGCGGGGCGACCGCACAGTAATCCGCCGAACTCCAATGGGTGCGGGCCTCGCAATACGGGCCCAGGCGGCGAATGAGCAAAGGCGCAGCGTCGTGCGACCCATGCCAACGGTGCATGAAACGGGCACATCGCCTCTGTGCTGTTCTGCCAGCCACACAGCACCGTCGCGGCAGGCCGGGGCCCGTGGGAGCACTCCGCTGCTGATAACGACAGGCCCTGTCCCGCCTGCTTTGGACCCGTCCGTCGATCCGACCTGCCTGCCTCTCGCTTTTATTGTTTTGCGCGTGCCCGCTCGTTCAACCCTTCGTTTCCCGACCTCGTCCATTCTTCTTCTTTTAATCTTGCTTCCAGGCTCCCACCGCCCCGCCTCAAACGGCCTCTAGCAAAATGGCGACGGTGGCGCACAACTATGCACAGGATGACGTGCACCCTCTCCTCAGGCACCCCCGACCCATCAAGCGCGATCCCGCCAAAGCACACCGCATGTTGGGATACCTGGCCGACTCGGAAGAAGCATTCAAGGGCCTGCACCGGGAAAAATCTGTCACCACACGATGGCTGGAACGGCCAATGTACGAACAGAGGGAGGCGGCCAACGCGGAAGAAGAAAGGAGCATGGCCAAAGCCGAACCCACACCAGAGATTGAGGCCAAGGACGAGCCCAAACCACTATTGTCGGTGCACAGTGTGATGATTCCACAGGAGAAGCGGCACAGTGACAGCGATTCAGACCTCCTCGACAAGTGGATCAACCCGGATAGGCCGACATCGTCTATCAATCCTGAGACATCCATGGTGAAGCTTCCCGACTCGGAACCCATTGCTAAGCGCGACACATCGTCTGTCACACGACGCCCGCCGCCACTTGCACGCCCGCTATCTTATAACCCTCAGCACTTGCTGACGCCGGAATGGACTGCCTCACCCTCTACGATGGGTCCTGAAACAGCGGGCCTGCCGCCTCTGTCATCATATGCCGAGAGCCCACGGAAGCCAAGCAGCACATCTTCACGGGGCAGCTGCGAGTGTGAGCAGCGAAATCCCGCCACATGGAAGAACAAGTCGACGCAGAAAGCAAAGGAATCGCGGGCAGAACGTCCAGTGTCATACCATCCACAAAGCTTTACTTCGTTCGAGAATCCAGCAGTACAGCCACGCCAACGCCCAACATCATTTGCAAACTACCACCAACGCAAACGTTCTGGGACAAAGATTGCATCCTCACGAGGCTTCCGAAAAGACAGTTTCCCCGCCAGCTCGTCAAGGCCACCGTCCGGCAGTTTCTCAAAGGCAGTTTCAGGAGAAAACATTGAGAATGACACGGTATATCAACGCTTCGGAGACGACGAGGTTGGCCCACCTACGCCTGCAACATCGATATCGCCCGCCATCCCGCCGCCATCCGTATTCTCGGCAACTCCAGTGACGCCCGTGGCCACCACATTCGATTCGTTTGACAAGTTTGAGCACCTCGAGGAGAAGCCGAAGCCAGAGAAGAAGTCCAAGAACCGATGGTCCACGATACCGCAGGCCCTCAAGAACCTTGGAGGGCGCAGGCGAGACTCGACGGCTGCCTCGCAGGAGACGCCCAAATTCACCATGGTCGTCGACGACCTCCGCCGGCTGAAGCTCACGGAAGACAACCTGAACATGCACGAGCACGAAGCAAACCGCTCTTCCGTCGCCCCCCGACGCCAGTCCACTCTCGGCATGATTCCCACGCCCCAATACTCGCCCTTTGACCCGTCTGCCAAGAAATCCGCGCCCCAGCTCGGTGCGCCTCTCCCCGCGCCCTTTGCCCCCTGGGCCACAGACGCACCTCCCAGTCCCAGCGCATCCATCGACTACCAACGGCGGCGCCGTAGCAGCGGCACCTCGTCGCTCTCCCCGAAGCCCACACCGCTCGGCATCCGCGTCGAATCTCCCTACCAGCAGTACCAAGCCCGTCCTTCGTCCATGCACTCATCGATGCACTCGCCCCGTAGCACAAACACGTCGGCGTTTCCTTCTCCACACCACTCATCCACATTCCCCGCACAATACACCTCGCACGCCCACCATCACCACCATCACCACCAACACCACCAACACCAACCTCACTACTCTGGCTCTTCGCGGCCTCCTACCGCAGAAGCCCCTCGTCTCGGCACGCCCGCCTCACGCCGCAACACACCCGCCCTCGAGCGCACATGCATTCTGTGCAAGACGGCCAAGCCAACAATGGAATTCATGTCCCGCCGCATTACCCAAAACTGCTGGCACGAGCCTGCTACGTGCGCGGGATGCTTCCACGCGTGGATCTCGCGGTGCATGGCTGCTGCGGGTGGGCGCGGCATCGACGCTTGCTCGTGTCCTGAGTGTGGCGAGGCAATGAGCAGGGAGGATGTGTTTGCTGCGACCGGGGGTGCAGCCTGTCCGCCTTGAAAAGTCTTGTTCTTTTCTTGTCTTTCCCTTTCCATGCATGCATGCATCTTTTCTGCTCTCTTTCTTCCTTTGTTTATTTATCACAAATTTTTTTTCTTCTCTGTTTCTTTTCTTTTCTTTTTTGATTTGTTTTGGACATTTAGATGCGAGGCCAAAAAAATTATAAATTGCCGCATATAGTCATGGTCATAGTCATAGTCATAGTCGTTAGTTTATGATAACGAAAAAACCTTTTTTTCTGGGTCTGGAGCTCGATGGTAGTTTTTTTTTTTTTTCTTTCTAGTATCTCGTTTTCCAGACGTATATTGGAAAGTGGGAGGTTATTTTTTTTCTTTCAATCAGTCATTCATTTGTTTGTTTGTTCATTCACTTATTCACTCATTCATTCATTCATTTGTTCAGCTAGTAGGTATATATATATGTTCTTGTAATGTATGAATTAGTAGCTTTTTTTAGTATCATGCTATGGCGGGGCCTTTTAGTGCTGCTGCCGTCTTTGGCTAAATTGATCAATCAGCATCATCTGTATACCAGATAGGGGGGGGGAAGGGGGGAATAGTATGTAGGTCACTTTGGGTGGAGTTTTTTTTTCTTTTCTTTTATTTTCAAGTGTTTCTTTGGTTAGTTAGTGCTTAAGTAAATTTTAAAAAAAAATTGAGAAGAGTCTTTGTTTCTTTGGTTGTTTTCGCATGTCGTGTTTCCGGCCTACTTGACCGTGTACTCAGTTGCCGTGGGTTTTCCATGGTCGTTACATACTTAGTGGTGCACGTCCCACGGACATGGTGGTGCGCGGTAGACAGGGGGGGAGGGGGGGGGGGGAACTTCAGGGCACGACGTCAAGGGGGCAACCCTGTGGGAAAAGAGATCAAACAAATACATTGCCAGTTTCCACGGTGAATAAACATAACGGGTGAGCACGCAAGAGTCACAAAACAAGTACGTCAATGCGTTTTACTCATGGAGAATCGTGATATTGACCAAGTAGACACATGTAATAGTCAAAGTCGTAGAAGAAGAAGAAGAAGAAGGTAAGTATGTATGTATGTAAGTAAGCACAGAGAAAATCCCCCCAGTCATCAGGCCCAGAGTCACCAGGATCTGAACGGTAGCAGCAGCAGTAGCAGCAGCAGCAGGTAAGACGCCAACTTCTCAGCTCTTACTTGATGTTTGCCGTTGCAGCGACCCATGCCGGGTTGCGCGCAGGATCAGCTGTGGTGCCAACGCAGTCGGTGAGGAACTTTGTCCAGCCGTCCTCGGTGGCAGCAGCCAGGCCAGCGCGCACATCAGCACTGCACTGGGTGCTTACGAACCAGGCGGCGCTGCCAAAGCTCTTCTCGTCGTCGCTGTTGACCAGGTCGAGCACGGCCACGAGACCCGCGTCGCCACCCTTGGCCTTGGCCTGCTGCACGGCGTCTGCACCGGCGACACTGGTCGCGTACTTTTCGATAAACGGCGGCATGGCCATCACTGCGAGGTAGAGGGTTAGTTTTTTGTCTTTACAACACACAATAGACAAAGAAATGACTTACTCCGCGTTCCCTGGCCAGGACGGCCCGGAAAGTGGTTCTTCTTGTACTTGAAGTCGCCGCTCTCAAACAGCTCGTAGGCGACAATGGCGGCCTGCTCGCCCTTGGCCGTGATCTTGTACGTCGCAAACGCCTTGTTGAGGGCTGCCGCGGCCTTGGTGGCGTCGGCACACTCCTCTGGGAAGTCTGCGCCGGAGCATGACTGCGTCTTGGGCGCAATCGTGACCAAGGTGGCGGCGGTCAGGCCCCCAGCGTTGGATCCGCCGTTGCAGTCGGGGACGGGCGCGGCCAAAGTGCAGGCGGCGAGGGCGCTGGCGAGGAAAATGTTCTTCTTGAAGCCCATGGTGGTGGTGGTGGTGTGGTAGACTTGGTTGTGGTTGTGGGAGTCGTCGACTTGGACAATCAAGCAGTGCTCTCGAGTTTTATGGTGGAATGGGTGTCGTGGTTGAAAGGTATTGTTGCTATTGTTGCTGTCGTTGTATAAAAGTGAAGGGGGGAGAATGCAGGCTTCTTAAAAGAGCGACGTGGTGAAGGATGGACAGTGTAAAGCGTCTGCCCCGCAGAGAATGGAAAGGGCTAAAAAAAGACAAGGAGAGCAATGGATGGGGCCGTGGCAGTGTGAAGGAAACGGAACGCCCAAGATATAGGGCGGTGCAGGCTGGCGGGCGTTTGCTTGGGGTGCCTGACGAGCATGCCGGCCAGGCACCGTGTTACCCTAAGCGTGCCTGGCGGGCGGCGGGCGCACGAGCCGCCACAGCCAATCACCCGTGTGCGAGGTGACTGGCGCTGCACGTGACCGGGCGTGGCGCAGGAGTGATTGGCTGTGCGTGGCGGCGATGCAGGGGGCGTCTCCAAACGTGAAACACGTCGCCCGTCGACAGCCGTCAAAAGCGATTCCAGCACCGCCAGCCTAAGATTGCAACATGGCCCGCCAAAGCCGTGGCATCAGGCAGCCAGCCAAGTACTGCAGCCAGCGCCCGTGGTTGGTGCTGGCCGCGGCAAGCTCGCAGCGCGCCCGCCAGCCTGCCAGCCTGTCGTGTCAGATGGGCCCGCAGCTGAATGGCCTGCATCACCAAGGACCGCCTGTGCCTGCGCTGCGCCTCCCAAGCGCTCAATGTCAACAATGCATCGTCGAGCGAGCTGAACACGGCGTCTCCACTCGCCGCCACTTGCCCTTTGTTTAACCCGCGCCTCGTCTCGCGCCTCTCATGCGCTGTTTTGTTCTGCGCTGTTCTGTTCTGTTCTGCGCCTGGTCGCGCTTGCTCTTTTCGTTTCGTGACATCATCCATCGACTCCGAGGATGTGCTCCGCCCGATGACGGCACCCCATTGGTAACCTTGACCTGCACCTGCACCTGCACCTGTGCCATGTGTTGCTGCTACCTTGCCCCTCACTCCCTGCTCCTGCAAACGTTTCTTCTTGCGCCGCTGAACCAAACACCACCACCACCACCACCACCACCACCACCACTACCACCAAGATGCCTGTCGTAGAATCAAAGTTCGACCCCAAGGACATGCAGTTCCGCCGCCTGGGCCCCGCCGGCCTCAAGGTGTCGGTCCTGTCGCTGGGTGGCTGGCTGACGTACGGAGGCACGCAAAAGGGCTCCATTGTCAAGGACTGCATGCAAGAGGCCTGGGACCATGGAATCAACTTCTTCGACACGGCCGAGGTCTATGCCGCCGGCGAGTGCGAGGTCGAGATGGGCAAGGCCTTCAAGGAGCTGCAATGGCCGCGCGACGAGTACGTCTTGTCGACAAAGGTGGCCGCTCCATGAACTCCAACCAAGCGCCCTCCGCCCACACTAACTTGGGCCACAGATCTTCTTTGGAACGCGCAGAAAGGAACCCAACACCAGGCAAGTTGGGGACGCGCCACGTGATGTTGCTGGGCTAACCCGTGTGTGTGCGTGTGCAGGGGCCTGTCCAAGAAGCACATTGTCGAGGGCTTGAAGAGCTCTCTGGCGCGCCTCGAGCACTCCTATGTCGATGTCGTCTTTGCCCATCGCTTTGATCCCGAGTAGGCAAGGATGCGCCGTCTGCACAGGAACACCATGCTAACGGGTTTGCACTAGTGTGCCAATGAGGGAGATTGTCGAAGCTTTCACCCAGACGATTAACATGAACTTGGCGTACTACTGGGGCACGTCGGAGTGGTCTGCAGAGCAGATTCAAGAGGCGTGCGACATTGCCGAAAAGTACAACCTCATTGCGCCCATTGTCGAGCAGCCGCAGTACAACGCCTTCCACCGCGAGCGCTTCGAGAAGGAGTATGCGCCGCTGTACAAAAAGTACCAGTACGGCACGACCATCTGGAGCCCTCTGGCCAGCGGCCTGCTCACGGGCAAGTACAACGACGGAATTCCAGAGGACAGCCGCTTCGCCACCAATGCCGACTTTTTCAAGAACACCATCGACTCGCTCAAGAGCGAAGAGGGCCAGGCCAAGATCAACAAGGTCAGGGAGCTGACCAAGGTGGCCGAGAGGCTGGGGGGCACGACGACGCAGCTGGCGCTCGCATGGGCTGCGAGCAACCCCAACGTCAGCACCGTCATCCTGGGCGCGAGTAAGCCCGAGCAAGTGCGAGACAACTGCGGCGCTCTCAAGCTGCTGGCCAAGTTGACGCCCGAGGTCAAGGACGAGATTGAGAAGATTCTCGACAACAAGCCCTAGGGCATGCGCGAGTTGCAAGTATGTAATCAATGACTTGGCCAGACCATAGACAATGCAACGTAGACCACTCCAGGACAAGCGTCGGCCATGGCTTGGCCAGACACAGACAATGCAAGTTAGCCACATGCGCCTTTGCTCGCATGACCATGGCAGGTATTAAGCTTTGTGGTGAGGCGGCAAGACCATGTCGTAAGAGATGATGTGCAGGCGGCATGCACGTGGGCCGGGAGCAGATGGTTGGGGCGCCTTTGCAGCTGGCAAGGCGGCGTCTGGAGATGGAGCTGGCAGCTGGTGCCCATGACCATTGCAACCAGGAATGGGCTGTGCCTCGAGGCGTGTCGGGGGGGCCGGTAGCGGCGGGGCCAGGAGTGCAAGTGCATGTCGAGGCTTTTGTTTTTTTGGGGGGGCGGTCCGTCAGCTCTGGGCCCTAGGCGGGCCATGGATGCAGAGCCGCACGCAGATGGAGGCAAGCAGGAGCACTAAACCACCAGGCGAGGCGGGTGCATGGCGTAGGGCCCAAGGATGCAGGCCGATTCCAAATCGCAGGCCGGGGCCGTGTGGACGGCGATGATCTTGACCGCATCGCATAGCGCATTGCGGTGCAGGCTCGCTGCTACTAAACCACGCTGGATATCGCACCACAAGTGTGAGACCTGTCCCCCCCCCGAGCCCCCAGAGCAGTCTTCCCAGTCGCAGCGTCGCTTCTGCCGTGCTACACGACCAACCTCGACGCCTGTGACGCCAAGAGCCCCCTCGGCTGTCTCAATTGCATCAGCCGCTACTCGCCCATCTCGCGCCACCACCGCCGCCGCCTGCCCTCTTGCCCCTCGCTCGCCTTGGGCATCCATCCATCCATCCATCCCTCCACCCCTCGATCCATCCGTCTCTCTCCAGCACCTCTCGGCTCCCAGCAGCTCTCGTCCTCGCAGCGCCCGACGCTCCGCCCGCCCCCTGGCCTGTCTGCCGACGCCGCCGCCGCCGCTGCCGCCGCCGCCGGGCGCAGGTGTAGGGTCGCCTGACATAAGCCGTCCATCTGAGCGCCTTGTATGTTTTGGATGTGCACAGGGATGGCGCGCAAACTGATGGATCTTCTGCAGTTCAAGAATAGCGATAGCGCACCCTCGCCTCTCCACTTGCAGTACTGCCCTCGTCCCAGTCGAGTTGCCAGGCCCGTCCAGGCCCGGCCAGTCCCCGTCTGTCCAGCCAGCTCGGCCAGCTCGGCCAGCTCGTCTGTCCAGCCCGCCGCCAGCCATATTAGCGAAAGCGCCCTGCAGCCTTCGGACCGCTCTTGTGCCCGCCGCCAGCCATCTTCAATGCACCATCTCTCTTCTTAGCATGGCTGCGACCATCAAGTCCGACCCCTCCATCGGGGACACACACTTTCAGAACGGCAGTGGTAAGCAGCCCTTTTTTTTCCTGCCGTCTTTGTCGTGCGCTTGAACCCGTTGTCCCCCTTTGACGTTGGTTGTGTTTTGTCTCCGCCTCGCGACTCCTGTGCTTTGTGCTTGGCATGCCCGCGCGCCGCCCCTCATTGGCCAGCCGCTTGTCGTAGCCTTTTCCATCTTTACTCCGCACCAGGAAACCGGCACCGCAGAGACACACCAAGTCTCGTCGTCCCAGGCCCGCCGATGTCAGCATGGCGTTGCTACACATGCCTCACGGCTCTGCTGCGAGCCGGTCTTTGACCATCGCATGAAGGCCATGCTACCTGGTAAACTCTTTTTTGGCCTCAGTCGCTCCAAGGCCCCGAGGACACTACATATACATGGCTGTGCTACGCTGCATTCCCCGCGTCCAAGCTCATTACATACACATCCACACGTACATGCCTTTGATTTGTTTTCTGTTTTGATATCTCCCAATCAGCTTTTTTTAATCCGCAAAACACAATGTCGCATCACCGCTACATGTCCTGGTCCGATTCCCACGTACTGACCATGGCGCCCACCTACCCTCCCGCCGGCGCGCCCAACGAGTATCCCTCTCCTGCTGCCTCGCGCCGTCCTTCAGACTGCTTCTCTGAGATGAGCATGGGCAGCAGCCGAAGAGGGAGCTTGGCGGCGTTTGCGCCGGATGTGGAGAGTGCCGGGCAATGGCAATCAATAGGCAGCGATTCCAAGAGTCCTCTTGCCCAGTTTGGCTTCTTCAAGAGCCTGACCGACAAGAAGACGACACGAGGTTTGTCTCGACGCCTATACCGCTCCCACGCAACCCGACTAACACGACTGCAAGATGGCCAACCGCCAAAGAGACGCGGCCCCAAACCAGACAGCAAGCCGGCCTTGACTCGCAGACAGGAACTGAACCGTCAGGCGCAGAGGTAGCATTGACAAAGCGATGCGAAACATGAATCATACACTGACTCTGTCCACTAGAACGCATCGGGAAAGGAAAGAACTATATATCAAGGCGCTCGAGCAGGAGGTCATTCGTCTCAAGGATACCTTTGCTGCCACGTCGCACGAACGCGATGCCTTTGCTGAAGAGAACCGGAGACTCCGAGAGTTGCTCATGGCGCACGGCATCTCGTTTGATCTGTCCAGTCGGCCCTCGAATGGCCTGGGCCAGGTCGGCAGCTCCACGTACGGAAGTTCGACCGGTAGCGTTTCAGGCTACGGACAAGGCTCAGCCTCGACCGTCTACACGTCGCCACCAACACGCGGATCGACGTCTCACGACGGCATGACCCATCAGTCAATGGCTTTGCAGCAACAGCAGCAGCATCAGCAGCAGCAGCAGCAGCAAGCTCAACAGCCCAGCCACCACCAACCCCAAGGCATGGACTATGACCAGATTGGCATAGACTTCGTTTTAACGTACGACCGAACGCCCTACCTTTCTCCTCCGCCCCAGCAGTAATGCGCTTGCGTCTTTTTCTTGTCCTTTTGTTTTCCATACTCTCGTACGTTCTTCTTCAATCTGAATCAGCTCTGTTCTGACAATCTTGTCTGGCAGGCTTGAACGACCGTGTATGGATCACATGCAGTATCTGATGGTGCGAGCCCATGATGCCGACGAAAACATCAGCGGCCACGCCCTCATGGCCACGGCCCCGCCGGATGCGCACATTACAAACTGCCCAGAGGAAAAGTATCCGCACCAGATGCCCGACGTAAAGATGCCAGATCTGATGAAGCTGCTGGATCTGAGCAATCGCCTGCCCCTTGATGGGGAGATTACGCCCATCATGGCCTGGGCAAAGATTCTCCAGCACGACAAGCTGCGGGACCTGTCCAAAGAGGATATTGAGCTCATCAAAGGAGAGCTCCTCGCCAAAGTCCGCTGCTACGGGTGAGTGGTCTAGGATGCTGTCATCTTAGCACCAGCTAACATTTGCAGATTCGGCGCCGTGCTCGAGGAATTTGAAGTCAGGGATGCTCTGATGACTGTGCTTGCTGGCAAATGCGCGAACGGGTCCCCACCCACTGTATAACGTGCGTTCTCGAGTAACAAAGTATTGGTTGTATGTTTTGTAGATAATAATATATAATATCCTTGGCTTATGCATCATGACTGTGTGGAGAAACGTGGATTGATGACGATAAACGTGTCGGAGACTTTTGTCGTGCATGCCGTCGGCCGCCATGGCGCGTCTGCGCCGAGTCAGGGTCCAGTCCAGAGCCCCGCGCGCTGGCACGGCCTCGGGCTCGTCCTCCTCGACTCTGGTACATTCCTTACTCGTGAAACACACAAATTGTTGCGCCGTGTTCCAGGCTTGCACAAAGTTGCCTGTGCCGTCTTGCTCGTCTACTACTTACTTTGGGCCGTCCCCCCTTAGCATCGCCTCCACCAAAGCTACTCACTTGCGCCGCCCACCCCAACCATGTCTGAACTCAGCGTCTACGACAACGACCCAACCATATACCTCTTCACCTCGCTAACTGCTGGCTCCTCGCACATCATCACTGCCACCTCGCGAATCGAGACAATCCTGAAGGCGAACAAGATCCCGTTTAAAGGGGTAGACACTGCGACGGATGAGCTTGCCCGGAAGCTGTTCCAGCGGAGAGCAAGTGGCAAGAAGCTGCCCCTGATCGTGAAGGAGGGATATGTTCTAGGCGTGGGTACTATGCGCAGCGCATTGCTGGAGCAAAACGCTGACCTTGAACCACACAGGGTATCACCGAAATCGAAGAATGGAACGAATACGACGAGATCAGAGAGGCCCTAGGTGTCACCTCTGCCTTTACCCCTTTTCCCGCGAAACCTGGGCCCCCGCCCATGGCAGCACCAGTCTCCGCCGCGTCCGCATCGTCCAAGGGCGCATCCAAGAAGGAGGATGTCCCGCTCCTTAGCCCGGAAACGAATCTTGCGCTCCGTCAGCTGGGTGCCGAGGCCGCAAAGAAGGCCGCGTCGTTGAAGCCTACTCCTGGCAACATCAAGACGACGAATCCATTGCTGGCCGAGAAGACGAATACCCCGACTTCAGCTTCATCCATGAAGAGCCCTATCAAGGAGGAACTCGCTGGTATTCTCTCGCCCAGGTCCGTTCCGCTTCCCGATACGCCCAAGGCTGCGACGCCGACTACACCGAGTGCGACCAAGGATTCCAAGGCTGTTGAGTCGGCAAAGGCGGACGAAAAGGTAGCTGAAAAGACAGATGAAAAGGTAGTTGAGAAGGTAGACGAAAAGTCAGACGATAAGGCAGAGGTGAAGACGGATACAAAGGATGCCGAGACGGACGCAAAGGAAGTGAAGGTAGAGGTAGAGCCAGAGGCAAAGCCAGAGGCAGAGGCCAAGGTAGAGGTCAAGGCTGAAAAGGCGGAGGCAAAGGCCGCAGCAAAGCCTACTGCCAGCAAAGACACCAAGTCCAAAAACACAAAAGCAAAGGTCACCACATCAAAGGACATCAAATCAAAGGACACAAAGTCAAAAGATACCAAGACAAGCTCCTCATCCAAGACATCCACGTCAAAAGCGACGCGCAAACCCACAGGCGGTCTCTTTGGTCTGGGAAAGCCTGCGCCAAAGTCCAAATCGAAATCGACGTCTGCTAGCAAGACAACAACAACAACCAAGTCAAAAGACGTAAAGTCAAAGGATGCAAAGACATCAAAAGAGACGGCTGGAAAGGCCGTTCCAAAGATCTCTGACGTACAGAAACCCGTCTCGATGCCTCCTTCGATGCATGACGACGCCAAGAACCCTGAGCTAAGTGCTGGTCCAATAAGTACAACCCAAGAGGACGCTAGCAAGAACGAGGAAGAAGTCGAGAAGGAGGAAGGTTCTGAAGAAGAGGCCTCCGAGGAAGAAGAAGACGATGATGACGATGACGAAGATGAAGAGACGTCAGACGAGGAAACTACCACAGAAGCCGCCGCAAAAAGCAAACCAGCGGCGGCGGCGGCAGCACCAGCACCAGCACCAGCAGCACAGAAAATCGTGTCAGCTGAAGAGGAGAAGAAAGAGGAGGAAGATGACGATGATGATGACGACGACGAAGACGATAGCGAAGAGGAAGAGGAGGAAGCAGCAAAGACGCAGAAACAACCTGCTGCCGCCCCAGCAAAACCCGCTGCTGCTAGCGCCAAAGAGTAGACTTGTCTCCCCCGCCTTCTTTTTTTTTTCCTTGTATTACATACATCTCGTTCTTCGTCCTTGGAACTAGTCGTGTCTAGCCCAGGACAAGAAGAAGGGTGAAAATGTCGTGTGAGAGTAAGAGTAGGAATGAGTACGCGATGAGAGTTTCTTGTTGGCACTTTGCGCGCTCGCTCGCTCGTTTGTTCGTTCGTTTGTTCGTTCATTTGGCGGCGGTTTTTCTTCTTCCTTCCTTTCTTCCTTCCTTCCTTTCTTCCTTCCTTCCTTTCTTCCTTCCTTCCTTCCTTCTTTGCTCTAGGTGTAGACGTACGGGACGGGACGGGACGGGGGTTCTTTTTCTTCTTATTCTTCTTCTCTTTTTTTTTCTGTATTACCTTTCTTTATTCGATCCCTTTTTTCTTTTCACCCCCGCAATATAAACATGCCTGGGTTGTGGCTGTGGCTGTAGGTGTAGGATAGCTTTGTGACAATATATATATATATATATAGTATTATTATTGTTTTTTTTTAAATCCAAGTTTTTTTTCTCCATGCATTTTCCGCACGTGGGGGAATGGGTTTTTCTTCTTCTTCTCTTTCCTGCTTTGCTGTTGTTGCTCTGGTGTCCATGTATCTGTTTTCGGAGTCTTTCGTCGTGTCGCTTTGCTTATGCCGTGTATATCATGCACTCTACAATCAAACCGACATCAAAAAAAAAGAGAGAGAGAGAGAGAGAGAGAGAGAGAACATACTCAGATTTCCTCAACTACATAACTAATTCATCAGCCGAATTGAACCTGTACACGAAATGAATATATGCAGAAACGGATCGTCGCTGAATGCTTATGCTACATACGTAACGTGTTTTACAAGCGAGCGCCGCGTACAAGCGAGCGCCGCACCCCACCAACTTTGTGCACCTCTCTCATCTCAATACATAATGGCTCAACGCAACGCTAGTCAGTTAGCTTTAAATGAAGTAGATATCCAGCTCGCTATATCCTCTATTGAATCTGGTCAGATATAGAGTAATCGCAGTGCTGCTGCTATCTATAACGTGTCAGAACGAACAATCCGCCGCCGACGCGTCGGCAAGCCTGCCCGACGCGATTGCCAGCCCAACTTAAAGAAGCTTACTAAGCTAGAAGAGCAGGTGATAATTGATCATGTACTTCATCTGGATCTACGTGGATTTTCGCCTACCTATGCAGCTGTGCGAGATATGGCTGATAGACTGCTGGCTGCGCGCGGCGCTGGCCAGGTTGGCGTCCACTGGCCGCGCAACTTTGTCAAGCGTACTGACAGTCTTACAACGCGTTTTAATCGAGCGTACGATAGGCAGAGAGCCTTGTGTGAAGATCTAGTCTTAATTAAGAGCTAGTTTAAGCTTGTGGAGAAGACAAAGGCTAAGTACGGCATCTGTGACGAAGACGTCTACAACTTCGACGAAGCGGGCTTTATGATGGGCAAGATCGCGACTTAGCTAGTTGTTACAGCGTTAGAGAGAAGAGGCCGGCCAAAGGCTGTTCAACCAGGTGGCCGAGAGTGGGTAACGTTTATCGCTGGGATCAATGCAGCTAGCTGGTCTATCCCACCGTTCCTTATCTTTACTAGCAAGCATCACCTATCTGCCTAGTATAAGGAGACAGAGATCCCACGCGACTAGGCGATCGCAGTTAGCGACAATGGCTGGACGACTAATAAGCTAGGAGTTAAGTGGCTAAAGCACTTTATTAAGCATACGGATAGCAAGGTTGTTGGGGTACGCTAGCTGCTTATTCTTGACGGCCATAAGAGCCACCAGTCACTTGAGTTCCAAGAGCTCTGTAAGGCAAACAATATCTATACGCTCTGTATGCCGCCTCACTCATCTCACCTACTCCAGCCTCTTAACGTTGGCTGCTTCTCGCCATTAAAGCGCGCGTACAGCCGTGAGGTGGAGAGCCTAATACGCAACCACATCAACCATATCACCAAGCTTGAGTTTCTACCAGCGTTCAAGGTAGCCTTTGATCGATCCTTCATGGCAGCCAATATCTGCTCAGCCTTTTAAGGCGCAGGCCTTGTTCCTTTCTAGCCAGACACTGTTCTATCAAAGCTTAACGTACAGCTGCGTACGCCTACTCTAGTAGCTGCTCTTGCAGAGGCCGTCTGGCAGGCTCGTACCCTAAGCAACGTACGCGAGCTTAAAGCCTAATTAACGCTAATACGTGATCGGGTCTAGCGGCATAAGAGCTCGTCACTAGCGTCAATTATTGCGGCGATTAGCCAGCTTAAGAAGGGGGCAGAGAGAATAATGCTCTTGGCTGAGCTAATGCGTGATCGGATCGCCAGCCTTGAGAGGGCTAACGAGGTAGCAACAAAGCGTAGGTAGCGTAAAAGGAAGTGGATATAGAAGCATGGAGTGCTAACAAAGGGAGCTGGAGAGGATCTACTTGCTTAGCGTGAGGCTGATTAGCAGATTGCTCATGAAGAGCGTCAGGGAGGAGAGCGATCAGGTGTCAGCCGCCAGGCTTTGGCGCGCTGCAGTAGGTGTAGAGAAACTGGCCACAACTCGCGTACGTGCAAGAAAGATACTCTAGGTACTGCTTAATCTATTATATTAATATACAGTAAAACAACTATATTGTGGTGGAACTACAGGCTTATAGAGGTGCGCAGGTTTGGTGGGGTGCGGCGCTCGCTTGTACGCGGCGCTCGCTTGTAAAACACGTTACATGTTATTGCTATGCTATGCTAGGATACTCTACGCCATTAATGCCATGCTCTACATACCTTTCCATACATACATCCATACATCCATACATACATATACATGCATGCGTCTTTTTTTTCTCCATCTATATATCTATCTACGGCGTGGAAATCCAGAAGAAGAAGAAGGGGGGCGGGAAGAACAAGAAGAACAAGAAGAACAAGAAGAACAAGAAGAACAAGAAGAACAAGAAGAACAAGAAGAAAGGGGGAGGGGGAGGAGGATGAAGAAGAAAAGGTGAGATAACAAAATACCTAAATCACCGAAACCCAAGAAAGAAAGAAAGAGAACTAAAAAAAAAACTTGAAGCTGGATATCCAAAAGATATTAGTGCGAGAGAATCATCCTACCGTGGAGAAAACAAAAACACCCCTTCAAACAATCGCTACTTAGTCCCGCACCAGTGCAAACCTCATCTCTAAGCAGCAATATCCAACCCCGCCTTCTTCAAACCATCGAGATACTGATCCTTGACGTCTGCGCTGCCCTTGTTGTCTGGCGGCGACTGCAACTGCTGCAACATCATCTTCTCTACAGCCGCCATGCCCGCTTCTTCGGCTTTGCTCAGCGCGCCCGCCGCAGACGCGTCATCTTTCTTTTTGCCCTTCGTCTTTGCGCCGCCGTCTTCTTCCCCCTGAACCATCTTGTCTAGCTCGAGCTTGCTGACGCCAAGCGCGTAGATCTGCTCTTCGACGGTGCCCTTGGTGACGAGTCGTACGACTTCGACTTCTCTGGTCTGACCCACGCGGTGCGCACGGTTCTCGGCTTGAATATCGTCTTGGGGATTGAAGCTTGAGTCGAAGATGATGACTTTGTTGGCACAGGCGAGGTTGATGCCTGCGCCGCCGCTCTTAGTGCTGATCATGAAGAGCTGGATGGATTCGTCCTGGTAGAAAACGTCCATGAGGGATTGGCGTTCTTGGATCGGCGTCGACCCATCCATACGCATAAAGTTGATGTCGTGATCGTCAAAGACCCAGCCGAGAATATCCATGACCGACGTGAACTGGCTGAAGACCAGGGCCCGATCTCCGTTTTCCTTGTACTTTTTCAGGAGAGCAAGAAGCGCAGTGACCTTGCCTGAATCCATCCACTCCTGATTTTGGAGCTCGAATTTCTTGAGGGCCCGGTACTTGGTAGCAAGTTGGTGACACTGGTAATCTTGGTAGAGTTCCAGCTCTTCGTATATAATGTCTGGGTTGCTCTCGGCAAACATATCTTCCTTGAGACAAGCCTTGGACATTTTGCGAATGGTGTCGTTGTTGTAGCGATGGCGAAACAAAAGCGAATGGATGGCTGCTTGACGAAGCTTCATCATTACGTTAGCATGGTCTTTGACGAGAATGCCTGCTGCTCTATCCTCGAGAATCTTGCGTTGCTTTGCCAGCTGCTCGTTGTACAGAGTCTTCTGGGTATCTGTGAGCTCACAGTACTCGACGCGAGAAGTCTTTTTGGGCAGATGCTTGAGTACTTGCGCCTTCTTTCGTCGCAGGATGAAAGGCGTCAACATGGTTCGAGCGCGCTGGATGCGCTGGGCAGACAACAATGAACTGTGCGAGTCGCTCTCCATGGTCTTGGCCTTGTGCTTGAAGAGTATCTGCAACATCTCCTGGACCTCCTCCTGCTGATCGCCGTAAAAGACCTGTGGCATCAAGAACCCGAGTATCGACATGAGCTCCTGCAGACTGTTCTGCAGCGGCGTACCAGTCAACAAGATTCTGCATTTGGTCGGAATCTTCATCAAGCTCTTGTACCGGATCGTATTGGCATTCTTTAGCATATGCCCCTCGTCAAAGATGCAAATCTCAGGCCTGCACTTCTTGAGGAAGATAAAGTCCTCTTTCCTGAACGTGAGGTCGTATGTGGTGATAATCACATCACATGTGCCCTGTTGGATATTCTGGTGGATGCTCTCCTGGTGTGAGAAGCGCTCGGCCTGCGACCCGTAGTACGGGGTGAAGTTGATTGAACTCGAGAAGCGCTCAAACTCACGACACCAGTTTTCCAGGGTGGATCCAGGCACGACGATAAGCGCAGGCTTTCCGCTGCCCTCCTCTTTTAGATGTGACAGGAAGGCGATGATCTGACAAGTCTTTCCCAGCCCCATGTCATCGGCCAGAATACCAGAGGTCTTTGTTTTCCAGAGAAGATTCAACCAGTTGAGACCAACAACCTGGTAATCCTTGAGCTGAATATCATCGTTCATGATGGATGGTTGTTTCAGCAGCTTTGTGCGACCGACTGCTTTGCGTATGCTCTTGGACTCTGTATCGCTGCCGCTGGTACTTCTGGGTGTATGGTAGCCTGAATCCCGTGATGAACTGGCATCGCTGTCGTCAAGAGTCGTTACATCCATCCCATCTTCGGTAGACGCGCCAAAGATGTCGATTCCCCATCGTGCCATGCCTGCAACCATCGGCTTTCCAAGCGCTTCGCATTGCTGAACCACCGAGTCGATGGTCGAATATGCATTCCACATGCCTTCGGTAGACTCCACCAGCCTTGCACCTGTTGTTATGCGCGGCTTACGAGCCTTCTTCTTGCCTTTCTCGGGTGGAGTGAGGTCTACATGGATGTTTCGAACAGCATCGAGTGAGGCAAACGGACGTTTCTTGAAAACCTCCTTGATGTCCTCTTCCTTGTGGCCCGATAAGTCGACCATGGCCTCCACAGTGCACGTGTTAAAAAAGTTCAACAGGGCATCGTCGCTGAAATTTTTCTCTGATACTTCGCTTGCTTCCGAATCGTCATCAACCACAAGATCTGCGTCGATACCCTCGTCTTCGTCGGAAGAGACCACGATTGGCGCCTGCTTCTTTGCACGCTGCGGCCGTTGGGGACTGGACTCCGGTGAGGGCGAAAATTCCATTTTCGGCTTGCGATCCTTTCCGCTAATCAGTCTGCCTTTGCGTTTCGGTGCCTCCTTCTCTGGGCTATCGATTACTACGGGGCTGGTTTGGGTAGCACCCAGCTTTGAATACTTGTTCTGCAACGACTGGACAGGCTGCTTCAAACCACGCTGTGCCGTTTTCTTCACAACTGGCTTCGACTTCGACTGGGCCACTCCAAACTGCGGAGATCGAAGCAGCTCATCTTCAGACTCCTGGTCTGCCAAGTACGAGCATGCGTCCTCGAAATTACCCTTCTTCTTTACCAAAGCATCATGCAGCTGCTTGACTGACCGATGGGGGTAGATGACCTGCAACCGTTTTACACTGCGTTGTATGGCAAAGTCGGTGATGTCTTCCAAGGTCGTGTCAGAGTCCCGTGTCAAATCTACCGGCAGGGCGCGCGAGGGGGCTCCTTGCCGTGGCAAAGGCTTCTGTCTCTTCGGAGGCGAGCTGGAACCTGGCTCTTCAGACGGTCGTTTTCGCGACTGGTCACCATTGTATTTGAACCCCGAAAGATCCCACGACGGTTTTTGCGGTGTCTCCTCGATCCTCGATGCCACCGAAGCCATTTCGATTTTCGACAGTGGTATATTCGACCTGTATTCAGACTCATCCTCGTCAGGGTCGCGCTCGACTGGAGGGTCGTCCGAAGTCAAATCGACGACTGGCTTGCGGACGGCCTGTGGAGGAAAGAAGCTTGTGCCAGGGGGCGCCATTGGGTTGCTGTAGCCCCCATACGGCCGCTGCGAGCGAGTGGGCGAGCGAGTAGGCGACATTACAGGCGAAGAGTATCGTTGAATGGTAGGAGACGAGCGGAGGACCTGCAATTGCGACGATGCTGCGGTCTGGACACGGTTTGCGCGTGGTGTTAGGATTTGCGTGGGTTGTGTGGCATCAGAGGGCGCTGCAAAGAATGGTGACCGTTCGCCGAGAATTTGAGTAGGCTGAGTGACGTAGGGATCCTGTTGCTCGTCGTCGCTGTGCGGAGTGGAGTGTGGTTCGGCAGGGGGTGGTGACGAAGATACAATAGGGTCGTGGCGATACATTGTGTAACCGTGTTATAATACCGCGCTGAGCAGAAGGGTTGAAAGGGTTGTCGTCGACTTTGCCGCTCTGCGCGCGGTAGCCTACGAAGATGCAGAAGATGAGAGATCAAATGCTTGGTTTGAACAAACAAAAGCACAGGACAATGTGCGACAAAGCAATGCGCATAGCGCAGTGGCAGCGCACCTGAAGTGTAGGAGAGAGTCGTAAAGCTTGTGGCGGGGATGTCCAAAAACATTTACGCGTTAAAGAAAGCACTCTACGCGTTGGAGAGAATCTGGGCGCTTGGGCCTCTAGCGTGCCCATTACGTTACTGCTTTCGGCTGCGGCTAGCCAGGCAGAGCCAGGCACTCGACACCACACGACGACATTGCAACACGAAACATGACGACCAGGAGATTCGTTGGCGAGGGCAAGACATCTCTCGAATATGATGGCAAGGGCCCGCAAGAGCCCTCCAACACTTCGCCTGCGGTGCCATCGTGAGTCGTCGTTGATCCCCTGCACGCTACACGGGCTTACATGTGCTGTGCACCACGATAGATCCGTCATCTGGAAGTTGATGAGCTTCACCTTTGCCATGATCACGTTGCCCATTGGCACCTACTTCTTCACCGTCAACTTTGTCTTTCAGGGTGAGTTCTTGTCGTGCACTAAAGAGCATTGTTGACTCTGTCTAGGCAACGCAACATATGCAGGAGGCCTAGCCGCACTCATGGCGAATGTTGTGTTAATTGCATATGTTATTATGGCGTTCAAGGATGACCAAGAGGAAATGCGAGAGGAGGCGGAAAAATCCAAGAAGCAAATGTAGTGTCCTTGTGTTTTGGCATGCGGAGCACATGGATGCTCCAAGGCAGGCCAATACGAAGCCCGGAAGAACACTGGAAATCATCAGAGTCCCTTTGAGCTGCAGACGAATGGAAGAGAGCAATCGGGAATAGGCTAGGGATCAAGTCGTGAGCATCCTGCGGTGTAGCCTTTTCGTAGTAAGGTAACCCAACGCTGAGTTCTTTGGGCCCCATGCAAAGTCGACCTCTTTTTTGGAATGAAATGGTTATTTCCAGCATGCAGATACAGATGAGTCTCAACAGATGCGTTCTTCCAGTTTCCACAAATGCTGGCTCTGGGGTGCAGGCCTTTTATTCACACTCGTTTGTAAGAGAATGTTGGGTGCAGCTGTAGCTCACGCTGACAGTCACATGCACTACGTCCTCTCCGTAGCATGACTCGATGCAAACTGTAGAGTGCTGCGGTAATGCACCTCAGAGAGAGGTCCTGGTGAGGTGAAGGTGCTAGCGCGGGGTACGGGCTTTCGCTTTTCCTTAGCGGCGTAATCTTGGCAGCCCACTTGGAGCAATTTCGAGTGCGGCAACCACCACGTCCGACAGCAGAACCACGACTACGCAACATGGCTCCAGCATCGCTTCTGGACCTCGTGTCCGCGCTCCCCGACACCCAAGCATGGGGGCCGCCAGTCTCCAGCGAGACGATGCTCGACGGCGTGCCGTTTGCGCCCTACTCCAAGGCCGACAAGTTGGGTCGCATGGCTGACTGGACTGAGGGCAAGGACCGTGAGCGGGGAGGACGCCAGCAATACGGAAACCGCAACTTCAGAGGTATGTCAGGGAATGGGGGACGAGAGAAACAAGAATCTAATGGCATTCTACAGACCAGCAGGTATACGGCGCAAACCAGCAGACCAACCCCTTCGCCATCCAGGCCGCCGAGGAGGAGGCAACCTTCTCCGTCGTCGACAACACACGAACATCAGCACGAGGACGGGGATTCGGCCGTGGAGGCGGCACTGTTTTCCGTGGGCGAGGCGGTGCGCGGGGTGGACAGGCGCAGCGCGGAGGCCGGGGCACTTTCCAGCGCGTTGGCGGCCGGGGCGGACAGCAGTACGACAACCGTGGTGGTCGGGGCGGAAGAGGAGGACGCCGCTTTGGCTGGAGGGACGACAAGCCCCAGCGCAACCGCGATGCCTCTGTCCAGGTCAAGCCCGAGTGGAGCGTCATGGAGGAAATTGACTTCTCACGTCTCAGCAAGCTCAACCTCGACACCCACGAGGGCGAGGACATTGACAAATACGGCTTCCTCTACTACTACGACCGCAGCTACGACAAGCAGCCCGGTGCTAAGACCTCCGAACGCAGACTCAATGTCCTCGACCGCGCGGCCTACAACGTCACCACCTCCAGCGATCCCGTCCTGCAGGAACTTGCCGACAAGGACGAGGCTACCGTCTTTGCTACCGACAACATCTTGTCGATGCTCATGTGCGCTACCAAGTCTGTCTACTCTTGGGATCTGGTCTTCACCAAAAAGAACAACAAGGTCTTCATTGACAAGCGTGATGGATCAAGTCTGGACATGGTTACTGTCAATGAGAACGCCGCCGATGCACCGCTCGAGATCTCCGAGGGTAACAAGGACTCCATCAACAGCCCCGGCGCCCTGATGCTCGAGGCCACACACATCAACAACGTCTTCCCTCTGCAGGTCGTTCTCGAGTCCGAGACCAACAAGGTCAACATGCCCCACGAGCATCCCTTCTACAACGAGGAGGTCGAGACCGACCCGCCAGCGTCCAAGGCATACAGGTACCGCCGATTTGACCTGTCTCTAGACAAGGACGAGGAGCCACTGCACTTGATTGTCCGAACAGAGCTTGACGCTGTCGTCAAGAACAACATCAATGGCGAGGACCAATACCTGACCATCAAGGCGCTCAACGAGTTCGACAACAAGGCCCAAGGAGCCGGTGGTGCTCTCGACTGGAGGACCAAGTTGGCAAGCCAGAGGGGTGCTGTTCTTGCCACCGAGATGAAGAACAACTCTTGCAAGCTTGCTCGATGGACTGTGCAGAGTATCCTCGCCAAGGCCGATACCATGAAGCTTGGGTATGTGTTCTGGCTACATTTGCTACTTCCTAGCTAACAATGTCTAGTTTCGTGTCCCGTACCAACCCCAAGAACAACAACGACCATGTTATTCTCGGCGTGCTTACCAACAAGCCCCGTGACTTCGCCGCCCAGATGGCTCTCAACCTCAACAACGGATGGGCTATTGTTCGCACGATTGTCGACATGGTCCTTCGCATGGACGATGGCAAGTACGTCCTTGTCAAGGACCCCAACAAGTCTCTCCTCCGCTTGTACTCTGTACCTCTTAATACCTTTGACGAGGACGATGTTGAGGAGATGCAAGCACCGGCTGAAGACGATGATGAGTAGATTTGCGCCAAACGAACGGGTGTGTTTCTTTCCTTTCCAGCGATATCCGTAGGGTTGGGTCTATGACTAGATGCATGGTATATGAATATCATTGAATGGCAACGCTCGACGGACGTTGTCTTATGATACGAAAAGTACATAAATTCAGTGTGAGACGAACGAACTATCATTGAAAAGCGCAAGCCTTGTTGCTTTAGTACGACAAGAGAAGATGACTGGATAAGCAGGATGTGCACAGGCCATGCTCGCCAAGCTACCCCAGAACTCCCGCTTACATCTCTTGCCCACTCCTACACCCTCAGAGTAATCTACAAGTTTCGGATCGTTGGCCATACATGTTTTGGTATGCATTGAATAACGGTATTCCTCGCCATGGCCTTTCACCATTACCCACTATATATAGCCCACCTCAACCATGATTGATGAACTCTTGGTCCACATCTCTGCACCGACGACGCGACAAAGCGATCAACTTTACCAGTCTTTGGCTGAGGCATATCTTGGATTCGACCCACATGGAATCCGTCCTGGAATTTCGCAACAAAACAATGGATCGAGTCCATGTGCCCCAACCGGCTTGAATGATGCCGCAGCACCGGATCGGAGCTCCTTTCGAGGTACCGCAGACACTTCGATTATATCCGCCAGCAAAGACTCGTATGGTAGCTTTCCATCATATCCGTCTTTTGATGGCGTAAAGGCTCCTACAGATGGTGCTGGAAGGTTTGGCCATGATGGGGCGAAAGAAGACCTGTCACCAGTGTCTAGTCCACTTGCCCAACCAGAGCATACAGATCGCAACGAAAAAGGACAGCGAACTCTCAAATTAAGCTCGAACCCTAGAAATATATCAGAGGACCCGATGCCCAGTAGTCCAGATGACGTTGACATGGGCTTTGTCGAGGATTCACAAGTAGCTCCTGGGACACTCCCGAGTGAATTGCAGGACATCTATTTATTGGCCTCTGACGGAACTTCTGAGATCGACCAAGATGAAAAGCATATCCAAGACGACACTGTTACAAATACAGAAAAAGAGGAGAACACCCCGATTGGAGCAATGGAGACAAACGGTGCCGTCCCGCAACGTCGACGAAGCTTGCGCTTGAAAGCGATCAGTAGTACGGCAGGTGTACCAGAGCCTGCTTCAAAACCACCAGGGACGTCATGTAGTTCTCCTACAAAACGCCAGGAATCCGTGTATTCTGATGACGCTCCAAAACCAACACCAGCATCACAGCATGCAGAAAATGTTCAAGAGACTCCTATCGACACTCGCCAATTCCTGCAACCTGTAGATTTCTCCAATCTTCAAATCGACGCATATCCACCTGAACCAAAGGTTTCCACAGCGCGACCAGGTACTCTGCCATCTCAAATCACTGCACCCCTGGCAGCAATCAAGGAGCAAAACCCGACACGGTTCAAGCCTATCAGAATACTGAACAAGCCAAAGGCTGATGATCGGGGATATTGGCTAGTCGGGTGCTCACACTGGCCAGCACAGCTTCAGCAGGTATTCTGGACCAAAGTCTCCGAACAGGTGTCGAGCGGGAGGCTGGGCTGGGGGGTGACGCTGTACCGAGAGAGTTTCACTTCTCGGTCGCTAGGCAAGGTGAAACTATACTGCTGGGGAGAGGTCATAGAGCACATGTGGCTGGTTTTGTGGCTTTGTTCCAAAGGACAAGTATCTGGCTCTGGGCTCAAATGGATTGATGCCGATGGGAATGAGGCCCTTGTAATGTCGTAAATGGTTTGCATAAATGGTGCATCATGCGCAGGCATTGGATAGGTGGACAGCGAACAATTTAGTCCTACCATCACATGCACACGCTCTGTCGGGCATGCAATCAATCGAATCCATCGTTCAGAATTGCCCCACATATTATTGATTGCGGCTTTTAGTTCATACGAGAATCGGATGTATTTTGTTATTTCGGCGTAGCCATGGCTACTATTTCCACGCGTGAAACACGGATGCCAAGGAACGCGTCTGGAGTTGCTGACACCCCATGCGATCTACAACTCAGTCGCGGCGCGCAGTCTTGACCTTTTTCTTAGTTATGTAATACTGGCCTCGAGGATACGGTCATGTCTACACGGTCGCAGGACGAATTGCACAGAGTCGCAAGCTCAGACGCAGGCACCGATGAGCACACGCTATACGACCACACCTCCGACGAAGAAGGCTACGATGGCAGGGCCTCGGGCGAGCTTTCTAAGAACGACCACGACATACTAGACTCGGAAGACGAGCGCGAAAAGCTGCTTACAGGAGATGGGGCGGGCAAGGGCATCCTGGGCCGCAGAAGCTCAGCCGTAAAGATTGGGAAATGGGTCAAGGGCAAGACGAAAGCGCGCAGAAAAGGTGGCCATGAGGAAGCGAACGCGCTCATGTATGAGATGGAGGAGGGCATCGGGGCCTCGAGTGCCAGTCTCAGGTCTACGAGGAGTGCTGAACAAGACAAAGAGCGGTTACTTGCGAATGAATCGCAGCGAAAGGTATATCACGACAGCCCCTGTTGCGCATGAAGCTGACGATGGCGTAGACACAGAGGAAGAGTCTATTTCGCCGGATAGCCATATATATCTCGATTATCATACTGTTTGTCGTTCTCCTAGCAACCGCATACAATCTCTCCACCCCACAGGATATCAGAGCGGCGGCGGCGATGGTCTCGAATGGTACCTCACTATTCGCGCCCACTACGATCCTTATATCTCTCGACGGCTTTCGCGCCGATTTCCTGTACCGCAATATTACGCCTACGCTCAGTCAGTTTGTACAGGAGGGTATCTCGCCAAAGTACATGCTGCCCAGCTTCCCCAGTGTGACCTTTCCGAACCATTATACGCTCGCGACTGGCTTGTATCCCGAAGCGCATGGCATTGTGTCCAACACATTCTGGGACCCAGATATCAAGGAGGAGTTTCACTACACGGATCCCAAAAGAAGCTTGCAGCCTTATTGGTGGGGAGGCGAGCCTCTATGGGTGACGGCCGAGAGGCAGAATGTGCGGGCAGCAGTGCACATGTGGCCAGGCTCAGAAGCCAATATCCTGGAACAAAAGGTTGCGTACGTTGACAAATACAACGGGTCAGAAGTTCTCTCCAGAAAGGTCGATCGCATCATGGGGTTCCTTGATCTGCCCGGTCCTAAAGACGTTGGCGCAAGTGCGGCTACTCCTCGACCCCAACTCATCGCTGCGTATGTTCCCGATGTAGATGGCGATGGTCACACATACGGCCCAAACAGCACGGAAATCCGGAAAACCATCACAAGGGCTGATACCCTGGTGGGTGACATCCTCAAGGGCCTCCATGCGCGCAACCTTACAAACATTGTCAACGTGGTTGTTGTGTCCGACCACGGCATGGCAACAACAGACACTCAGCGCCTCATCCAACTCGAAGACCTCGTTGACCCTGCTGAGATCGAACACATTGATGGTTGGCCTCTCTACGGTCTCCGACCTAAGGACCCTTCAGCCCTGCGTCGCCTATACAACCAGATCAAAGAGCGCACTGCCAACAACCCCAACGTTGAAGTGTACCTCCGCGACGAGAACATGCCCGAGCGATACCACTTTAGCAAAAACGACCGTATAGCCCCGCTTTGGATCGTGCCAAAGACGGGGTGGGCCATTGTCACCAAGGACCATTTCAACGTGGAAAAGGGAAAGCAGAAAGGCGAGGTGTATCATCCACGGGGTCTCCATGGCTACGACCACGAGCACCCACTTATGCGCGCCATATTTGTAGCCAGGGGTCCTGCGTTCCCGCACCAACCAGGCAGTCAGATGGAGCCGTTTCGTAAGTCCAGCTCCTCATTTTACCATCAAATTGGATATTTTGGCTAACAGAGACAGAAAACATTGAGATTTACAACATCATCTGTGACTCGATCAAGTTGACGCCGGCCCCCAACAACGGCACACTGCGTCTCCCGCTCAAACCCATTGGTCTGCACAGCGACGGCAAGCCCGAAGATGACGAGACGCCACAGGATCCAGTGCCTTCTTACTCTCCTTCCCCTTCTCCGTCCCCATCCCCATCTCCATCATCATCATCCGCCCAGCCATCTTCCTCCTCATTCTCATCCACAAACCTCGCATCCATCTCCTCAACTCCACTCGACTCTCTCTCCAGCATCTCAGCCTCAGCCTCGGGTCTCGAAGGCATCCAGCCGACGCTCGAGGAAGAAGCCCCCGTGCGTCCCACGCCCCCTAGTACCGGCAAGGATGAGCTCAAGGATAAAGATAAGGCCGGCGGTGATGACAAAAACAAAGATGATGAAGACAAGGAAAAGGAAAAAGAAAAGGAAAAAGAGAGTTGGTGGGAGTGGCTTACGCACAAGGCTGATGGGATTGAGGAGTGGGTCAATGAATTCATCAATGATCATGTCAAGGGTGATAAGGACAAGGATAAGGATAAGGATAAGGATAACAGCAAGGCTGAGGATGCGAAGAGTGGTTAAAGCTAGGTTTCAGTTTCTTACTTGCATCATGCTTCTTCTTTCGTTTTTTGGGAGGGTTCTGTATTTTTATTTCTATTTCTTTTTTTACTGCTTTGTCGAGCTAGAGAGTTAGAGAGCACTGGGTTCAAATATATACTGGGTATATGTGTCTTGTAGCGTGCTGGGACTGGGATTCGCGTGTGTATGTGTGTGTGTGTGTGTGTGTGTGATGTTACTAACAAGGAACTTTTAGGACACAATAAAGTGTTGTAGAGGGTAGGAACCAGTTTCCAAGTTGTGCGGCTAGAGATTATAAGTTTTGTTCTTTGAATGTTTTCAACATGATAACACAGTAGACTTCACAAGGCAGTAGGGTACACTCAAACTATAGCAGAAAGCTAGCGACTGAATACTGACAAACACATTGACAAGTGCTTGATTGGAATGATTGCTTGTATATACTGGCATTAATTCATTTGTTCGTGGTTTAGGCATTAATAAGGTAAAAAGCAGGACAGAAGATCTACATGATTTCGCACTTCACGGGCAACCCGCAAGGACCCTCCTTGTCTTTCTCAGTCTTTTGCTGGGGTTGTGATGAAGGAGCAGCAGCAGGTGTGGTAGACGACTTGTTTGCTGGAGCAGCCGTGGTTCCATTGGCGGTGGTGGCACCATTTGTAGCAGCGGCCGTCTTCTTCTCACCATCATCTAGTCACTGGGGAGTCTTGGCAATGGCCTCGTAGAAGGCCTTGCCCTGGGCCTTGGCGACCCTCAGCTCGAGCGCAGTGGGCTGGCGCGAGCCGTCGGCACCGGCAAAGGTACCAGCGCCCCAGGCAGAGCCACCGTGGATCTCCTCGAGGTTGGCCAGGTCGGCTGTGAAACAATCGTGTCAGCTCCATGTGCTGATACAGCAACATGACGGATTCAGCTTACCGAATACGGTCTTGTAGCCCAATGGCACGTAGATGAAGCCGTGGTGGGCAAGGGTGCTCATGGCAGCAAGGCAGGTGCTCTCCTGGCCACCACCCTGGGTGCCGGTGGAAACGAAGAGACCGGCGTACTTGCCCCAGAAGCTTCCCTGCTGCCATTGCTTGCCAGTCTTGTCCCAGAAGGCCTTGAACTGGGCGGGGAAGTTGCCGTAACGTGTGGGGATACCGAAGAGGACACCGTCAAACTCCTCGAGGACGGCTGGGTCGTCGATGACGGGCACATCGGCCTTGGGGGCGGCGTACATCTTCTCGAGGACCTCCTTGGGAAGTGTCTCGGGGACCCTGCGACTTGGTTAGTACATGGGTATACAAGGCGAGGCTTCAAGTACTTACTGGAAGATCTTGGCGTCGCCGCCAGCCTCTTTGATGCCCTCGGCCTCAGCATCGGCCTGGTGCTGTTATTAGCATGGTCCCATGTAGCTTGATCGCAGCGAGACCAACGTACCAATTGCTTGATGTGGCCGTACATGGAGTAGTAAACAATCGCAATCTTGGGAGCCATCTTGAGCGACGGGGGGTATCAAACAAGGGACAGAGAGATAGAGAGAGAGAGAGATGAGAGAAACTAGAATGGAGAGTGGATGAGCTGCTGTGGAGGTACTGGGAGGGGGGAAGCTCCTGGCCTTATATCTGCCAGCTCTGGCACAACACAGCACTCCAGGCAGCCCCCACTCCTCCTCTCTCATACCCGATCCCCATGTCTCCCTACATGACATGATGCAAGCCAAACGCGCTCACACCCGGCCAATGACATGCAGCGAGACCCGGTCGCGGAAGCCAAACTTTACCGTTAGCAGGCCAGCGGATGCAAAGGAGCATTGCAGAGATGCATTTCTGCCCCTCCGGAGCTAGCCGGTTGCGGCAAAGCGGCCCCCACCCGTGTCCCCAGCGCAGTAGCGTCATGGGCCCACCCTTCTTTTTCATCTGGTTGAATCCCGGATTACATGAGTGCTTGGTCAGGATTTCAAAGGCTGCCAAAATGGTCAGTCGTCGCACGCGGCGCCTGCAATCGATACTGCGCCCTCGGGAACCTGGAAACCAACGGTCCGAAACGCGGCGGGGCTAATTCCGCGAATGGTTATTTAGCGCGCTGTGGCTGTTATCTATGGGAAGGTGCAAACATGCGTGCAATCTATGGCCATACCGCGAGCGGATTGGTAAGCCCCGGATGGAGCAAGACACGGCTTCCGGGAGCTTACTATCTGCTGTACGTGAGCTGTATGTAAGCAAGGCGGAAACACCGTACCTTGAGCCTTGCCGCTTTGGGCCTGGCGGCCTGGCGCGCTTGCAATTGCGGGGGTCGGGGATCGCCAAGCCAACGGGGTTGGACAGCTGGTGGGAAGATTCTTTTTCTGCTTTTCCTTGATAAGGCTGCCCATCACAATCATGCCTCTTTAAAATTTTCAACCACCACGTCATGTTGCCTTTTCGGGCCACGATCCGCCAAGTGCATAAAATCTTTGTCCATTACAATGGTATCCGGTTATGAACGCTAATGCTGATGCTAACAAATGTAAAATCATAGAAAAAAACAGAATGCCCCCTGCTCCCATGCTAAACAAATACCCAGTAACCGCTTTTTAGGAAGACACAGACCGTGTCTTTTTTGTAAAGTTCTCCAAATGCATGAATCGAAAATGGCCGCTTCAGCCTGGTATCTCTTGGCGCCAGGCCCGTCGCTCATGCATGTGAGTCGTTAAATCATAATACAAGTCGTAATAATGCTGTACAGAAGAAAGGAAGTTGTCCGCAATCACGTCTGGATGGAATGGAGCCTGCGGTGGACACCAGCCAGGAACTCGGCCTCGTCGATGCGCTGGAACTGCGCCTCTTCCTCCTTTCCGTACAGGCCGGTGCTGCCATAGGGGCCCTTTCCGCTGAAATCAACGTTTTGCGGCCAGTGTCCCTCGGACGAGATCTGGGCCAGGGAAAAGTCGCCGTGCACCGCCTCGAAGCCCGGCTCGAAGATGCAGTCTGCGAAGAAAAGCTCAATGTAGAGCTCGCGGGGAATGGCGCTCTCGGCGCGCAGCCGGATGAAGCGGCGCGCTTGCTCAAGCAGCTTCTGCAGGGCGTCGGTGGCCTCGTGCGTAGAGCGGCCGTGTTCGTGCTCGCACAAGTGCAGCGCGCGGACCTGCAGGTCGCCCGCAAACTTGGCGTCCTCGTTGGAAAAGAGATGGGAGCACACGGACGGGAGAGAGATGGAAAGAGTCTCCAGTTTCGGACAGTTGCGGAACGTGTCACAGAGATGCTCGCTGTCGCTTGGGGAGCCCGGGTGCGGGTGCCAGAAGCCATCCTGCGACCGCGGGCTGTGCTCGAGAACACGCAGCGTCTTGCGCGAGGCCTTGACAATTGCCATGACTCCGTCAATGGTGATGGACGAGTTGCACGTCAGGTGGAATTCCTCGAGCTGGGTGGCGGTGCGAGCAATGGCGAACAGGTCGTTGTCCGTGATGGGCATGAAGGACGTGTCGCCAAAAATCTTCAGGCGTCGCAATTGGCTAAAGTTGACCGACTGCAGGGGCTCCAGATCGACGAGATTGTCCTTGTCGGTTGCTTGCTGCGATGTAGGATCGACACACTGGAGCTCCAAGGATTCGAGTGACTTGCCGCTTCCCGTCAGCATGGTTCGCCAAGCCTTGGCGTCAACGTGACGGATCGTGGTCCATGGAATCGAGAGCGAGGTCAGGTTGGTGCAGTTCTTCAGCGACTCGAAAATCATACGGTCCGTCTCGGCCGTGTAGAAGCCGTGGACCCACATGCGGCGGACCTTGGAAGCCACCTGGGGGTAGTCGTTGCAAATCTTGACCGTCCGCTTGAGCGAGGCGAATGGGTCACGGTAGACGGCAGTGCCGGTTGGACGGTCAATGAGCTCGTAGAGCGGGTAGCTCTCTCGCCTGTTGGAGAGCTCGGCCCATCGCTGTGCGGGGGTTAGCATGTTGGCTGGCGGATGCAGACAGGGACAGGCTTCGTACCTCTCCACCCTTCCAGCGGCGGATGTAGACGTCCTTGAGCGAGTGCTCCAGGGCCCACTCGTGCCACTTCCAGCAGACGGAGCGAAGCGTCGCCGTGGCATCCCACTTGAGCAGCTCGGGGGGAACGGGGCCCCTCACATAGCGCTGGAGCTTGGCCCTCTCGAGCGGCAGTGGGGCTTGCTGCAGGCCAAACGTGTAGGTCGGGCCCTCGCGGACATTGGCCTTGGTAACCTCGTGGAGGATCTGGGCGAGGATCTCGTAGGGGAAGTCGTTGAGGTGCATTGAATGTGCAGGCGGGCAGGGGCAGGGGTGGTGGTGGTGGGTGTGTGGTGTCGCCGGCAGCCTCTGGGGCGGATGTGCATGTGTGGATGTATGTATGGCTGGGTGGTGGTTGCTGATGCGAGGCAGGCGGGCGAGGTCAGTCTCCAGACGGTGCCGGCGGTCCTGGGGCCATCTTATAGGCGTGGCGACGGGCAGAGATTTATTGCAGACAAGAGCACCAGGCACCGTGGTACCGTGTTAGTCAACGAGTCGAGCGCTTCCCCAGCCTGATGCAGCGGCGCCAACGCCTCGGACGGTGGGCCGCGGCGAATACGAGGGAGCCATCGGGGGCAGGCGCGGCCAATGGGCAGCCCCGCGCGGCGCCGCTCGCGTCTAGAGTTGCGCGTGAAGGCGACTTGGACGTCGGGTTCGCCTTACGTCACGGGGGCTTGGCGCGCCGGCTGCGCTGGACCGCCAGCTCGACGCTCGCATATGCCTTCACGTGGGCTGGGCCACAGCGTTTCGATTACCCCCATGAAATTCAATCCGCAGGCCACCTGACCTCGCATGACACATCGAAATCCGCCGACACGCCCCCTCGTGCCTGCAGCAAGCCCTCGTCCTGCTGCCCGGCTGCCCTGCCCTGCTGCCCTGCTGGCACCGTGACCGGCTTGCCGACGCATGCCGCCTGCCGTTGGCTGGCGGCTTCGTGAAGCTTCGCTGCCACCACCACGGCTTCCTCTCACCACCCGACATCGCCCACGACCGCGTCGCTGTGCATACCACCGCGCCAGCACCAGTGCCAGCGCTGCTGCGTGCCCCAAACCGCCCTCACCACTCGTCCGCCCTCGACCCATCTGCATCTGTGCTTCTCCGCTTCTCCACGCCATGGACGCGCGGGCCCTGCTCCATGAGTCTTCTGCCTCCCCTTCACCACCTCCCCACCCCTCGTGTACACCGCATCTGCTTCACAACGCCCCCCCGACGCCCTCTCTGCCCTCGCTGCAAAAGCCTCCAAGTCATGGCAACAATCTCGGCCCCCTTGGCCGCCAGGCAGCGTGCACCACGGCCAGTCACGCAATGTATGCACAGCTCGTGTCATGCCTCTTCGCGACCGCCTCGCGACCCCCTCGGTGGACCAGTCTGCAAAAAAATCTTCACGATGCATGGACGCTTCCTCTGCTTGACACGTACATGGCCGCCGCTTGCATGAGTTGACGCCTAGCCTCTTCCCCTTCGTGTTGGACCTGGGCTCTTTGGGCAATTTGTTACGTCTTCAAAACTTCCCCGCTATGCACTTTCTCCACAGCCGCGAATTAACTCCCTGACGGGAACTAGTACTTTAGCTCACCACCCGGACCAGGCATGCTCGACGCAATCCTCACCAATTCTGAGCACATCGGGTGTAGCCGTTGATTGCACTGCTTGCGTCGACGCCATCACAAGCACGTCAGGACGACGGTACTGGCCCAACATGGACACAGCACATCGGTTACTCCATTAGCCGCGCCCCTAAGCAATATCAACCACATATCCGGGCACGGTCAAGTTCAGGCCTTAGTTTCTATGAGCTAAAGAAATACGCTACCCCGCAAAATTCTCGGCCCCTGGCAAGGCCGGGTCTTTGAAACTCTTCTGGTCTTGGGGCCTCTAGACCCGCCATCCAGCCACGGCATACTAGACACGGGCTTCCAATAAACCCCGAGACCTTGGCCTATTCTTTGCCACGACCTTAGCCGCCCTCGTGATTCGTCCGTCCGGGCATATATACTGTTAGTCACAAGGCTGTTCTAGTAGCTCAGCTGACGTCGTCTCCTGCACTCAGAGCCGCAACACCACCGAGAGGATCGTGCCTTCCCGACTTCACCTCGCGCGTCGGGAAAGACGAGACTTGTGGCTTGCTTCCTTTTTCCCCTGCCGGTGAACCCGGCGCCTGCGGCTGGACGCTGTATCCGTGCGTGTTGATCGGTGCAGTAGCCAAATACATACTTTGTATACTGGTCAGGCGTCTCAGTGTACCCCATCTTAGGGGTCCACGTAATCAATGCAGTCTGCCTACTCACCAGACGAGGCAATTGTTCCCTTTTAGTGAGGCTGTGCTGTGCTAGCACCAACTTACTGTGGCGCCAGTAGCTCGCCGTCGAACCACATGAGACACTATTCCCGTAGTGCTGTTGCAACGCCACTGAACAAAACCCGCAACAGCAGAGTATACACCGGCGCCGTACACGGGAAGTTTCTAGGTGACGCGTCTTTCCTCTTTAACAATGGTTCCGCGGTAAGGGTTCAAGAAAAAAGGGTCTCCCGTATTGTGACACTAAATCCACGAAGCCGTCGACTAGCAACATCGACCGTCGGGAATACGCACAAAAAAAGTCTCATACTTCCTGTCCGGTCAGGATACGGTACGACCTAAGATGCCGATATCCGATATCACAGTTACAGAGCGCAAGATTGCGAACTTTGTTGCCAGGCATTACCACTCTGTCCTTCTGCCAACCATGGTTTGAGGCCGGAGAGTCCCGACACGGGATGAGCATCTCCACACGGGAGTCACGTTGCAACCGTCACAGATCAAGTGGAGAAAGAGAAGATGAATTATATTTGGGTATCTTATCATGGACGACAAAACAAACTTTGCACTGACCGGACCCGTCTGTACACTCGAGCCCGTGCCTACTACTACCGTCTCCTCATGCCGTTACTCTCGACGTTGTTTGCGTGTGCAAGCAAGTACTTGCAACACGTTAGGGTGTACTTGCACGCCTTTGTCCATCCTTCGTCCTTGTTGAGAGCAAGCTTGATGCTTTGATCGTGGATGCGGTCTTTGCGTATTTCGTACGGCATCTTGACCCCGCCGCCACCGGGGCCGGGTCCTCCTCCCCCTATGCCAGCAGCGTTCGGCGGCGCCTGGTTCTCTACAAACTCACCCAGCTGTCGGAGGCATTCTAGGAATGCAACCATGGCCGCGTCAAACTTGCGGTGCAGGAAACCAAAATTGATGGGGAAGTCACCGGACGAATATAGCTCTAGGCGTTGCTTTGTCAGTTGTGGTGATGATGCCGTAGTCGCCGTGGACGCGTGTTGTACTTGTCTGGATGAGTCGGCGACGGAACCCCCGCCTTTTGCCTCTATGCGCGTGATGGTCGATGTAGAGCCCATGGGGCAGAGCTCGTAGCCGTCGAATTTGTAGCCTAGACGCTCTGCCAGGGTAGCGAGCAGGAGACAGGTTTGGCCCCATGCCGCGTTGATTTCGGGCCAGTCGACGTAGGGGTTTGGCAGGCGGCCGAGGCGCAGCCCGTTGATGGTGGCAAAGTGGTTGTCGTGCGTGATGTTGAATGTGTCGTTGTAAACGCTTCTCCGCTGCAGCTGGTTGAGCACCTGTGCATCGTGCGCATAGCGTGTGGCGAGAGCATCGCGCTCATTTTGAAACTCGGTCAGCGTCGTGTTGAAGGCGTTTCTGCTCTTCCAAAACTCATTCTCCTCTTGGTCCAGTATCCGCGCTTCCGCCTCCAAGGCGGCAATCTGGTTGTCGAGCTCCGCCTTTTCCGCCTCGAGGTTCTCGAGCTGCGTAATGGCCGTGCTTTCGGCCTTGTTGGCAGCTTTGAGCGCTGCCTCGGCTGCCTTGACCTCCTCGGCGCTGGGGACGTCGGTGTTTGCGCGCCGCAGAAAGTCCACGTAGGCGTCGCGCTCTCGCGTCGCAACAGCCAGCCGCTTCTGGAGCCCGTCGATGAGCATCTCGGTGCATTCCACGCAGATGGGATGGTCGATGTCGGAGCGCGCAGACAGAATCTCAAACATGCGGTTGGTCGTCTCCAGGCCGTCTGCCAGACTTGCACCGCCCGGCGTACCCAGCCCGTTGGCCGTGCCTTTCCGTCGTGCCTTGTCATTCGCGTCCGACTTTGCCGTCGTCTCTGCTTGCGCCTTGCCATCCGGACTGCGGACTGGCTTGGACGACGGCGAGTCAATCATCGACTCGGACATGTGGATATCGATAAACGACATGGCAGGGTTCTGGGGCCCATTTGCGCTTCGCGGCGGCGCCCCTGTAATGTTGCGCCTATGCGTGGGTGTTTTGGCGTCCCGGATGGCATCGTGATACGTCTTGAGGTGTTCGGGCGGGTTTGGCGGACGCGACAGCCGGTTTGGCGAGATTTTGGGAGTAGGCACTTGGCTCGATACTACCGAGTCTGGTGGTTGGCAGTTAATACTGGCATAGAAAGACTGTGTGCGGGGGCGGTACCTGTCAGGAGCTTGAAGGCAGCGGGATTGAGCTGGTCAATCGAAGCATCGATGTCGATGGGGGTGCGGCACTTTTGACAGGCCAGGCCTGCGGGCTTCTTGTCGGTCTTGGAAGTCATGCTAGCGGAAGACGTGTGCGTTCATGTTGCGGTGGGCGTTGTGGGATGGGTTAATCTGGCGTGGATGACGATGCGCCCGTTTGGTGGTTGGAGATCAGCTGCGGGCGGGTGGGGCTTCCCCGGTCGTATGTATGTCAGTACGGCGGGCTGTTTCTCCACTGAGTGTCAAAAAGAAACTGAGATTCTGAGCTACGTCTTTCTAGCTGTACTGGTGTTCCGATGGTGTATGTGCGTAGAGTAATCTCCTGCTATTTTACTATAGCTTTTCTTTTCCATGCTCGTTGGGTCTTGGCATTGTCTAGGTGGCCTGCAGGCTCACATGCCTCATGGTTTGTTGCCCGATACAGTTCCTTAGGGTAGTGATTAAGTTATAGTTGGAGAGTAAGATACGTATCAATCAAGTGGTAGCGTATATCATAACACACTGTTGCTTACTATGTACACGGTCAAAAGCTGCCAATGCACATGCAAATGTGTGAGCAAATTCTTTCCAGATTGAAAATAATTTAACATATACATAGACATGAGTTTCACACCAGGAAGCCTCTGCTGCACGAGGCAATAGCGCACATGTTTGGATTTGCCATGCCGAGTTGCGGGAACTGGCATTACTTTAGTTAATTGTCCCAAACGTTGAATACTTTGTGCTAGAAAAATCCACCGGCAATGCTTATGAGCATTTTTACAAGTGTTTCGCGTATAGTGGTTTTTGGACAATGTAGCCGGCTTGTAAGATACAAGTGTGATATGCGAAACCGCGTTGCCTCGGTCAATAAGACCACTCTTCTCCATTCTTCAACCCGCCAGAACATTCATGGCGCGAACGCTTTACAAGTCTGTCATATAGGAATGCAGTGTGGGAATCAACATGTAAATATATCACTACCTACGAGCAAGAAATTGAGAGTTAGTAGGAAGGCTGAAATCTATCGGGTGACGTCTAGGTAAATACGTTTCGGTAATAGGGCAAAATCCACCAATAAGCCCTATGCCGATGCAGCGGTTCGTGGTTAGCGATGACATGCAGGCGGGTGGGGCTTCCCGGAGCCGCGCTAAAAGACGTGCGTGCTGGGCGAGGGGGAAGTCGCGTCCCAGCCCTCAGCTCTCGCGTCACCCTAGCGCTCCGTCGCAAATCGTCGCAAACCACCCCCGCTCACCGCCAACCCACTATCCCTATCGCCGTGAAACGCGGCATCCTTTCCTTTACTCGCATCTCGAAAGCGCTCCTCCGCCGCCATGGAACCGCCGGCGAAGCGCATGCGCATCTGGCAGTCGGTCGAGGTGGACGAGGAGAATTCCGACTATGTCAAGGCGAAGCAGAAGCAGCAGCAAAAGTTCAAGGGCCGGCTGGAATCGATATTCGAGAAATACGGAAACATGCACGAGTCAATGAGCGACGAGATCGACATGAAGACCAACAGAGTGGTGGTGGATAGAGGTCATTTGCGGAGACTAAAGCGCCAGGTCGGCCGCAAAGAAGCCTTGTTACTGGATACCCTTGGCTTGGCTGTGGAGAAGGGACCAAAGCGTGGAATTGACGAGGAAGAGGAAGAAATTGTAGAGGATTCAGAAGATGAACTGGCACCGAGCCAGCCAGTCAAGTCGAAGGACGGACAGCCCGAATCAGACGGACAACAAACCAAAACATCAGACGACGACGCGCAGCCGAACACTTTGGCGACCTCGATACCGCAATTTGGCGGACTACAAACCCCAAACACACCGGTCCCTACTACAAATATCTTGCCGGCTGTCCAGTTTCCGCAAACTCCTGCGGGTCAGCAGGCGCAGGCTACATTCTACATGACGTTGACGCAGGGAATTGGAGAACTTGTCCAAAGAGCCATGATTCAATCCGGCTTATTACCTTACTCTCCTATCCCTCCCGTAACCGCTGCCCCACCGGTTACGTCCATCACGACAAACGACAAGGTTGTGCCAGCCACTGACCCGAAATGGTTCTTTCCACCTCTGTCCGCTGCAGCGCGCGAACATCCAGCAGCACAATCAAGTCCTCTTCCAATCCATGCAGCGGCTGTAGCGACTGGACAGGCTCATCAAGTAGTTGGCGCTACGCTCCCGCATGAGCAAGAACAAATAACAGAATCGACGCCCTTGGCGAATGAAATGTCTTCTATGGCACCTCCAACACGATTGGGAGAGAGCTCGCCTTCTAGACCCCGCCGAGCTAGTCCGCGTGTCGAGGTCCAAAGACGCCGTATCCGTTCAGCTCGAAAATATCATTTTACTAAAGAAGATGACGAATACATAAGCGAGAAGAAGAAGATAGACCAATTGTCATGGGCCGCTATCAAAGAGAGCCAGGAAAAGTGGAAAGATTGGCCACTCAGCGCGCTTACAAGACGATGGGCTGTGATCAAAGACCAGAACTTGCATCTGCAGACACCGCTTGTAGCTGGCACGAGTGATGAGATGCCTGATACTGAAATCGAGCTGGATGAGCAAGCGGAGGCTTCTCCGATACAATCCCACCATTTGCCAACGCCGAGTTCATCTGAGCATGGAGATGGCCACAGGGAGGGAGTTGAATCACCACAGTATGCCAACGGATACCCATCGAGCGCGCACTTTGACGACGACGAACTTGAGCTGCTATCCCTGACTGGCCGAGAGGCGGAAGATGAAGAACCGTTTCCTGAGAATCCAGACGAAGAAATATCAGACCCCTTACCAGAAGACGTCATCATCCCATCTATAGAAGCCAACGACGTTATCGATGAAGACGACCTGCAGCGAGACTTGCTTGAAAACCTACCGTTACGAGATGCCACCCTAACACCCCCACGACTAGCCTCGATCCGCGTAAAAACCGAGCCAATACCTTCTTCTCCCATCGCCGCACAGGTAGAGGATTCGCCCATGCGATACGACACAGTACCAGACTCGGATACGCCAGAAGAAGATACTAGTAGTAGTCAACAAAATACGAAGATCCCAGCACTTGCTCTCACCTGCCCCATCTGCAACCGCTCTTTCAAAACACCGCAAACCCTCGCACGGCATAAGGCGAACCCGAGAAATACACACACGCATCCTGCGCTGCCCCGGAAAAAAGCCACTACCACCACCACTACTGCTACATCTCTAGACCGCGTCGCCGAAACCAGTGTTCCAGAAGAAGAAGAAGAAGAAGAAGAAGAAGAAGAAGAAGAAGATGAAGATGACGACCCTCTCATCCTCCTCGCGCCCTCTCCTCCCCCCGTCACCGCCCCCACCACGCCAGCCATCAAGCGCGAACCCAGCACCCCATCAACAAGCTTCTTCCTCTCCACGCTGTACACCCCGAACACAAGTCTCTCCTCGCAGCCACGACAACGCCACAGTATCCGCGACGCAAACACCAAACATCCTCAGCCTGTACCAGGTGCTGTAAACAGAAAACAAAGAGAACAAGAAGATGCAAAGGCACATATGAAACGCGTTAAACAGTGCTGGAAAGGCAAAGCTGCGGGTACAACAGCAACAACAGCGACGACGATGATGGGAATGCCGCGATTGCAGCACGTCGATAAGGCGACGAAGAAGGCGACGAAGAAGAGGAGGCTTAGTTTGGGTTTGGGGGTGCTGGGGGGTAGTAGTAGTGGTAGTGGTAGTGGTAGTGGTAGTAATAGTAGGAATAAGAAGAGGAGGAGAAGTAGTAATAGTAGTAGTGGGAGTAGGAGTCATGATACTTACGATGATGATGATTATGACGTCGATGTCGACGACGACGACGAGGATGACGATGTGAGGGATGAGCTTTGTATTTGAGAGTAGGGTTTAGTTTCGTCGAGGTTAGATGGGGATGAGCTAGCTGGACGGAAGGGGGGCGGGGGATTTAATTATTTATTTATTCATTTATTTATTTATCTATGGTTAATAAACGCGGATTTGAAGTGGAGTGTTTACTGAATTGCCATGTGTGTATGGATGTGGAAGTGTAGTTTACACAAGAAGATGAGTAGAGAAAGGTACTTGCACTCTCGTCTGATTTACTGTGCAGATTCCACATACCTCTTCGTTCCCAATGAAACCCACCACCTACTGATCTACCTATACCAACACAGCACTCTGCCCCCTCACCCACTCCTCAGTCCTACTATCCACCTTCTCTACTTTCTCTTCCTTCCTCTCTTTCGTCACAGTACTCCTCACACTCCCCATTCCCTTTCCATCTTTCTCCACCCCCTGCCCAAGCACCTCGTCCCGTCCAAACATGCGCTCTAGAACGCCTACACTCCGGTACTTGAAGCGAAACACGGCATACGGCGCCTCGAGGCTATCGATATAATCGGGACGCGCAATGGCGTGGCCATAGGGACGCGGGGTGCCTGTGCGGATGTGGTGGGCGAGATTTGGTTTGGGAGCCACGATCTTTGAGGGGGTTTCTTTTTCACCTGGGGGTATGTTGGGGGGCTGGTGGGTGGATGGTGATGGCGGTAAGGGCCTTTGAGGGTTAGTTTCTGGAGGAGGATGTGCATGTTGATGTTTTTGTTTGTGATGGTGTTTAGTATGGTGTTTAACATGGTGTTTTCTGCTGTGACTGTAGGGTGGTAGTAAGGTAGTAGTGGTAGTAAAAGGATCTGGAGTATCCCATTGCATGGCTGGCTTTGACTTGGTGTTCGTATCGGAAGCGGGTTGAATCGTCCATGATGAATTTTCCCATTTCCGGTGTTTTGCTTTGGATTCCTTGGTGCAGGGTGTTGCTTCGAGAGCTGTCTTTAGATCAGGCACTTGCTGCATGGATACTGACTGCTTTTTCGTCTCCTTTGGAGGATCTTTTATGCTCCATGTGGTACTCTTAGTGTCCCAGGCTGTGGCTTCGGGTTTCTGGTCCTTGTTTGGCTCGCTCCATGTCGTACTTTCAATGTCCCAACCTGTAGCTTCAGGCTTCTTGTCCTTTTCTGGCTCACTCCATGCGCTGTTTTGATCTTCGTCGGTCGAGTACCAGCCGTTCTTCCCGTAGTCCTGAACCTCTGTGTTTTCCCAGCCCGACGTCTTGCCGTGGCCCTCAACGTCTGTCTTTTCCCAGCCAGACGTCTTCTCGTCCTCAAACTCTGTTTTTTTCCATCCAGACTCCATTTCATTGCCCCACGAACCTGATGACGTAGATCTGCATTCTTTATCCGCAGCAGGATCCTGTAAAAAGTCTGTCCCCCATGATGTATATGGTGCAGGAATGCTGTGAGTGCTACTTTGCTTTCGCACAGGATCCTGCACGGGCACGACCAGACTCGGAGCCGGAAATACCGAAGCACTCGCATTGCCGTGCACGCTCGGTTGCCTTGATTGTACTTGTGGAGGCACGGACTCCGGGGCATTTACAATGGTAGGTATCACTAGTGTGATGGGAGCAGGAACATGCACTGTTTGAGAGCCTGTTGGTTGCGCGGTATGATGTGAGTGTCGCGATGAGGTTCGATCACGACTGCGATGTGTAGACTTTGAGCGACGAGAACGGCCTTTAGATGTTTGACGCAGACTCTTTGTACTTTGGTGATGTGAAGGCTGGACAGTGTCGTTTGAGCTCAGTGAGATGACCGAGTCTGAAGGCTGTTCGATATGTGCCCAGCCTTTGTCTTCCGAGGAAGATGATTCGTCATCTCTTCTAGATCGTCTTGAACGAGACTGGTGCCTCGAACTCTGCTTGGAACGCTGTCCATCGCTTAGATGTAAAGGGATAGACCGAGCATCTAATCGAACAGGAGTTGCAGGTATCGGCATTGCCGATTGGCTCGAATCTTCCCAACCCTGTGCCTTGTTTTTCGTCCATGTCTCTTCCGTATCCCAAGAGTCAGAAGGGGTCTCTCCGCTCGAATGCCACCCATTACTGCTAGAAGTCTCCGTTTCCCACACAGGCTCCATACTCCAACTAACGCGGGTGCCTTTACTTCTTGCTTCGCTTTGCGCGCAGCCATCTTGGCTTTGTTTCCATGACCCGCGGTCACTGCGATTGCGTATGGAAGACGTTGACTCGGACTGGCGAGAGGGTTGTGCAGATGCCTGGCTTTTCTCTTTCTGTGATGCATATGCTGAATCCTTGCCATGTATAGACTGCTCCATTCTTCGAGACTCTTCCACACCCTGCTTGACTGCCGTCGTCAACAGTTTGTTCAGCCATACAGGGTCAACGCCGTCTTTGTGCGGAACTGCAGTGCTGTATGATTCATAGTGAGTATCGTTTTTGTCAGGTGGAATGGGTCCGCTGCCGTATTGGAAGCCCGAAGGCGGAAGATCGGTTGCGCGCCGCGTGTGTGGACTGACCGACTGCGAGTATCTAGATTTAGGTTGCGAATGATGCGATATCGATACTCGAGAAATTGACTTTCGTACATGCTGACTGTTGTGGTGATTTCGTTGCTCTGAGCCGCTGGGGCTACGCAGTGATTCGGCGTAGGACGTGCGATACGATGGCAATGGGGGCGGTGGACCGGAGCCACTACGGGTGCTTTTAAAATACGGCCCTCGATCATCATATGTCTGACTTTTATGGGAGCGTGACAATTTCTCGTCCAATCCAAACGGATCACCGGACCAGTCACTGGCGCCGTCAAGGTTCATAGTCAAAGTTGACTTGTCGCGAGTCCCAGCGCATCGCAGCACCAAGACTTCGATGCAGCCTATATTCTCCGAGGTATTGAGTGCTTCGTCCGCCGACACTGCTGTTGTCAGTCGATACCAAAACTACCTCTGGCCAACATACCAATATTCAACTTATCAAACGTCCATTCGCGCGCAATCATGGAGCCATCCTTTTGCCTCTCCTCCTTTTGGCGGACGGTGAAATCAACCAAAGAGCGGTTATCGGACGGCTTGCGGGGCTTCAAGTCCTGTCGGTTGCGGTTGCACTGATATACGCCGTCAACGTAGACGAAGAGGGCGATTCCTGGCGCGATGAACTTGTTCGAGGTAAGGTGGATGGAAAATGATTGGGGTTGACTGGGTACAGGGACAAACGTCTCGACAAAGCCGTCGCCGTAGGTAGTGCCGAATTCCTGCAGTGCTTGGTGGCTCTCAGAGAGCTCGATTGCACAGTTGAGGTCCTTGAGCGAGGGCATTGGGGCGGTTGAAGCAATGGCTTGTTATGGAAGGAGGGTTCAGAGGCTAGGGCTGGTGATGCACTACTGGATGAGGTAGGCAGTGAGTGGGGCGTCACAGCGACAGCGAGCTGCACGTGGTGAGAGCAACAGCGCAGTCGGCCTGTGCTCAAGCCATAGAGAAATGTAGAGCGTCTATTCGATGACGTCTTTCAGGCAATCGACAGAGGCTGGGCCAAGTTTGCTATGCGCAAAGTCCTGTGAAAGACGCCATCATATACATTACTTCAGCTGCCGATTGACAGCTTCATCAATACCTACACGAACGACACATCTTCACGTTTTCAGGCGTCTGTAAACCCTTTCGCAACAATGTTGTCAGTGAGCAGTGACAGACATGCCAGGCTTGCGGAACGGGGTTTGCTGTGGACCAGCTCTTAACCGTGATTACAAACAGCAGTAGCCAGTAATGTTTACGCTAAACGGTGTAGGACGCCAACGCAGCGTCCAACAACGTCAGGTCCATATCTGAGGCTTCATGTCAGCAGTGGGAGAAACAAGTGCGAAGGCGGAAGTGAAGACACTAGCTCCATCTAGCATAGCGCAGCACGTGATGGAGAGCAGTGAATGGCGCCGCAACGCGAGTAATGTGTCTTCATAATATCATTTCGAGTCAATCCATATACGATAGCGCGATTAGCTTGATACGCAAGGCCCGTTCCTACGAGTCCGGCTTCATTGTCCCGCACAGCGAGCATGTCCACCATTGGTTTTCCTACACAAGTCAGTAGATGGTTCCCGCGATGCCATGCCAGCCATGTTACCATGAAGGTTCCACACTCCAAACAATTCCAGCCCAATCTCCCCCGTGCTGGCTCAAACGGTGTGGCTCCACGGCCGCGCAACCCAGACTGTGGTGGGGGCTTAGGGAGAACGGGTGCCGTGTATGACGACGCAAAGCGCTTGTGCTCTGGTATGGGCTGAGGCGGTTGCTCCAGGCCACACGCGCCACAGGCAAGGTAGTCGAGAGAGTTGTGCAGTGTGCATTGCGGACACGCCCACTTGGTAGGGTCGGGCAGAGGCGTGTCAGCTGGTCGCGGGGCTGGGGGTGGAAATTGCCTATTTCGAAGCTGCTCTTCTTCCAATGAGATGAGGCGCGGGGGCGGCCTTGCAGAGACGGGGTGCCTGGTGGATGTTGATCTTGACAGCGGTTGCGTGAGCAGGCGTGACAGAGGCCGTCCTTGGGGAGGATGCGTGGTGCTGCGTGTGGGATAGGGTCGAGTTGCCAAGGGGACCGAGGGAGGCTGTGCACTGTCGAATTGCAGACCGTTTTTGGGATCCCAACTGAGACCACCGTTGCCCGTTGGAGCACCCAATCTCTGCATTTCCTCGTCGTACATGAGGTCCTGCAGAGCCTGAGCAATCGCCCAATCGTTGGCGTCGTCTTGCTCGGCTGTCGTACGGAAACGGTCTCGCTCTTGTTGGTGGAGCAGCCGGTCAGCCTCAGAGCTGCCGCTGGCACAGCCTTCGATGATGCTGCTCCTGCGGGACGCGGCGTCTGCAATGACTTTGCGCATGTCAACGCCATGTGCTGTGGGCCGCGAACCCCCCAAGCGGTGTCCTCCTGCATTGGCCTTGGGCGCGGCTCTTCGTTTCTCAGCGGCGACTCTGGCCTGGCGGCGCATTTCGTCGAGCGGTATGCGCTTGCCACCGAGTTTCTGGCCTTGCGACAGGAAGCTTTCTCCAGTGTAACCCCTCATGAGGAGCGACTGGTGCTCCTCGCGAAGCTCGTTCCACAGATTGTTGAAGTCGACATTGTGAGGACCAATGACGATGTGGCAGAGCTCATGCAGCAGCGTGTCTGTGACCTGCTCCATAGAGAGGAACTGCCTGGAATCATGGTGATATCTCAGGCGGATGAGGATTCTCTCTGTGCGGTTAATGTTCAGGCCTGCGGGCTGTCAGCACACTATCTTACAGTCAGCTTCTGTGTGCCCACCCAGCAGCTGAGGCTCGTCAGGGAGAAACTCGGCCAGTGTGCCGACCTTCCAGCCGCGCTTCCTCATCATGGGCTTGACCATGGATGCAGCCTTGCGGAGCGTGTGCAGGGCCTCGCCATCTCGCGGTAGGTGCTTCAGATGCTCGTAGGCGTCGAAATGCGCATCAATCTCGCGCATGCTGTGTCTGTGTCTGTGTCTGTGTTCTAACTAGTCAGGATGGGCTGGGGGGTTGGATGGGCTCTAGAGGGCAGCGCGAGGTTCTGGTGTTGGCAAAGGCGACGCCCGCTGCTTAGTTAAATGAGCGCTCGCTGCGGCCAGAGTGCCGTACAACACGGCCCATGCAGGGGCAAAGGAAGCAAGCCGAATGGTGAGAGCCAAGAAATGGCAGGAAAAAAAGCTAGAAAACAAGTACGGATAGCCACGTAAGCACTTCACGCGTTGTCTCGGTGGTTGATGGAGGCGGCGAGTGACTTTATTCTACTGACAAGGGTATTTACAGGCTGCTGGCGTCCCCCGTGAAGGCCAGGCCGATGGCATGCAAGGGCAGCACGCTCTGCACGCCTAAAAAAAGCTGCGTTGGCCGTGAGCGAGAGCTGAGAGGGTGGCGCAAAAGCCACGGGCCGTCACGTGGAGTCGTGTGGAGGAAGGCGGCGCTAACTCATTGGCTTGACGTAGTGCCTGCAATGACCGACGAAGGCCTTGCTGCACCTCCAAAGGCCGCCCCGAGGACCTGCAAAGCATAGTCGGCTGCCAATCCTGTCCTCCGCCCTGACCTTGCTGCTTGCCGTCTGCCATCGGTGCGAGCAGCAAGCATGTCGAACGACGACCAGCAACTCCTCGGCGTGGTGAGTATGGCGGTGGCGGTCGCCTCTGCACCTGGAACTGACGACGTGGGAAGCTCGCCGAGTACTCCAAAGACGTGCGCACCGTGACGGGCTCCATCTGGGACGCAACCGATGCGCATTTCGCACATGTGGCCGGCTACATCAAGAAGAAGCTGCCCGAGGCCTGGCTGCCCGAACGCGCGCGACCGCGACCGCCGCCTCCACCCCCGCATGCCATGACAGGCCACTACCTGCATCGCGTGTACGACTGGGTCCTCGGGCACCAGGCGCTGGCGGCGGCGGCGGCGGCCTTTTTCGCGACGGGCAGCCTGCTGGTATGGCGTGAGCAGAAGAAGTACAACCGCAAGCGCAGAGCGCGGCGGGCGAGCAACGGGGCGCGGTGCGAGGTTGTGGGTGAGCATGCGAGGGCGGGGCGAGCGCGGTTGTGGCAATTGTGCTAACGGAGACAGTGCTCGCGGGCGCGCCCAACTCGCCCATTGTGCGGTCGCTGTCGCTGGATCTGGAGCGGCGCGGCTTCATTGTATACATTGTGTGCTCCAGCATGGACGAGGAGCAGCAGGTGCTGGGCGAGTCCCGGGCAGACGTGCGGCCGCTGCACCTGGACGTCGTGGACACGATGGGCACGCAGCAGGCCATGAGGCGGTTCAACGAACTGCTCGCTAAGCCGCATGTTGCCTTTGCCGGGGCAAGCCCACACAAGCTCAACCTGAGCGGTGTCATGTTGGTCCCTGACTTGATTTACCCGACTGGACCGGTGCAGACGGTGGGCCCTGAGCTCTGGTCGGATGCGCTCAATGCCAAAGTGCTCAACACCATTGCCGTGACGCAGGCGCTGCTGCCGACCGTGTGCGAGTTCAAGGCGCGGCTTCTGCTGCTCACACCGAGCATCATTGCGTCACTGCGGCCGCCGTTCCACAGCGTCGAGACGACCATTGTCAGCGCGCTCGAGGGCTTCCTGGCGTCGCTGCGGGCAGAGCTGGGGACCCTGGGCATCGAGGTGCTCCAGTTTCATCTCGGCACCTTTGATCTGAGCAGCGTGGGCTCCAAACATCATCTCCAGACGCGTTCGATCGGCAGCCCACATGCTTGGCCGGCCACCACACGAGCGCTGTACGCAAGCAACTTTGAGGCCCAGACACGCGTCGCGCAGAGCCGAGGCCTGCTCAACCAAAACGGCAGCTCGGTGCGCGAGCTACACAACGCCGTGTTTGACGCCCTCACGCAGCCGCGGCCGGCCAAGCTGTGGCGGGTTGGGCGTGGCAGCGTCATGTACGACGTGGTGGGCAGCTGGGTGCCTCGTGGGCTTGTTGGCTGGATGATGGGATTGAGACGAGTGTCTCTGGACACGCCATCTCAGCCGAAGCTAGAGGATAGTGTGCAACTACAGTCATGGGAAAAGCTCGAGGGCGTCGCTTAGCAGGGCGGCGCGCGTGTTTTGGAGTGCGAGCTTGGGCAGCGTCATGGACGGGCAGGAATGAAATTGCAAGGCAGGTTATTGTTCTCTGAGCGCGTGTGTGTATGTGTGCATGTGTGTGCATGTGTGTGCGGGAGTGTGTGAGGAGCAAAGGAGATGAAACCCGTGCAGTGGTTGGAGAGGACGGAACGAGGGGCTTGGCAGTTGTTTTCAGCTAGCGGAGGCGCCCCTGCATGGTTAGATTGGCAGGACAGGGCGTTGCGGCCAGTCAGCTGGACGTGTATAGTTTGGGCGGGCTATTGATCAAAGCAAGCAAGCATGCTCAGGCGTGTGTGAAGGAGCAGGAACAGTGGTTCGCAGCATGGGCAGCAAGTTAAATGAGCAACAAAGTGGTGGCCCAGGGCGGGCGTCGAGGGCGCGAGGGCAGACGGCTACTATTGACGGCGAGGGCCCAAAGCGGAAGCGAGCCGACCAAGGGCGAATACGCGTGGTGCTAGTGAAACGAGGCAGAGGGAGCTGTCATGTCGCAGGTATGGGGGTGGGGGAACAATAACGATGACACATGCGGAGGGATGGGGTGAATGCGTGGTGCAGCGGTGCAGCGGTGCACAGGCGTGCTTGCTTATAGGTGTAGGTGTATGGATAGTAGGATGGAGTAGGATGGAGCAGGGAGGCCGAGGACAGAGGCGAGCCAGGGCGGAGAGTCATGGCGGCGCGGCAGAGAGGACACACTGGGCATGGGGGGGCCAGGCGTGGCTGGCCGTGTACGTAGGCAGAGTATTGAATGAATGAATGGATGAACGATGGACGCGGAATGCTGAATGAATGAATGAATGAATGAATGAATGAATGAATGAATGAATGCGTGTATACATGCATAGGGCCACCAATTGCCGGGCGTGTCTGGGCGGCGGCGGTGGCGTCGTGTCACGCTCCACGCCGCCGGGGGGGACGCGCACAGGCCACAACGTCGTCGATGCAGGGCCGATTGCAGGTAGCGCGCCCGATTGGAAGCAAAGCACAGGAGTCGTCGCGGGTTTCAGGAGGTGTAGGTTTGGCTATTATTGCATCCAACCCCCCTCCCCCTCAGTAGTCCGCCCACGTCCATCTTACCCCGTCACGGCGACGCTTGCTGTCGTATCCGCTCCTTCGCGCTGCACCCTAACCTCCCGTTTTCTTCTTTCCATGCTCCCGACACGGCCCTCTGCTGTCTGCTCCTCCTCCCACGCCATACCACTACTACCTACACCACCCACGCCAGCCCGCCTTTACCACAACCACAACCATCTCCTCCTCGTCCTCCACCAACAGCAACGCCGCGCCGCCGCCGCCGCCGACGCCGCTACCACCACCCCCGTCTGCGCCCGTCTCCCCTGCCGGCACAGCCTCAATCGCACTTGCAGCCACCACCACCACCGCCGCCGCCGTTACTCTTCTTCTTCTCTGGCCTGCTTACCCCCAGCATTCGCCCCAGTGCACGCTGCACGCATGACAGCCCGGCGTCATCAGCCCTTTGCCACCGATTCCATGCCCTACCCCTGCTGCTGAGACGTCCTTTGCTGTCCCCGCAACCACGCCCACGCCCACCACCACCACCACCACCATGACGAGCCGACCTCATCGCCCAGGCGGCCTCGACCTGCGCTCCCAGTCGTTTGACCCTCCAAGCAACATGTACAACAACTCCAACAACTCGTCGCAGTCTGGCCTCGGCTGCATTGCCAGCGCCAGCATGAGCAATTTGTCCCTCGGCTCTGACCTTCCCAGCCCGCGCACCGGCGAGGCCCCGCCCGCCCTCTCCCCTCTGGACGCGCTTGCCCTCCAAGGACGACTGCTTGCAAAGCGCTTCGAGCAGCAGGACAAGGCCGGCCGCCGCCTCAGTCGCTTGGCTCCTCTGACCATCCAGAACGAGTTTGGCAACCGCCCCGGATACTTTTCTTCGCTGTCCAACTCGACCGTCAACTCGCCCAACGAAGACGCAAACTCCTTCAGGTCTCCCCGACCCGACGTGTCCCCCCGCCACGAAGCATTGGAGAAGCACAGATCTCACTACCCGCAGATTAGCAACGACGACCTCGAACCCCAACATGCCGCTGGCCCACTGCAGAGCCCCATGGCCACCATCGCAGAGGCAAGCCCTGCCATTTCACCACGCGGCTACTTTGATATTCCCAGGTCGCGCTCGCCCGAGCAGGTTGAGCCCCAGTTTGGACTATGCGAGGCGACGCCCGTCAGCCCCCGCGTGCCAGCCACGCCCTCGAGAATGTTCCTGAGCCCACAGCGAAAGCCATCTGTCGAGGCCCAGCAATCGTCGCCGCAATCGCGCGCCAACCTGCTGCCCCCCCGCTCGTCCAGCTCGGTACGCTCCAATCGCTCCCCGCGCCTGTCGCCCAGCATGCGGTCCACACACGCCGACAGCTACGACGACGTCGAAGACCTGTCCCTCAGCGGATCATACGACTCTCTGCACCAGAACCGCAGCCTGTCCCCTAGCTCCAGCTTTTCCGGGGCGCAGTCGCCGTTCGCCGCCGGTGCGGCTTCCATGGTTCCTCGATCACCTTCGGCTGCATCCGACTATTCTATTAATAGCACAAGCCTTCCGCGCCCTGCATACAACTTCTCCAGGCCAATGAGTCGCCAGAGCACACGCCCATCATTGGACGTCATGTCCAACGAGGGTCCCTCACGCCAGGCATCCGACGAAAGTGCCTACATGAGGCCCTCTTTTGATAGCCAGTCTCATCAACATGACCCCAACGAGCCTCCCATGGCACCCTACGCCAATGAGACTGTTCACACGCCCGTCAGCATGGCCAGTGAGGACTTTCGCCGATCGGGCGACTTTGCCAACAACCCGGCTCCCTCGTACACGTACACCAAATTCAACCTGCCTCGTGGCAGGACGGTGGATCGTCGATCGGTCGGTGTCGAGGATTTCCTCAACAGTCAGATCAAATGGGACCAGCCAAAGAAGCCCAACCAGGCTCAGGCCCGTCCACCCTCGCCAGAATCCCCACCTCGTTCTTTTGACCATGGCGCACCGTCACTCACTTCTAGCAATAGCACCATCCGTGCCCGCACCGCTGGTGGTACGGAAATTACCGCTCAGCAGCACTGCGACATGGGTATCGAGCTTCACGAGGCTGGCGAGCTTCTCAAGTCGACCTACCACCTCCGCCTCGCTGCCCGTGCTGGCCTTCCAGAAGCCATGTTCTGGTATGGCCTGGCCTGCCGACACGGCTGGGGCATGCGTGAGAACAAGGGCGAAGCGTTGCAGTGGTTGCGACGTGCCGTTGACTCTGGCCATCTTGAAATCGCAGATGACGAAGACCAGGACAAACACGGCCAACCCACCGACCAAGTCAAGAAGAAGAAGCATCGTGCACAGTATGCAGTGGCAATCTACGAGCTTGGAAAGTGCTACGGAAACGGTTGGGGCTGTCCTCAGGACAAATCGCTCGCGCTCCGCTGCTACGAGATTGCCGGCAACTGGGGCGATGCAGACGCCCTTGTCGAAGCTGGCTACTGCTATGCTGAAGGCGTGGGCTGCAAGAAGAACATGAAGAAGGCTGCCAAGTTCTACCGTGCAGCCGAGGCCAAGGGCGTCAGCATGGTTGGCAACAGCTGGATCTACAAGGACAAATACATGGACGATGGCCCAACCATGTCTGACGCACGCTCAGTTCGATCTGGTCGCTCTACAACAAGGGACCACTCTGAGAAGAAGGCCCGCGACAAGAGCAGGACGCGTACCATCTTCAGCCGCAAGAAGAGTGCGGCTTAACTCTCTTCCTCCCCCCCCTCCTCTCTCTCTCCCTCCCCCCCCCTCCTCCTACCTTGTATATGTGTCCACGACTCTTTCTTATGCGTTTGGCGATGGCGTCTAGGCGTAGTGGCTCGGTGTCTGATTTTACATATACCTTGGTTGCGTCCCGGCCGGTCTCTACTTAGCCCTGCGCTTGCTTTGTTGCAAAAAAAGAACCTTTTTTCTTCTCTCTTTCCTTTCTTTTTTCCTTTCGGTTGTTTGCTTTCCCTCTTTTTTTTCTACTTTCACGATACCTGCCTGGCGCATGGCTGGGGCCATACATAAACTATAAACTGTGCTTGGATTATTATTCGCACATGTTGATCGAGTACACTCTTCGATACTTGAACATAGCATTTCGCCATTAAGCCTTGTTCTTGCGTTGCGTTTTCTTTTGTTATTGCCTGCCTACTTGTTCCCATGTTTCCTAGCCATTCTCTCTCCCTGCCCTCTTTTCCTATGTTTATACCACTGTCGCATTTTTCCTATTCGGCCCTTTGATGCCTTAGTATTTTTTTTCCCTTTCTTCTCTTTCTTTCCTTCTGTCTTTTACGGGATATCTGAATTTCAGAGTTGTCTCTCTCCCCCCCCTCTCTCTCTCTTTTTTTCTTTTTCCTTCACTTTCGATTCATACGTAAATCTAATACCCGGTTGCTGGTGTAACTCGTTGACAAGAAAAAACCTTTTGTTTGTGCGGCTTCTTTTTTTTTCCCTTTTCATCTTTTTTTCTTCTTCTTCTTCTTTTCAAGGGAAAGGGAAAAAAGAGAGGCGGGAGGATTGGTACGGCGCGCGTCTTTGTCTGTGTCGGGGTGGATGGATCTGGATGGGAAGTTGGAAACGCGGAAAAGAATATGTTCTTGTTTCCTTGTCATTGTCGTTGCCGTTGTCGTTGCTCGGAGGAAGTGTGAGTGAGTGAGGAAATACGGGGTGGAAGAATACTGCCGGAGAGCTTGATTTCCTCAACCCGTGCGTTTTTTTTATTTCCCCAAGCTGTGTCTTTATTTTTTTCGTGTAAAATCGAGAAGAAAAAATGCCCTTGGTGAGATTGCAAACGCACAAATTTGAAGTGGCTCTGCAGATGGATGAATGGATGGATGGATGGAGAATTGAGTAAGAAGAAGGTGGAATATCAAAATTCAGATTTGAAGTTGCTGTCATTGAGCAGCTGCTTCTTCTGTGCTTGCTCTCTTGTTTCGCCCGACTATCTACTGTGCAACTGTCTCTCTCTCTCTCTCTCTCTCTCTCTCTCGTCTTTGAAATCATCATGCTTCTGCGGACCATGACGCTTACTACTACGTATGTCTCTTTACGTTCTTACATTCTTCGTTTCCATTTTTCTCTATTTTCTCCACTTTCTTTGCCCCGTCATTGCTTGCCGGCGCTAATGCGTTGCCTGGTCATCATAAGATGCGGGATTGGTATGTGCACACACACACACATATATATATATATATGTCATATTATTATATTCATGGTGACTCTTACATAGAGTTCAGACAAGGAAGAAGAGAGAAAGAGAAAGGGTACACATGATACTATCAGGCATTCAACGTTTCATTTCATTTCTATATTCAATCATCACCAAAAGACTGTCCATGCCATGCCTCTTACATCCCCTCTACCCCCTCTCTCTCCCACATACACACATACACACACACACACACACACACGCACACAATCAGCTCACACCTAGCAGTTTGAGTTTGTCTGCGTGGCAAGGCCCAAGTGCCACGGCAGGGCATTGTAGGTAGCACTGGCGTTGGGGTCGATACCCTGGTACAAGTAGCGCATGTTGCAGGGGGTAATGGTGAGAGTCTGATCGACGTTTGTGCGGACAATCTCGCCGTGGGAGATGCTGGTGGACCAGCGGCCGGCGGGGAACTGGACGTTTGCCTGGCCGAGGAACGGGTTCTGCTGGGTGGCGGCCAGGGCGGTCCACGGCCCCGTCAGCGACGACGCGGTCCAGCTGCGGAAGTAGCGCAGCCCGCCCGGCGAGTTGCCCGAGCCAATGCACTCGACAAGAAGCAGGTACTTGTTGTCGGCCACGCGGTACACGTTGGACGCCTCAAACAGGTTGTTCTTGGTGTCCTGCAGCGCAATCACCGGCTCGTTCATGCCCTTGGGGAACTGCGAAATGGGCGTCGAGCTGCGGTACAGCCGGCCCATGTCGTCGGACGAGAAGAGATGGCAGTTGGCCGAGTCGCAGATGACCCACATGTCGACCCAGTAGCCGCCGCCCGCAAGCCCATTCTGGATCGTCGCCGGCGTGCCGTTGGGGTAGAAGACTTGGGGAGCTGACCAGCCCCGCGGATTCGAAATGTCCGGGTTGGTGCTGTAGGCTGCATTGCCGTTTTGGTAGATGAGATACCAGAGTTTCTGCGGCGCAAAGTAGACTTTTTTGCCCATGTGTCAGCTGATGTGGAACCTCGACTCCAACTCCCATCTCCACGCACAGCCGTCTTGTGTACGCATCTCCGGGTGTGCGGGTGGGTGGGTGGGTGGAAAAATACGTACAGACTTCAGGCGCAGCACGGTATCCCGTGCCAATGCCCGACTGGTCGAGGTAGTAAAACGGCGCCTCCTGGGCCTTTGAGAAATCGGTAAAGTTGAAGTAGACGAGGTTGTAGCCCTCTTCTTTAGCCGTGCTGGCAAAAACATGGTATGTGCCCTGGTACTGGATGATGGATGGGTCCTTGATGCCGGCGAGGTTGCGGCTGTCCTTCTTGGGCGAAACTAGAATGCCGCTCGAAGTCCAGCTAAAGCTGCTGGGGAGATTGGCCTGGCGCTCGGCAAGCGATGGACGGAGGTTCGCAGGTACATTGCGGGCGAGAACTGTGGCTGCGAGCGCAACGCAGCTGATGAGAAACGAACGCATTCTAGTCGTTTTTTTTACTGGACTGCAACTCCAATACTGTCTCTCTTCTCGTCGGGACCCCCATCCTTTATATACCCGTTGTCTCGCTCTTGTCTCAGACATTCTCCGGAGCTCCAAAAGTTGGGGAAGCCGGGCACGTGGGCCACGGACCGGGGCATTACCTGCATCGTATGGGGTAATCTACGGGAGGGCTTCTGGCTTGTGGAATATTTCTCGTCGTCATCGTCTGCTGGCTTGTTTTCTTCCTTCTTAGCAGTAGCTTGGTGGGCCCTGTGCTGGGCGTTTAGCCTGTTCTGCTGGGTTGGCGGCCAGCTTTCCAGCTTAGGTAGCACATAAATTGGTCGTCTGTACGGATACGGAGGTGGCAAACTGTCTAGTTGGACGAGGGGCTGCGAATTGTTCTGTAGATGACGAGTGGGGAATCCTGGGGAGGAGGTGTAGGCACCATATTTTGTTGCTCTAGAGCGCCTCTGGGGATGCAGAGTAAACTGTCTGAGCGCGTCGACATGGCTGTAGAGCTGCTCAACGGACATTTTCTGCATGCTGGAGCCTTCCCTCTTTGGACTAGTCGGCCCGTGCTAAACCCTCTTGCCAGTCACCCGTGGCAATGGTTAAACAACCCACCACCAATAGCTATCTCACCCACCTTGAAGCTGGGGTCTGCATTAGGGGCGCGGCATCTAAAATTTATAGAGTTAGCACTGTAATTAAATAACTTAGCTCTTTTTTTATAACTTACTAAGTAGCTAGATAATTGTAAGAGGCTACGCCTAAAGTGTGTGTGTGATCGAGTATATCTATACGACTACCTAGACTTCAAGAAGCTTGAAGTCTTGTTACTGCCTTTTTGGCTATGGATGGCGTAAGTAGTCGTACGCTCGGCCCGTTGGGCCCGCCCATTACAATAATACTTATCTAGTATAGAGCGCTAGTGTTGTGTTTTAGGCGAGCTAGGCAGCCTCTAAGCTATCTTAACCCACACTATATAACGCGTAGAAATTGTTAAAACATACTAAAAACTCCATTAATTTTGCTTTCTATTATATTGCTTACTGCCTATAATACTATTTTATTTGATAAGACTGCCTAGCAGCTAATTTACTATACAATTAAGTCTAAGTCTAATAAAGATAGGTTAGTTTAGGAGGGCTATACTAATTCTAAGCAAGAACTAGAGTCGTTAAGCAACGCCCTTGCCTATGAAGCTGCTCCCTATAAAGCCGCTCTCTATAAAGCTGCTCTCTATAAGGTTATAGCCTATAAAGCTATAGCCTATAAAGCTGTACAGCCTAAGCCTCTATACTATAGGCGAAGTACTAAGCGTGCGCTGCGCTAATAGAATTATAGTAAGCTCTATAGTATTATAGAGTGTGATATTAATAGTTTATAAGAGGCCTTGCTTATTAATGATAAGCACCTACTACTACTAGAAGTTCTATACAATAGCTATAATAAAGCTCTTAATATAGTTAATAAGTAGGCTAAAAACTATAGTATTACGTATAATTAATATAAACCACGTAGCAAGCTAGCAATTTAAGTTATAATATATTATAACTAAAAAGGCTTACTACGCCTAAGTAAAAAAGTAGCAAAACTAGAATCATAGTAGAGTGTGTTATTATAGAAGATAGATTATAACATAGGATTTTAGTTGCTTATAAAAAACTCTGTATAACTAGAGGGTTAGTAGAGAGTTAAATTATAGAAAGATTAAAAGAGCTTTACCTATAATTACCTACTAGTTAAAGAAAAATTTATATTTGCTTAGTACTAGAGAGCGACCTATAAAGCGTTGCTAGAGAAGAGGTTAAAGGAAATTTAGGCGGCATTGCAAGGTCTAAACTATACGCTATAGATAGTGCGCGCTAAGTTCCCCACTATCTAGATAACGCAATAGGACATTAGAAACTAATTTATAGCGTACTACTATTAAGAACTAGGTTTTAACACAAAAACTAGGTTACTTTTAAAGAAGTTAAAGTAGAAAAAGTATTAGTTTTAGTAAGTCTCTATTACTAAATTATTTTAGTGTTATAAGAGTTCTACTAATTCTAGCGCGTATAGACTTAAAAATAGTCTAAATATATTATCTTATTAGCTTAAATACTTGCGCTAATAACTTACTACCTATTAGTAAGAAAATTAAAATATTCTAACACGTTGCTAGGCATAGAATTAACGCAAAGAACTATATTACGCACCTTTTTTTCATTTACCTACGCTACCTTAAAAACTTTAAAAAGTTGCTAAATACGCTTATTGTAATGGGCGGGCCCAACGGGCCGAGCGTACGACTACTTACGCCATCCATTGCCAAAAAGGCAGTAACAAGACTTCAAGCTTCTTGAAGTCTAGGTAGTCGTATAGATATACTCGATCACACACACACTTTAGGCGTAGCCTCTTACAAGAGGGTCTACTAAACATAAGAAGTAAGAAATAAACCTTTGGTAAAAGTTAGCAAATCCTAAGAAACCTTATACGCCTTAGACGGACGTAAGGGGTTCCTATTCTTAGATAGCTTTTGTCTTCTCTAGGTCTATTAAGACACCCTTTCCTACTTTAAGGATAAACTCTAAATACTTTATACGTTAGACGTGAAATTCGCACTTATCTAATTTAAGTTATAGTCCTGCTACTTATAGTTGTCTAATTACTTATTGTATATAGGTGTAGTGTTAAGATAGAGAGCTATCTATAAAAATTAAAATGTTGTTAAGGTAAGTAGATATAAAGTCGTCTAGTAGGTCCTATAAGATCTAATTAACGTAGCGCTAAAACGTACTTAGAGCATTAGCTAGACTAAAGGGTGTAACTAGCTATTTATATTAGCTAAATCTTGTTTAAAAGGCTATTATCCATTCTTATTTTTTAGTAATTTGTATTTTATAAAAGGCAGCAGAGACGTCTAGCTTAGTATACTACTTAGCTCGTCTAACTTAGTTTAGGGTCTTATAGATTAGAGAAAGAGAGTATTAGTCTTTTTACGTAATAGCGTTAAGCGTATAGTAGTTAATATAGAACCTTAGTCCTTCTTTAGGCTTCTATATAAAGAGGACTAGTAACGCTATAGAAGAGGTGCTTACACAAATAAAACCCTTATTAAGTAGGTCTAGGAGTGTCTTCCTTAGGACTAGTAGTTTGTCTCTAGACATGCTATAGAGCGGTCTATACAGGATCTCTAGTAGCTTGCCATCTTAGGGAATTAATTTAATTTTGTAGTCTACGTCTAGGCCTTAGTAGGGTAGTAACTCTGCTCCCTCTTTTAGTAAGAAAAGCTGCGCGTAGTCCTTAAGGTAGGTAGAGAAGGTTTTCTTTACTTTATCTATCGTAAGTTTTGCTTTTAGACAGAGAGCTTTTTTGATATCTTTTAGACTAGCCGCAAATACCTATACTACCTTCTATCTTCTATTTCTTCGTACGTGTAGTTAGAAAGCAGTAGTAGTAATAGCAGCACAGTCTATCTACGTGGGCGTGGTGCTCTCCCTACTTTGTATGGAGAATCCGTAGCGTTGTAGGAGCAGGCGGTGTTTAGCAGTGTATAGTACTCTGTCTATCTCTTCTAACTAGGTCTTTCTAAGGATTATGTTAAACTCGTACGTAGACGAGATAATATACGCCGCTACTTTTTATTTTACTTCTCCTATGTTAAGTACAAACTCTATTACTCCTTGTATAGGACTTATCTTTTTATCTACTATTGCTAAGAGGTTAGATAAGATTATATAACGTGGCAGCTTTAGTTGTTGTATAAGCTTGTCACACACAACTAAATATATGTAACACCTATAGTTAAGCATTACAATAGCATTCCTTACACTATTTATAACTATATTCATAGACATTGCTTTTATAGGCTTTAATAGTTTAAGTATCTTATGCGGTGCTCGTACGACACATCTTTCCTGCTTTATTCGCTCTAACTAGCGCTTTTTAGTTAGAGCTCTTCTTTTCCCTTATCTAAGTTATCCTCTATAGGTGCTATAGTAGCTACCTTAGTATAGTTTCCTTGTTTATGCGTAGGAGTAGTAAAAGGAGTGTTGTAGTCTTTATAATAGTGTCCTTATTTGCTATAGCAGAAATAACGTCTCTCTTAATAGCGTCTTTTAATTTTAGTATAGGACCCCTAGTATTCTTTTATTATATATAGCCTAGTTGCGCCTAAAGTAGAGGTCTAGTTTATCTCTTTAGATATAGCTTAAGTGTTGCTAAGGAAGGGTGACGTAAAAGTTAGTTGTTTAGATAATAGTTGTTCTATTGCTCTTAGGTTTTCTTACGTAACTCTTATTCTTTATATAAAGCTATTATACTTCTTATTCTTACTAGGCTAGTAGCCTACTTAATACTTAAGCAACTCTTTGTTAAGAGAGTTCTTTAAGTAGTTAATCTTTTAAGCGTTGTCTATGGCGCTTAGGCCTACTTCTTAGAATTTTAAATTAAAGACTTAAATGTGACAAAGGAACTCTCCCCTTCCTTGTCTAGTCGTACGGAGGTAGTAGAGAGCCTTCTATTTAATTGTAAGGTCTTAAAAGAACTTATCTAACTAGGACTATAGTCTAGCTATTGTAGCTGCTAGGGTGCTGTTTATAAGAGCTTAGACGTACGTATAGAGCGTATTAAAAGCTCGTCCTTTTATAAATGTAATAATATAGTAGGTTTTAAGTTTCTTACTTAGGTAAGCTACTCTATTTACAAAGAGCTTAGCCTATATACACATCTTCTACTAAGTGTATTATTTATAGGTACTATAGTTAAACATGTCTATATTAGGAAGTCTAGGCTTAGGGTAACTTTATACGGGTGGGGCTAGAGTAGTCGCCTCGCTCGTTTAGTTAGTCGTATTTATAGCGCTAACGTGAGCTCCTGTAAAAGGCAGTGTTATATAGGCTTCTTAGAGTTGCCTTGTTAGAAGCTTAATCTAGGACATTATTTCCTAGTGTGCAACTGCCTGTCTCTTAAGCTGTTTAGCCTGTTATACGTTGTTAGCTATTAGCTAG